AGTCTCTCTAACGGCCACCGCTAAAATTGGGCCTGATACAAGCTCTCTCACGTTTGTGCTCGTTACGGCCAGATTTTGGCCGTAACGCTGGTTGGCTGTTAGAACAATGCCACAAGATCTGATTGGCTGTCGGAAACGCCGGAAGTTGAAAGCGCTTATTTCTCTCGTGGTTTTTTTGGTGAATGATCCGCCGTCGGCGGAGAGAAAGGTCAATTTTGCTGTCTTTTTTATTGTTTGATGGTTTTATGGTAGGAAAATATGCCTTAATATGTACCATGGAAATTCAGAAAATTCATATGGTTGTTCATATCTTGTCAGGATTTGCTTACGGAACCAATGTGAGTGTATCGCGGAGTTGAATCCCTCTGCAAGTTGTTGACCGCTAACAAGGTGCTTTTTGATTTACCAACAAACGAGTGCAGATCAAAATACTGTCCATCTTTAAAGTGGTTTTATTAGAAAGTTTAGCCGGGATTGACTTTTCTGAACGGGGTGCACAAGCGGAGGCTCATTGCGAAAGAAACCTCAATCGCCAACTGTGAAGTATTAGACGAAAAACATTTTTGTTGGCATTATCATAAAAGATAGTGTCGCTACTCTTAAGCTAACAGACTTTTTGTTTGCCTTCGCTTTTTGTAAAAAATAAACCACGGAAACTGGTGTCCTCGCTCGTTTGCTGTTTGTTAATTTCGATACATAAAGTAAAATTTAGCGAGCTTTTCAGATCTGCGGTAAAAAAACAGAAGTAATTAAAGGAGAACAACAAAGTGTGTTTGTAATATTGTTTTTCGTTTTGCTTATAGCTTTCCAAAGTGATAATGTTTACATGGAATTATAAAGAAATATATATTTTTTTAGACGTTTGTTTCTCTAGTAAATTGTTTAATTCGCAAATTGCAAGTGTTCTCACGAGACTATAAATCAGCTAAATTAAATGTACTTGAGAACTCGTTGCTTTGTTCTGAGATAATTTATATATCCTTTTAAAAAGTTCGCGATATATTTCTCCAAGATTTTTAAAGATTTATGTACTGAAAATCGGGGAAAATTGCCGAGCAAATATAAAGGCAACAGGAAAAAAGAAATTTCAGTATTTTAAATTCGAGCTCGCCTAGCCAAAACATTAAAACTAGAACAGGGGCACCCAACGACAATTTTCGGAAAAATATCTGTTCGGAAGACGATTTGAGATCTAGAATTTTCGAAACATTTGTTGTAAAATTTCTTGCTTGCCTGCCTCTCCTAGGATTTTCGAACATGTAAAAAATGGTATAATTGCCTATTTTTAACGGATTTTTACCCTAAAAAGGTCACCTAGAGTTTTCGAGAGCCTTTTTTGCGGCTGAAATTTTCGAAAAGGTAAGTTTTGATCCCTATAATTTTCGGATCACTTAACTTTCAGCTAGGAAATCCGAACAGATGAAAAATTTTTAGGGGATAAAAATATGCCTATATCTACCGTTTAAATACTGAAATACGTTTAACAATTCTATGTTTAAGTGGTTTTGAACTATATTCTCGTTGGGTGCCCCTGCTAGAACAGTCTGGTGTCGCCGTCTTTTAGAAAACTTTCTGCCTTCTACGCCAATAGAAATAACCTTCGAGATCTCCTTTAATCTTGTAAGAAGTTAAATGTGATTGTGCTGACTGTTTTATTTTTAGTTGAAAAAATTAAAAGATAAAAGCTATTTTTTAAGTCAGAGAGTCTGCATTGTTTCCACGTATGGAAAATTTGCATACTAAAAAAACAAGCAACGGAAGTAATTTTGGTTGGCTGATTCAGCAAATGTCAATCAATCAAAAAACTGGGCGGCAGACGTTTCGTAGAAGGTTTGTAGCAGGCTTTCTTTTCGTTTCTCCTTGCCCGCCGGAATGTTATTTACAAAGCGAAACGAAAATTGAGCCTGATCTCAGGTTACTTCTGTTGGTCTTTGTTACAGACCGAAATGACAGACGGTCTAGCCCCTCATATACTTTAATTCTTTAACTCAGGAAATCCCTATCCTCTCGTACCTGAAGCGTGGAAAAGGTGTCCCTTTCTGTTAGTGCCCCCAGCATAACCCCTTCCCGGGCTTCTAATTTCAAGGAAATACTCTAATTCAAATCTACTGGCTATTAAGGTCCAGTAATCAGATCATTGATGCACTGTATTTCTTATTATCATAAAAATTCCACTATTAACGTGGGACAGTGTACACTGTAACAAGTGGTATTCCCTTATGCACAGCAATTACCACAGGGGTCCTTAAACTAAAGATAACACCTATAAATGAGAACTATGTAGTGGTTGGATGGCTGTGAATTCATCTTCATTAATATTACATGATGCTCACTAACAAGTTGAATTAGGGAACCAAATTACTTCATTGTACATTGGTGTAAAGTAATATGTTTTTCAAAATAGGGTTGTCATACATATACTACAGGATTCTTTCTATATTTCCGACAACATTTAAACTGATTCCAGAATATCATGGGCATCATACTGGATTTATTTGCTGTAATTTTGACTGACCACCTAAAGATGACCACATCTTGTTGGTGGGCTTCCTAAAAACGACCACATTTTGAAAGCCTACCAGCCAATACTACCACAAAATATGGTGAAACTGCTCACAATTTTATTTGAACATTAACTCAGAAGACAAATTTATGAGAAGCTAATTTTTCTTACTCTTTTGTTTGCAACCCTGATTTTAATGTTGATTTGAAGTTTTACTGTTCATTAAGTACTACCTATTCAATCTAAGAATGTCATAGCATTTGTGTAAGCTAAAATTCACCTGAAACCTGGTTATTTGATATTGGGATACAAGAGGGGTGGTGGTTGGGCGTCCAAAAAAAATTTTGATAAGGAGAGGTTCTTCATATTCTACAGGAGCTACCCGTCAAATCCCACCCGACCCAGCTCCCCCTTCCCTGCCCCATAAAAAAAGAACAGACTTTTATTGGGTTACAGGAGCTCTCCTAAACGTATTACTGTGGCTGAACACAGTTTGGTAGGTTGTGAGTTGTTACTATTCATTGGGTTGTTATTGAAGATTTTACTGATCCAGGTCTTCTAAAGCGATCCGGCGGACTCTCAATGGTTTGTCGTTGTGGTTTTGCCTTCACAAGTGTTATTTAAGACTTGTTGCAGGTATAAGCTCGAATTTAGCACAGACAAAATATATTTATAAGACATTACGTTTTTTAGATTAAACGTAAGATTTTTTTTTATCGTCGTTGCCATGTTAACATGGATGGTTTAACCAAGCCTAAAATCATGAATTCAGGCGCAAAAACAATTACGTCAGTGAAATTTCTTAGCGCGCGCAACTCTGTGTTACAGAAATTGTGTTCAGTCACCGTAATTAGACAAAGATATGAAACTAATAGTAGCCGACGTTGAACGTTAGCACAATTGCGTTTGCACGCACATACACTGAGTATGCAAATTTCCGAGAAACCGTTAGTGCACCTATTAAAGTCATAGATAACAGCCCTACTCCTCACCCGGAAGGAAAACTATCGGACTCGTTGTAACCAGGACCTAGATATACGAAGGGCCGATTAGTGCTCACCCAGAGCAAGAAACAACGTAAAATACCCTTTTATGATTTCTTGTCCAGAGTTAAATATAAGGCTACGTTCTCACCATACCGGATAGTTTTTCGTAGTGCCACGAAAACCTTTCAAGTATAGCATGAACACCTATCCGATACATGACTCAGTCTCTACTTTAGAGATCTGCGCGGAGCAGCTTCGCTCAGTCACGGAAATCACGCCGCCACAACCGTTTTGTGTGTGAACAGAAGCCCTATCCTGCATAGCAGGGGCGGATCTAGGGGGAGGGTGCAGGGGGTGCGCACCCCCCTGAGATGACCTGCGGTTTTCTAATACAACTGGTATTCTGCAAAAAAAACTATGTGGTTTATTGGTGTTGAAGTAGAGCAAGAGACGAGTGCACCCCCTCCTAAAAAAAATCCTGGATCCGCCCCTGCACAGTGTGAACATAGGCTAAATACCACACTCTGCTCGTATGCTGTTATCATTGTTGTGAATAGTAAGGTGATGAGATAAGAACAGAGACGCACATACATGAAAGAAACAACAGCATCGCGCCTTGTATCTTGATATCTTGGTATGTGTAACCTGCATATGCAGGGGTATTCAAGTGGTATTCTTTTCCTTCGTCACTGCAATTTCAGCCTTATCGAACGCAAAAAACCTCCAATAGCTTTGGCCCTTTTCCACTCAAATGGCTGAACATTTTGCTTGGTTCGTTTTCAAAAATCCGGCTAGACCTATAAACTTTCTTTTCTGGTTTTCAGGTATCAGAAAGATCCCAGTGCATGATCACTTTTCGTTGACCCAGCTCCCCAGTTTTTCCGACTAATGAAAAGTCAAAATCTTAATTGTAGATATTATATCCCGATCGTCCTGGATGGTGGGAGACAAATCGGCGAATACCTCCCAGATTTCTGCGATGGCCTCGGTGATCGTTCCCGACATACGAAAACTCGAATTTTGCTTGTCGGAGATCGATAGGCGATCGTTTCTAGTCAATCACAGTCTTCCAACTTCTAAGCTCTAGTCTTAGTGCTCTCACAAATGAAAATGGCGTCTGGGACAAGCTTTTTGATTCTCCTGACTCGGCAAAACCTGGAATGATCAAGAAACAGTTAAATCTCGGATCGTCTGGGATATTCCCGACGTATAAGTGAAAAACCAGGCTTACGTTGCCGTCAGTTTTATGAGCCGATTTTACTTGTCCTTTATAAAGATGAGTCAATAAGCTTAATTCGACAGGAGAATCAATATTTGTTTCATATAAAAGATACTTATTTTAAACATATGTCTATCAACTGTTCGTAAAATGAAATCGGCAAAAAAACTATATTAATTTTGACTAAAACAATATTTTTGGTTGACTAGGGTGAGAAAATTAGTAGTCACGACTAGTTATTTAGTATTTTATTTCACAAAATTGTCCTAATTTTTATTAATATAAAGACTAGTTATTGCTCCTTCTTCATTTCTAATATCGGGGACTCCTCGTAGACGTATTTGCGGTATCTTACTTTATCAGGAAGGATGTACAGCGCTAGAATGTCTACAACAGTTGCTGTTAACGTCAACAAGCCAACTCCAGATGCAAGACGAAGTAACAATGAAGACAATGAGAAATGACCTTTAGTAATAAAGAAAAGACAGTTAACAAAAAATGTTGTATTTATGCCGGTTTCGCACTCCTCGGAGTTGACCGGTGACTTAACCTTTATAAAGTAACAAACCTACCTGTGAATAGAAGCTAACCATTTTGAGTCAGTACTTAGCTCTAATCAGTATTGTAGGCGCTTAACACCAATCATGATGTAAATCGGGGGTCGAACTCCAACGAGGCGAACGCGAAGGGGGGCGAGACCGGCTGCTTCGAGATGTTGTGCAGTAGTCCGTGTGCAGGAATGTTATTTGTAAAGAGGAGTTGCGAAATTTTCTACTGTTTAACACGGGCTCAAATTTTGTGAACTTTGCTACGCATATGATTTCTGAAAGGTTTGTAAGTTGCCTACTTATACAATAAATTAAGGATAAATCACCCGCTTGCGTACTAAAGGCTGGTTTTCACTAGCGACGGAGTCGCAGTCGGAGTCGTAAGTAGAGTCGTAAGAGAGCTTATGACCTAGTAAAAATAAAAAATCGTAGTCGTAAGCGCGACGGAATCGGAGTCAGAAGAATCATAACGTTTCCATTTCTTCCGACTCCGTTTAGGACTCCTTCGCTTACGTTCCGCTTATGGTCTAGTGAAAACCAGATTGTCGGAGTCGGAAGCAGAAGCGAAATGATAAACCAACCACAATGCTTGTACCCACGCTTTGTGATTGGTTTAGTAATTTCGCTTCTGCTTCCGACTCCGACCATCTGGTTTTCACTAGATCATAAGCGGAACGTAAGCGACGGAGTCGTAAGGGAAATCGGAACGCTGTTTTCACTAGATCATAAGCTCTACGCTGATTACGACTCAGACTCCGACTCCGTCGCTTGTGCAAACCAGCCTTAAGTACAAAACATAAAATAAGTTCTTTAGCGTGAGTGGCATCTCCTCAGTCGACTAGACTTCGAGCAGTGAAGAAACTAGACTGGCAAGCGCGCGATTCTAGTACGAGGCCTTCCAGATATTGGACAAAAGTCCTTGGGACAGTGGTGCACTTTTCATTATTTATTATGATAATTCTGGTTTCCCTCATAAGACAGTCCATCTTTTTAGAAATTTTCTTGCAGTTCTCCCCCTACCCTATGCAATATTAGTTAAACTCGGAAGAAATTCAGGATACACTCGTCCAACGTTGTTTGTAGGGTGGGGAGATAGGTTTAAAAACATATCTGAATTGAAAAAAAACCCTACAAATGCGAAAGTGTCCCAAGACGTTTGTGCGTGATTGGAGCCACGAGACACAAACCAAGAGACTAAAGCCGGCAAGGCGCGTGTTATCAATAGCCCACGAGAAACAACAGTGAAACCCGCCTCCCGCGTGTAACAGCGCTTCCTCAAATTGCGCCAAGAGATAATATTCTTTTTTTACTACGCTCATGCTTCTGTAATTACTCGTAGTTTACCCTTCCTCGTGGCTTAACAAAGAAACCCACCATACATCTGGGAAAAAAAATAAAAATCATTCCTCACACACCTAATCGACCAGTTTGATGGAATTCTATTTTGATGCCATAGCGTTTTCGAAACAGCCGATTCTCTTGACGTCCCATTTGACTGGAGTATGTAAAATCTTTTTCACTAAACACCGGAATGACCTCTTTAACTCTGTAGTCTGCATACGGAATCCGCCTCACATGGTAAGAATATGTTATATCTCTACAAAATAAAAGCCAGACAAATCATGTTACAAAGTTTTTTGAAAAAACAACACAAGATAAAACATGACCTATGAAATACCCATTTTGCGAGGAAAAGCTGGGTTGTTCCAAGTGCTAACCTCCTGGCCCATGTACGATGATTCGGACTGGAATCCGGGAATGTTTGCTTGTGGAATCCGGAATCTTATGTTTTGGGATCCGTAATCCAGAATCCCAATAACGATTGGAATCCGGAGGCCAAGTTCCACTGGCAAGGGATCCTGATTTTAGTAGTTGGAATCCGGAATTCACAGCGTGGAATCCAGAATCCAAATGTACCCTAAACTCAGAAACTACAGTCAACGAAATGAATAGCCTGAGTAAACAGCCAACATTTCACGACGCTACCACTGTTTTCCCCGCGAAATGACATTTGAGAAACGAGGGCAGAAAAACCATACTGATGTCGCGTCACTACCCAGATCTGGGTAGTGACACGTCATCAGTATGGAATTTCTGCACTCGTTTCTCAGACGTCATTTAGCGGGAAAAACAGTGGTGGCGTCGCAAAATTGTCGGCTGTTTTCTCGGGCTACGAAATGAAACGAGGGAATTCTTGAAAAGCCATACCCGGTTCCAAGAAAACTGGAGTCGGAGTTTTGATAACTAATAGCCACGTGCAGAACAATCCCATGGCGGCGAAAAGGTTTTCCCTTGGCATTAAGAGCATCAGATGGCTCATCCAAACTTTCTACTCCTGCGGCATGAAGAATTTCCTGCACAGTAAACTTGTCTGCTCTGCCTCTAGGACCCTTGTCTTCATTTGAAAGGCTGTGGAAGCAGAGGGAATACAAAGATGAGTTAGACTATTTATTGAATGCACCTGTTCGGACTTCCCCGTTTCATAAAGGGACCATGCACCACCTGGCAGTGACGGTACGATCTTTGTTGGCAGTTTTGAATGTAAATCTCTAGAGGGTAATATTATCTCATATAATATTTCTTTGAAAAAGTGCCCACGCCCTAATAAGCGCCCTCCCACCAAATGTACTCTCAACACCAAGGTCAAAATATCAAACAAGCGCCCCTGTGAATAAGCGCGCTTCCCCTCAATCCTCACTTTGTTAATAGAGAGCTTAAGCAATGTTCAACGACGGCGACGGCTACGAAAACGTCAGTTAAAAAGTGTATTCGCGCTGCTTCAAACTTTATCGCGTTTATTCCATCTCGTTCAATTTGTCAAATGTTGGCGAATTTGACTGGAGTTGGATTCTAAGGGATTGTATCAAAGTTCATGAAAAAAATAAAAAATAAAAATAAAAAGGGTAGTTGTCTTGCGTTAACGTCCTCCACAAAACGTGAAATTAGGCAGTTTCATGTCGTAGTAGAGCAACGACGGCGAGGAAATGTACAAAAAAGCGTGATGCACGTCCAAAGTTGTTGTTTTGCTTGTCTAAACCTATTGTTGTTTTGCCGTTCTCGTGGCCGTCGCCGCCCTCGTTGCTTAAGCTCCCTATTAATAGCAGGAATACAAGGCTGTTACTTCCACTATACCTATACATTTTTAAGCTTCAATTACAACATTCATACCGATACATCTGTGTGCAAGGTGTGTAATGGGACTATGGTACGCTTGGTTACCAAACGAAAGAAAGTAAATAAAGTACATTAAGTATTGAATATACGTTTACGTGGATAATGTTGTAGTTTTTGTTTTTCTATCAAACATTAAGCCAAAATAAAGTCACAGTTCAATGAAAGGAAAACTTAATAATCACCCCCCCCCCCGCTCGATTAAGTGCCTCTTCTTTCATCTCAGTGAAAATCTGAATAGGCGCCCGAGTGCATATTCAAGGAAATACGGTAATCGTTTAACAGCAAACAGTAGGTTTTTTTTCCTGAAAACATGGATATTTATCCATGCTGAAAATCAGTTCTTTCCAGGCACGCACGTGAGATCCTCACGCGATGCCCGCGAGCAGTTTTTTTTTGTGTTTCTACCCGGTCCACACTTTGTTATCACCCTCACTCCAGGGCTTTCACTTGACCGTTCTTGCGTTCATGAGTTTTGCAAAAACACCAGGTATTTTGTAGACTACGAGTAGTCCCCATTTTTCCTCAGGGATACATTGTAGTAGAGCGAGCGAAACGCAAGCGCGCGTGAAAATCACCGCACGCGAGAAAAGGCTCCCCGCCGCGTGTCGCCTTTTCTCGCGTGGGGCGATTTTCACGCGCGCTCGCATTTCGCTCGCTCTACTATCCCTGAGGAAAAATGTGGACTACTCGTAGTCTAGTATTTTGCGGTCTACTGTACATAATCCTATAGGGTGTAGCTCTTATTGCTGCCCTGTAGGGGTACCAAAAAATGTAATACAATGCGATGCGATTTTTCCTTATTTGTTTGGTAAATAGAATCACTGAGTTTTTAAAATACTTTTAAGTAATGATCCAGGTAAGAAGGGAAGCAATTTCTTTTGTTGTGGCGCAATACGCTTTCCTCACATAGAAATGTTTTCATTTTTACGCAGAGAGTGCATAAATCTACAAAAAGGCTGTTTACGAAAGAAAATGTATTTAAACTCCATTTTTAAAGGGTGTATTTTTGTGTTAAAACATTTCGACCAATCACAAGAGTTGCAAACAATGGCCAAGAAATGTTAACAATTTTACATGATCCGCACATACGATTTCTGTGTTACTTAGACTCAGACGAAATTTTGTTATAAGGAAGTTGGATAGAAGAAAAGGGATTAATGTACATGCTGCTTTGCGAAGATTTCGTAAAATTTGATGTTTAAACCAATCAGAACCTTAGTAGAGACAATAGTAAAGTTAGCACCTTTTTGCATTCCAACGTGTTCACTGCGTTTTGGTCCTTTCCTTCTTATCTGGACCATTACTTAATTGCAAGGAAACTGTAGTGCAGTTTACTGTAAATGTATTGAAGCAAATAATGTTGTCATGCATTGATATTGTCCATCCAAACAATGCATCTCTTAACATAAAAATTTGGTCAAACTATATAAGTGCCTTTAAGTTTGACTTTGGCTTAAATAAAATGTGCAGAGTGGCCTATATAAGGTGCATGAACACAAATTATCTCAGCGAAGACGAAGGAACTAGTTACTTTGCCTTCTTAGAATAGTTCCGTTCAGACCGTGGAGGAATCCCTTCATATTTCTTTGTGAAGCTGCCAAGTTGTTTCCCTTCTTTCCTCCTGAAAACTTTGTTGCCAACACTGCATGCTCAATTTTAATCATCATTGACTCTGGTTGAGCTGTGAAATACATTTTTTCTCTGAAACGAAAACGATATACAGTGTAATAAGCAACGATGTAATTGATGTGTTGTTCCAGTCAAATAAAATCCATACTACCCCCACAGAGGGTTTCTTGGGTTTGAATTCCCTACCCCTCTGGAGATTTATAAAAAAATCCAGTTTAGCCCCATACAGTCGAACGTCCTGTAAGTGACGACCCAAAATGCAAAGACTGAGTGGTCGCATACGGGAGGTGGTCGCTTACAAGAATCAAACCAAAGGGAGTCTCTTCCAAGAAGAAGTCTAGACACATCTACTTTATGGAAGATGTTTATTGCACATGTCTAAGTTACTCCATGTGTAACTCCATGTTGTCACGAAAGTTCTTCGTATTTTCTTAGTAGCATAGTGGACACAACGAACATAGAGATCAGAGAATGTGTCAAGTGGTCGCTTACATGAGGTTAAAAACAATGGAAAATCATTAACTGTCAGGCTCCAAAAGTGTTCACGGTCGCTTGTCAGGTGCTCGTTTACTAGAGGTTCCAACCGTAACGCTTTGACTGGGAAAATTTTGGTGTTTTGGATTCGCGGTCGCTTTAATATGGGAGGTGGTCGCACATGGAGGTTCAACTTTATATCACTTTCCTTTTTTATAATAAAAACTTAGGTCTTCAGCCCCTCCCCCTTCCTCCACTTATCACTTGAAATTTCAAATGACAGTCCACAGTATGCGGGTAAGGATATTTTATGGAAAAAAAATTAATAATATTATTAAGGTTGGTAAATGGTAGACCCTGACAAAGGCCGAGAAAACAAGAAACAAGACCTTTGTTTGAAATCCATATTCCTGCAAAGCGTTTAAAATTCCATCACAAGTGTTAACGAAATTTTGAAACTAGACCAAACACCTCAATTAACCCATAATTTTCTAGGTACTATTTGCTATCCATCATAATGATTGCCTGTGAATTTAAGAAACTTGCTTTAAAACGATGCCTTATCAAGAGTATAAATGTATAGAGAAAATTGCAGGTTACCCCCACACTTTAGCTTATTGTCTTTAATGTAAAAAGAATGGTGTGTAGATTATTAAACAATTTAAGTTTCTGGTACCTTACTGTTTTAAACTCTGAAATAATGTCCAGAGAGGTGTTTCTTGTTTGCCATCGATCTTTTGCAAACGTCGTTAAACTGATTGTGCGAGATTCTACTGGCCACAACAATTCTCGAGCATCCAAAACCTGGCAGGGTGTACACATCTTGGTTGGTTCACCTAAAATATGTCATTTGCCATATGTCAGGTACAAAATAATTATTTATAAACCATTATTTTTTTTGACTGACCCAAATACGTCAGAGTAATCTATCTCTGTTGTTTGAGATGTTAAACTTAGTTGTCAAGGTTGTTATAAACACATACTTTGAAGCAAAACAATAATTTTAATGTCTCTTGCGAGATGAAAGTATTATTTTGAGAAGTGAGGTGAGAGTTTGTCTCTCAATCGTCTCTGAAGTGGTTTGAAAAAACTCTATTTAATTATCAAGTGCCTTTCAAAGTTTTCTGTAACAATATGATATTTGGCAATTGTTGAAGGAGGCTGAGTAGGATGTTATACACTAAGGCTGAAGGCCACTGCTGAAGGCAAATAACATCCATTGAGCAATATGTTTTGCATATTCTTGGAATTTTTCCATCTACTTTTAGTCAGACATTCAGCCATTTCTTTGTCGCATAGCCATGAATGCCATTTTTTTAGTTAACTCATGAATAAACTGCTTGGTGGCAATTCCTGGAAATGAAGTTGATCAATGGTCTATTGCTTATGCAGTCTCATTTCCAATCAAATAATTATACCATTGAATTGATGGTATATTGCTTGCATCTTCCAAATATGGTTAGTGCCCGTTGGTTATGAAGAATTAGCTCGGGGACTGGAGCCAATCAGAAATGGCAAAATATTTTGAATGAAAAGAAAGATAAATTAGAAGCATGTGATGCACAAATTACATCGTATTTAGTTTTCCATAATCAATTCTTCCATTCCATTTATAATTAGTTAGTACATCACAAGTTTGGCATTTGAATGTCAGATTTTCCAAAGGAAAAAATCCTGGCTGAGTCGGGCAGAAAGAATGGCTGAGCTGTTCCAAATTGAAATAGCCATTCTTGATCTGATTCCAGTGATGAACTTTTTGCTATGTACTATATTATATAATTCAAGGTATCAGGTTAAAGTCATGCAATGTAAGTCTGTGTCTATTAAAGAACAACTTTTACCCTGTCATGGGTTAATGGCAGTTAATTACTTTTTGCTATAAAAAAAATAATAGTAGCCAATACATGGACTTCTGAGTCAACATGTACATGTATGTAGAGATTATGGACACTTGTACTGATGAGTATGATGCAGCATGACAAATGGCAACATTGCAGTACTGCATTTTATAGATTTACTATACCACACCTTTGGTGCAACAGTAGCTTAAATTGCTCATCCGAGATGTCTGTTCACTATTGCTTGCAACATCCTCTTTAGGGTCTGAGAGAAGGAATCTCATAGTGGCTTCTGGTGATGTATCAAACTAAAACCAAATTTCAGAATAAGAACAAAATCAGTGTTCAGTGTCATGTCTGATTGAGTTCTATTAAAAATTTTAGCTATGGTAAAAAGTATTCAAGACTTCAAGATATTCATTCAGTGTTTTAAAATGGAGACAGCAGGATCTGCAAAATTTGACTAGAATATTGAAACAACCATAATTTTTATTGATTGTTTTCCTTTTCCCAAACAACAGGTGTAATAGTAATGGTAACTTTTGTGGTAGTACTCATGACACTATTATTTGCCAGCAATATGATGATAATGAAGTGATTCACGATCACAATAATAATAGTGGAACACAGGAATACCCAGGGATACACAGTAGTTATAAGTTGTTTATTTTACAGATAATGTTGTAGGTAAGGTACAGTTTTTACGGAAAAAAAGGCCAGAGATGCAAATTATCAGAATTATTATACAATAGTTATAAGTCAGATATGGATGGTACACCCCTGGATAAGGAAGCTATATTATTTTATACACGTACATGCATCTACATCTACCCTTCCCATATTAGGACTGTAGGTTTTTGAATAGGGGAGTTCAGTAAAGATCATTTTCACTGTCACGAAACAAAAAAGTATTGGAAACCGTCCAGTGGAAGAAGTCAAGAAAATGAAATGTTATAAGAGACTAATATATAAACAATTTGTCCACGTCTCAGGTCCTTCTGGCACACAGTTTCTGAGTTATTTGCCCAAACGCCCCACACACATTTGTAGAGCTTTGTACGGAGATGCCATATTGGCGTACCATTTTGGTCCACAAATATGGCTGCCGGAAATCAACAAAAACATCTGGAGTTCGCTTTTTTAATAAAAGCTCTTTCTCTCCCTTGAGAACTAGCACACGTGCGCATAAACATATCTTCTGATACTTGAAATGGTTATACTGCTGAAAACCAAGAGGAGAGACTGTTTTTCAATGAGAAAGCATTCCTTTTTTGGTGTCATGCACTGTGAAAACTCTGAAGTTCAAATTGCTGTATTTTCAAAATGAAACATGCTACAGGAATGAAAAATTGTACAAAGATTTATTTTTTGGACTCTTCTGACAAAGGTGTGACTTAGGAGGGAGGGAGGGAGGAGTGCAGATAAAAAATTAAAAATTGAACATCCCATAATATTTAAAATACTGTATAATGGCAATGATGACAAAAATGGAAGACAGGATGATGGTGTTGACGACAGCAAAGACATTGATGATGACAATGATGATGATGATGATGATGATGATGATGATGATGATGATGATGATGATGACGATGATCAGCATGATGATGATAATGCAATGATGAAATATGGTTTCGCTTTAGGGTAATAAACCGTTAGCGGAAAGTGACTTGCACAGTTCAACACCTTACAAAACCAGAATTCTCTTCTCTTTTTTTCTTTGTAAAAACTAAAAATGAAAGGAAGCAATATTCTAGAATGATACATATATTTAGTACTGTTTCGATTCCACTATTCTCACCTCCAGATAACCTTTCTTAAGAAATATTTCGGCCAGAGTGTAGAGGACGATGACAGCTGCCAAAGTGTAGTATATCGAGCCAATTCTTTTATCCCTTATTACAACCAGCTTGAAGGTAATGTAATGAAGAAAAGACATTGCAAAGACAAAGACTCGGAAAGATCTGCTACCAGCTTTGTACGAACCTCAAGACCGGAAGTAACCCGTCGCTTGTCAGCGGTGAATTTTGAGCCCTTGCTCTTTTGATACAGCGGTCATATCATGAGTGGCAGAATTTTTGAACTTCAAAGATGGCGGAACGAGATCGTAAAAAAAGACGCAAGCGGAAAGATTCGACAACGCATCTAAAACCACCGTTAGATTTTATTGAAAGCCCTCTGGATGGCCGTAAATACTATTGCACTCCTGTTCAAGCCGCTCGAAGACCTTTTATGGCGGAATCCTTGCCTGTAGATGACGAAGAAGCGAAGAAATGGGTATGCTAGCTCTCCGATCAAAAGTCCCCTCCGGGTGTCTGATATGATATAAGCTTAATTAAGTCCACATATTCTGCACCGGTGATTAGGTCAGTTTCAGCGGCGCTATTATCTCTTCTCTCGTTTAGAGCACAATATGGAAAGCTCATGTGATCAGGCTCTCCATTGATTTCCAGTTACCCTCATGGATGTCTCTATTTATGACAGAAGCTTAATCTATAACTAGAAGTGGAATTCTGCATCCTAGGGGAGGGGTGAGGGGTGTTTGGGGTACTCCGAATTATAAGTGATGGGGATGATTGAGTAGGGGCAAAAACTGAAACCCCCAAAAATCCGCAGGGCTTCCAACAAGACCCAAAGAAATCCCTGGACCAAAGATGAAACACCCCAAAAATGCCATGCCGAATTTCGGAGCCTGTAATAATTTCCAGAAAGCATGAAAGGAAAAGTGAATGTTCTAGGGAACCTCACATTTTAAGCCAATGAGTCAAAAGTGAGAGCGATCAAGAATTCACAACAACAAAAGGGAATATTCCAGTGACGATATTAAAAGCCAGACGATAAATGCAATTTATAAATGAGACATCAATGAATTGAAGTGTTGTTTACACCCTGGGACTTTGCAGACTATTGTTCAATTGTTTATAATGCGTTTCATGAAACAGATACTATGTAATGCGTTTAAAATATTTTTAGCTGGAAGACAAGTTTGTTTGTACCTTATTTGCAGAACTACGCTCGAGGATATTTACATGGGCACTACCATGGGACTTCAGATTGTTCTGAATACCCCAAAAAATCCTTACGTAAATCAAGCCACCCAAAAAGATCCTTATCAAATTTTCCTACCCAAAAAAAACCCCGGATCAAAATTTTAAACCCCCAAAAAATCCTTTGATCATCTCCATCAGTTGAAATTGGGAGTACCACCACCCCACCCTTCAAATATTTCAAATACACCACTTGAGGTAACTGAGATCTAGACTTCCAGCCAATGAGGTAGTACGATTGAAAAAAAATGCTATGGAGATTGTCTACAGCTTACTAGGTAAAAACGTGGGGCTGTCAGGTCTGGGGACCATTTAAAGAAACTACCATGGGGGAGGTACTTGCGTCAATTTTTTCTGGATATTTACTCCATTATCAGATTTTCTATGGCCTGAATTATAGACCCCATCTTAGTCACTTTTGGTTAAATCTTGGTAATTTTCACAATCCCAACTTAGTTTAATACTTTCTGTCACTTTTTTAACCATGAGTCTTCCCATTTTTCAATCCCAACTTACAAGAATCTTCCTGCTCCCCAAATTAATCTTAAAAAGGTGTGACCCCATTCTACTTACTCTATTGAAAATGCAACCCCATTATAGTCACTCCTGTTGTGAAAATGCGACCCCATCCATTGGCATATCTTCATTAGCCTTTCACCGGCAAGTACTCTTTTCCCCCCAGGGAAACGTCCTTGAATATGCTTCATATAGTTTGATCAACTCTTTTTTGTAGGTATCTCCTCAGTTTCCAACACAGTTGGAGGGTGATGAAACCCTTTTGGCTCTACTAGGACCAGGGAAGAAATCAGGCAGAGGTAAAACGAAAAATGCCAAAGGGACAAAGGGCACAGTCAAGGAAACAAGCTCAACTAAACATCTGTTTGAAATTTTGCAATTTGAAAACGAGAAGCAACTCACAGAAACAGAAGGCAAGAACGCTGATTCACTGAGAGAATTATCTTGTAGGAGATCACAAAGACTCAGACTTAAAGAACTACAGAGGGCTCATTTTCTTTTTCAAACCCCTCAATTAGTAACTCCTGTAAACAAACGGAATGAACTTATTCTTGCATATGAAACCCCTGATCAAGAACTCATTAAACTTGCAGCACGCAAGCAATCAAGGAAGGATGGAGGAGAATAATATAGAGTGCACATTACATGCAATTTGAGTGGAAAAAAAATGTATAATAGTGAAAATATTTATTTGTAGAAAACAAACAGAAGAAAAAAGGAGAGATATGTTGTTATAAATAATTATAATTTATGGTATATACATCAGTCCTTAACTATCTTAGTTAAACATAGAAATAAAATGTTAAAAAAATCATGAACGTGGGCTACAATTCACTATGCAGAGCTATAATTTATACAATCAACTCTTTCTAAGATGGACACCACTGGGACCAGCCATCAAAGGGGTGTTCTGCCTTGTATATAGTCAATGAAAAGTGAGTACAGAATGGCAGGGATCAACACTTGGTGTCATGTTTTAACATAAACTTAACAGGGCTGTCAACACCCACATCATCAAATATTGAGAATTGACAGGAAAGTGATGATAGATGATGTCATAATACACGAAACGTGATGTAATTACTGTATTTATTCGAATAAGCACCCAACCTCGAATTAGCGCCCACCTCGAATAAGCGCCCATCCTAAAGAAGAAAAAGATAATAAGCGCCCAGCCTCGAATAAGAGCCCACCCCCACCTCCACCCCCTCCTTGAGTGACAATGAGACTGAAATTGAAATTGAATAAGTACTAATAAGAGACTTCACCTAGGAGGGAGTTTTCTTCAGAGTATTTTACAGAAACCCTGCTTTGTTACTTCTTCACATTTTTTTATTAGCATTTATTGTTTTGTTGCAAAATAAACATACTACACTTGCTGAAAATGGTGAAAACTTAATAAGCGCCCAGCCTCGAATAAGTGCCCACCTCGAATAAGCGCCCACTCTCAAGGTCCAAATATTTAATAAGTGCCCCGGGACGGTTAATCGAATAAATACGGTAATGCACAAAAAAAGGTGAAAAAGATGTTGTTGGAATTGTATCATTTGACCTGATTGGTTTACTTCCCACCAATCACATTATTGCTTGTATTATAAATGGCATACAAGAGTTTCTTTTGGTCCTCTGAGGAAATGTTCAATATTGAAAGTTTAGAAATAGCTCAAACAGCGAAAAATTTTTGAAATTTCATTGTCATAAAGTCGAATCTACAAGAAATTGCAAACTTCGGCGATTATCCGGGAGATTTCAGACTCTAATCTGGAGACCGGGAGAAACGGTTCAAAATCGGGAGTCTTCCGGATTATCTGGGAGAGTTGACAGTACTGACTTAAACTTTCCGCATTACAGTGCCAACAGTTGCTTTTGCAAGAACTCGAGAAATTCTCAGCAGAAATTCTCAGTGCCTAAGACTTTCTGGGTGATTTATGTACAAAAATTCAGTGGCTTTTTGGCCCCTCCTTTGAGGTATTCCAATGGCCAACAAAAGTGTGGTTAACCTGTGGAAACGTTTTTATTATTATCATTTTTTGTCACTCTTTTCTTACAAAAAAACAGCTAAGGTGTAAAATGTTTGATGAATTTATGTATTATATCAGCAATAACAGCCCAAAACTCGCTCCCCTCTCCTCCCCCGCCCCTCCACAACCCCTTCGCCTCCTCCACGCCTAATGAAGAGGACGTATAACTGCCCGAGGGTAACCTGGGCCCGAAACTTTCTGTCTCCGCGGCGATTCACTTTTGTTATTTGTGTTCACTGCTAGCATGTGTTAAGCCTGATCTTCACTCAAAATCATCAGTTTTTATAAATTTATGAGGAGCTGCCAGCTCGATCACAGGTAGTATTAATTTTGGGAGGGCTACAAGGAGAATCATGCAAGAAGAAGTCACGAATTGAAAGTGAAAGCGATTACCGCCATTGTTTTTCTTGCTCATCTATGATTACTTTTCTGCGTTTAATAAGCTTAAGTACCTACTTGACGTTAATTATTTCAAAACCTGATACTTGCTTATCTTCCTCAACAGCTTTTCTCCTGTAATGGTGTAGTTTATCGAGCTGATGACTCCCTGTCTACATATATATAAACTTACTTGTGCGTCTGTTTATACGCGCGTGACAACGTTCGCAAAACGGTCTTGGTTGGTAGAATTTCCTGGAACCGATGAAAGACAAAGTGTTCCATGATAGCTCACAAAGTGACGAAAATAACGAAGTCGGCAACAGAGGTTCTTCATCAACAGTTCCTCCTTTTATCCCAGCTGGTAAGTCTCGCAAGAGGCATCTTCCTGATTAGTTGCAAAAAAAAAAAAATTATAGCAACTGATCATAGCTTAAAGTTAAAAAACTCTATGTGGTGACCTGTTGCTTTGATTTGTTTTTTTTCCTTTGAGAAAAAAAAAACCTTGCTTCTTCACAACTCAATGGAGACTAGTAACAGTTAGAAGACAGTGTCTATTAAGCTTCAATACTTGTGAAATTTAAACCGTTTTTTCATAATTAAATTGTAATCTACAGTAATGTATAATCTGAACACTAACAATTTAATTGTCTACACTCTCTTAGACTTGAAATTGTTTGACAAGGAGTTTCGATCAACACAGCTGGTCTTCAGTTATCAAGGTGGAAAAAAGGTTAGTGAGTTATTACCCCCCATATGGTATTCTTTAACTGTTTACTGTTACATTTATTATACCAATCCACTAAACATGTTATGTCAATGGAGAGGAAGGGTCTTACAGTGTATGTGGAATAAGGCCCTAAGTGATTGCTGATCTAATATCGGCAACAAAACTGTTGGGACATCAGTGTACTCAAATAGGGTAACTAAAGAGAACAAAAGAATCCGCAACTATTTTGTTTTCTGTCTTTTTTACTTTCGGTGTGCCTTGTTTTGATAAAGGAAAGAATAAGAAATTTTGTGGGACACACCACATTGCATGATGTCAAGGCATGTTAAGTGTGACATGAAATGTCACATTGCACTGAAAATAATGAAATAGCCATATTCTAATAATGTTTTAAAATAGGCATGATTACATCAATCATAACAAAAAAAAGGGCCACCAAGGGTTTTATATCCCAGCAATAATAAATGAGTTGAATTAGTTTTCTTTAGCATGTATGGTCATTTTGCAATTCAGACAATCGGTGACAAAATTGTTGAGATACGTACTCAAATAGGGTAACTACAGAGAACAAAAGAATCCACACCCCTCTCCCCTCCCCTTCATTCAAAGTTGGGGTGTTTGTTGTTTTCTATAGGTAGCTTGAACAGCAGCACAGTGTTGCATGGAGGGGATGGGAGAGGAAAAGCTGTATTTTCCCCTCTGGAAGTCAGTAAAGCGTCAGAAAGCCCCTTTAGAGTGAACTGTCGGAACTAATTTTGTCACCGATTGTAGCATCACATTCTTTCTTTTCTACATTGTATATGCTTCATAACCATACATGATGCAGATTGGTAGGAGAATTTACCAGTTAATCAGTTCAAAAAGTTACTTTGAGCTTTGTTCCAAGCACTCCTTCAATTATGTGTTTAACCTTACTGACTTGTGCATGTGGTAAAAGATTCTTCATGCTGGTCTAACTGTACAATATGGACTGGTACCCTAGTTAGCTTCTGACAGTCTTCAGCCACTTGAAACTAAATTGCATTTCATTTGCCTTAGGTTCCAAAGCTCAGGGAGCCTAGGAATTTGTATGCGTTTTGCAAGGAAAAGGGGCTACAGTCTTCACCAAGATGGTAAGATTCAAAAATGACTGCAAGAAGAAAAGTTAAGCACTCTTTATTGACTCTGGCCACACTATTTACTATATGTACATGGATAAAACTGTACACAAGACTGTTACTCACAGTTGTGCCTCTCTCAGCAAACTTGTACTGTACGCTATAACTGCAGCCTTCTCTCATCACTTCTCTGAAGGACATTTTAGCAATGAGCGATGATGTAGATTTATTTGTGTGTCTCTTTTTCACATATGCATGGTTTGTAAACAGTTATAAACAGGATAATAATTTACAGCCTCAATGACAAACCTCTCAGTTCCACCCTTGTCAAGGTCAATCCCACTCTTTTTTCCCAATCCCATCCACCTCTTCCTTTTACTGTCATCACATATCAGAACAGTGTCCACTACATGTACATGTATATACCCTTCAGTCAATCTTTTCTAGAATAAATACCTTACAAACTGGCAAGTGCTATCTGTAGGTTTTCACCTCATGTTGTTATACTGTCAAAGGAAAGGAATGAAGAAAGGCAGGGCCGGCCGGACCATCTGTTTTTGTGAGGTGCCCATAAACAGAAAGTTTTCTTAATAATAAATAGCTGTAGGTTCTACCTAACAACTTCCTCTATGTAACCGTCTCTGCTTGTACATTGTACATGTATACAGAACTGTGTTGCTTTGTTTAATACTAGTCTTGTGCATGTACTACCTGTTACTGCGCAGGCATCAGAATTATACTGTGCTGAAGTTTGTCTGTTTACACCAATTTTCAGGCCAGCACAGATGAAAATTTTGCCTGTTCGTCCCAAACACATCCACTATGTACCAAGAAATCCTGAACCTTTTGTCAAGCAAGGTTAGCAAATAGATTAATAATAATTAATGAAATCAATTTTGACAAGCATCCATCTACTACATGTGCATCCTAGATCAACTTAGACTTTGGAAGTGCAAATTTTTAGGAAAGGGAGAAACCAGTCAGTGCCTGGAGAAAGACATGTCATGCAGAACCAGGTTGAGAACCATCTCAGAACCAACAACAAATTTAATCCACGTAACAGTTGTGTCACCTTTGGGCACTGAACCCAGGACACAAAACATAGAACTAGGCAAACACCGTCACTAGTGAGCTCCATTTCAGTAACCCTCACTCACCAGTTCATTTCTGTCTGTTAATGAAAAGAAAATGCTCTATTAAGTAGGGCCCACCAGCGTGCAAAGAAAGTAGTGTCCAATAGCCCGGAGCTAGTGGATTTTGCTATTGGGCTAGTGAATTCTGTTTTTCACTTGCCCAATGGGCAATGGGCAACTGATGTTTTTTTGAGGAATTCAAATAACGTGGAATAACTGTGAAATCGGTTCTGCTAGTCAAAAAGTTTTTGCAGCTAGTTGAAGTGACGTCTGGGCTAGTAAATACTAGCTTCAGCTTCCCTGAATGGCAAGCTGTAAATAAAAATGATTTTCTTTGCACCCTGGCCCAGTCTCTGACTGTCCAACCATGAGTATTTTAATTTTTGGGAAACCTACCATGAACTTGCTTGTGTACTCTGCATGCCGTTGTGTTGAAACGTTTGAAACAATAATTGATGTATATTTGATGCTAGGGTTCTTGTTTTCAAGGACATATGTGAAACATTGTTTTATAACAGTGTGGAGTCAAATGACTGAGGTCATTTTGTGTTAAATGGAATACCAAATTGTCAATTCACGTAGTTATCATTTTTTGAAACAGTGTATTTTGTCTCTGTTATTGCAGAGAAGACATTAGATGATGTCAATCTTACCAAGCTACCTTCTGATGAAGGAACAGTGGTGTACAATAATGAGCCTGGACCTGAGAAATATGTAAGTGCAACACATTATTTCCAAGTTATACTGTAGTGCAGTTATGTAGTGTGACAACCAGTGTGGCTTGATGAGCTGCCAAATTCATTAGTAGTTACAGTGTATGCCTGGAGAACGTTTCCTTGAGAAGATAATTTGGAGCTTAATCAACCACAGCGACAAGGACAACAACAACAATAATTGATAATTAGTTTTATGAGCAAAATAACAGCTCTGCACATGCATCATGCTTTCTAGTGCATGTTGCATTTCTTTGATGTCCATTGCACGTTGGCGTGAAATCTCCTAACGCAACGTTCTATGGGGGACGCGAACATATGAAGCTCCATAAAGTCCTTAAGAATTTAAGTCCAGGAGAAATTGCCTACATTTGACAAATTTAGTAGTTTCAAATAAACACGACAAAGTTTAAGAGGATGCAAACTAATTAATTTTTTTTTCAACGAGGTTTTTATTACTGTTATTGTCATTGCTAAAGCTCTCCATTATTGTAATGCATTATTACTGCGTTAATTTTTTCATTTGTGGCGATTAATTTTCAGTTTGTCAGGTCTCGTGTTGGTGGCAGTCAGATTTTGAACAAACCCTTTTATAAGTTAACAACACCTGATGACCATACTCTGCTTTTTGAGTCCCGATTTGAGTGCGGGAATCTCTTGAGGGCAATAAAAGTGTGAGTAATTGTAACATGTTGTGTAAATTTTAATTCGTGATGTTGTGCTATAAACAGGTCTCTTATTTAATTACCCACAGCCTTACATGTATATAAATGTACAATGTATGTTCACACAAAACATGAGAAAAGGTTGACAGCCTTATGATTTCATTGTCTACATGTATTTGAGTGGTCATTGGGGTAGGGAGACGGGGTTGGAGGGTTAGGGTTAGGGTTAGAGCTGTTTTCTCAGGCTACTAATGGGAGATGTACGCAGTAACTTAAGTTTTTCCTTTACTTGTCGTTTACTGTTCATCATTCCCCCCACTCAGAAATCAGTAATGTTATGTCATTTTTATCCATAATTAATTGTTTTGAGCTGTTTTTCTGTACTCATTTTCTATTTTGAGAATTCCTCACCATAAATCTGACGTTTGTTGTTTGCAGTAAACGGGACTCTAAATCTTTCTATAATGCCTTTTTGTGTGATTTTGGATTTGAAAGAAAGGAAATAAAAATTAATATGGACCAAGAAGGATAAAGTCGAACTACAACTTATGCAGCAAATTTACACGACCCATCGTGGCAGGATTCATAACCCAGTCGGTAGAGCGCTTGACTGCAGAGCAGGAGGTGGTGGGTTCGATTTCCCGAACCGGAACAATACTCAGGGTCTTATTGAAGACGTTAAAATAGTGACCTCAATTAGTGCTTTTATGCAAAATACATTGACACTCAAAATAAGTGCTTTTGTTGTAAAATTACCAACATTGTTTTGTTCGATTGATCTTTTAGAAATGATCATGAATACCAGCTGTGGCTGAGAAATGATTTATACACCAATAAACACACACAGTGGTATTACTTCAGATTACAGAACGCCAGGCCTGACATCAAGTACCAGTTCACCATCATGAACCTACTTAAGGTGAGAGAGGAGGCTGGGAAAAAGGACACGTTTATTTAATTATTGTTCGTTGCTTGTTTTTTGAGGTGTGAGAAACTTCTGATTCTGATCGCTTGATGTTGAATGCAATGGGCCCTTCCACGATTTTTAACATGGACCAGGAAGTGAAACAATGCTAGAAAGATTTGTACATTTGCCAAGTGTTAGGCTAACGAGGATATAGATCCACAAAGTCACGAAATTTTACAGGTTATTCTATGTTGGGGTATAAACTTGCCTACCCCCCCAACTACCATTGTCACGACCACCATACAGACGTCCGTCGGGAGCCCATGACTCATAAGCGCCAGCCTCTGTGAAAAACGAAGAATGAAAACGAGAAACCATAATACGGTTTGCAATGAAATTATTGCCTACAAATTTGCAAGTGAAAAAGGGAAACTTCATTTTATATGAATATGATGTATTAACCCAGATTTTGTTTCTCTTCTCATACTGTAGTCTGGCAGTCTTTATAATGAAGGTATGAGACCTTTGCTATACTCAGAAATAGACGCCGCAACCAAGAAAATCGGCTGGGTCCGAACTGGAGAAAACATCAAGTACTACAAAAATGGCGTCAGGTATAGTACAGAAGATCTGTTCTTGAGCTGCTGTAGGCTAACCAGTTTTCTTAAGGTAAACGTCCTGCACAAATCGGGCCGTGTGGATCGAGAGTAGTAAAGGAAAAGTACTTACTATGTAATGAAATCACGTTATTTAAACCAACCCCTATTTTTCTATATGACAATAGCGAATGAAGTTAGCGTCAGTGATACATGTATTAAAATGTATGGAACAGGGCTTCCTTTGACATAACGTACCTTTGAAACATGCAAACGATTTTTCCAGTCTTGGCACTGCGTTATAGCCGAGTTCCACTACAGTTTCGTTGGTAGGAAATCGTCGAAGAGCATTTTCAGTCGGATCTTCATGAGTGAAAACTGAAGTAATTGCGTCAGCCAATCACAGTGCGAGTAGTCGTTCAAATTTACCAATCAGTGAAGCAAAAACAGCGGGCGAAAAGCGCGGGAAAACGCGTGTGAGCAAGTCATGACGGTATAATGGGTTTATTTTTCATTAGTGGAAGGAAATGGCGTGATCTTTTGTTGAGCCAATCACGTGCGAGCTGATAGTAAAATACGCCAATCAAATTTCGAAGAAATGCTCATAGGGCGGCCGAGTGCAAAGCGCTGAAAAAATACGTGCACCCCGAATTTGTTTTCCATCCAATCACAGAACACAGTAATCCAATGTTAATTGCTTTGGACCTCACTAAAATTTTTAACCACTTTTTCTTGTTGTCATTGTAGACGTGAAGACACCACCAAAGAAAAGTATCACTATTCTCTGACCTGGACGTGTGACTTTCCAAATGAGGACGATACGTACTACTTTGCGCACTGTTATCCCTACACCTACTCAGATTTACAGGTTTGTCTTCTGAATTCAAAATCCTTTACTCTTAAATTTCTAATATATGGATTTAGCCAGGGCTAAAAGCGAAGCTCTGGTTAATAATACGTGTAAAAAAAAAAAAAATTAATCGTGCAATGCTAAACGGGGACGACAATGAAAATGGCTTCAAGACTAATAGATCTAATTAGCAAAAAAAAAAAAAAAAATTGCACGTGCAGCACACTTTTTCTACTATATCAACAAAAACCAAATTTGCACGTGCAGCACGCTTTGCTTTGCACGACAACAACGCTGTTTTGTACGACCAAAACTTCAAACTTCCTAGTTACACATTATTTTTATGGAGGAATTGTCGTGTGTGCTTACCCAATATTTTCTTTCCTGTGTTCGCTTTTATTTTTCACTGCCGCTGATTTTCACCTTGTTGGCTGCTAGCATTTCTCGTTTTTTCACCGCCGCTTTGAATTTCCATGTTTTTCTTCTTACGAAATTCGTCTCCTTTGTTTTGTCAATCACTCGCTCTAGCTCTTTCTCTGTTATCCACGTTAGTGTAAACATAAAAAATAACGCCGACAAAGATACGACTTTGTTGTTGTTTTTTCTTTCTAAAAGTCCCGGCGGCCATGTGATTTCCTTCCAAATAAAACCTTGAGTTGCATTTGGGTTGCCATACCTGTTGATTGAGTTATTTTACATTGGTATGCCTGTGGTGCGGACGGACGGGCGGTCGGTCGGTCGGTCGGTGTACGGTACTGTGAACAATTTCAATAAAGCATATAGGGTAGACTAGAAAAGCCCTTTTTTTTGCTCAAATTAACCCGCTAAGAATGAGATCTGGAGGTCCAATGATTTCTTAAACCGCGGCCTAAGTTAGACTTCGTTTGAATAACGGACGGCGACGGCTACGAGAACTTCAGAATAGCAAGCGATATCTTTAATGAGCAAAACAACAACTTTGCACATGGAGCACACTTTTTTTGTACATTTCTCTGCGTCAGTGTACGACCACGACGTGATGCCTAATTTCACGCTCTTAAGGAGGACGTAAACGAGCGACTACGAAAAATTTTTTTCTGTTTCGGAACTTGGATATGGTTCTGAGGATTTCAACTATATGGGAGTTCGCCTACATTTAACAAAGTTACTTGAGTAGGACTAATCGCGGTCAGAAATGAAAGAGCTGCCGAGGTCGTGGTTGGAAGACGATACTGACTAACTCTAGGTGTCCGCCTTGTAGTACTGTTGGACATTAAAGAAAAGGAATGCAGAATGACAACATCGCTATTCAACTCGTTTTGCAGCAATGTTGCAAAACAAGTTGCATGTTTTTTGTTGCCGGTTTTTCTGTACCTTAAGCTCGTGCAAAGACGGCCGGTATCGTGAATAAGGTCTTTTCAAGTCGCTCCTCACTATCTGAATGGCTTTAAAAAAACCTTTCAGCCTAACGTAGTTGATGTAGGAAATGGTAAGCATGTTGTACATTGCAACCAGTTTCCACCGATATTTGACCCTCCATACATGGATACATAAGCTCTTTTCCTTACGATACTTGTACCTTTTCTGTTTGTTTTGCAAGGAATATCTTCAAAACTTGAGGAATGACCCCGTGCGATCGAGAATTTGCAAACAGAGGGTGTTATGTCGCACTCTTGCTGGGAACTTTGTTTATATTCTTACAGTGACGAATCCCTCGAGAAGGCCAGCTGATGCCGAGGTTTGTAAAATAACTCGTCATAACGTTTTTTTGTGTAAGGCAAATAATGGAAAATTAGTATCTGTAATCAAATGGTGACGAGTGAAATTAGGGAATAATTTCACGAGTATACCGTTATTCCCTAATTTCACGAGTATACCATTTGATTACCTATTAGTATCATGGGTGACGAATTAACGCTGTTATACTACAACATTAGAAATTTCTGCAATTTGATTGGCTTAGAAGAGTGGTATTTCAGCTTAATTTCAAATACCTACATGTGAAAATTACAAACCTTTTGCGGGTAGTAGTATAAACAAATAATAGCATGATTTGTACGTGATATTTGGCATAAATACCACGAGTGATATTTCAACATTGTCTCAAATTTAACTCGCCTAACGGCTCGTGAAATTACGTATAACAATTTTGAAATATCACTCGTAGTATTTATGCCAAATATCACTACAAATCATCCTATTACCTATACAAATTTCGCGCCAAAATCGAGGAGTACTTCGTCACCCATGATGTTATGGTTGTAATTAATAATCTCACATCTGAAATTACAGAATTGCCATGGAAGCCTTCCGTACACGTGTCTTAGTGCCAAGATGGCGACGAAGTTTAAAAATGTTATGAATGAAGATGTTAGGGATCAAAATACGCTTTAGAAAATCTAAACAAACGAAAAAGTACACCAAGAAAACCTCAAAACGTACCTGAAACGTTGTCATAATCAGCATTAGCATCATCATTATCATCATCACTACTGCCACCACCATCACCACCGCCATCATCAATATCAATCATCATCATCATCATCATCATCATCATCATCATCATCATCATCATCATCATCATCATCATCATCATCATCGTGAGACCTTTGCTTTACTTAGAGCTAGACGCCGCACCTAAAAAAATCAGCTGGGTCCGACCTGGGGAAAACATCAAGTACTCTAAAATGGCATCAGGTATTAAGCAGAAGCTTTTGTAGCAAACCAGTTTTTTTTTTGTAAGATGAAAGCCAAATCATGCCGTTTGAACCAAGGGTAGAAAAGAAAAAGTACTTTCAACGAAACCCCATTATTTAACCGTGGAGGGCTGGGTACGAGTCTGTTTATTATGGGATAAACAACACGAGACCCACGTAGTGAGAAAGGGCACGTTGGGGTTAGGAAAACATCAAGTACTCTAAAATGGCATCAGGTATTAAGCAGAAGCTTTTGTAGGCAAACCAGTTTTTTTTGTAAGATGAAAGCCAAATCATGCCGTTTGAACCAAGGGTAGAAAAGAAAAAGTACTTTCAACGAAACCCCATTATTTAACCGTGGAGGGCTGGGTACGAGTCTGTTTATTATGGGATAAACAACACGAGACCCACGTAGTGAGAAAGGGCACGTTGGGGTTAGGAACATTCTTAAGTTTGGCGTTGATTGGGCCTGTATTGAACAAGATACATACATTAAAAAACTCCAAAATTTACTAAGAAATGTATAGACGTCCGGACGGTGTGTCCGGCAATCCATATATCTCTTATAAATTTTCAAGATTTTAAATAGCTGCGTCTTGTTCAATAGTGGCCCGATTGACACCAAAGTTGGGATTTTTCTTAAACTCAATGTTCTCTTTCTGACTATGTGTCTCTTGTTGTTTATCCCACAACAAACGGACTTGAACCCAGCTCTCTTGGGAATGGAATTAGGCAATGCATATGTTAGGTTACAGTCCACGTTCAATTAAACCCACTGTACATGTGGTATTAATTATGTGTTTGTTTGACAGGCCAAACATGGTGTGGTGGTGACGGCACGGGTTCACCCGGGAGAAACAAACTCAAGTTGGATGATGAAAGGACTTTTAGATTATCTCACAAGCAATGCTGCTGATGCTAAGGTTCCATAAGACTGTTGACTGTTTTGTGTTTGTTTAACAGCTGGTATAAGGTGATTTAGCATAGGATTGTCTGAAACAATTAAGGCTGATCATGGCGAGGTTGATTACATAAACTGCAACTGCTTTCTTGTACACTCGATATCAGCCAAAATGTCAGTATTTCTCGCAAAGTTCACCTATAACCTAGACTACGAGCGTTCTCTCTTTTCTTAGTCTGTCGAGCGGAACGTGCGAGACACGAAAATGACCACGCGTGTGACTAAAGGCGCGAGACGGGAGAGGCTTCGCCGCTCGACGCTCGCGCGCTCGTGCACTCCCCTCTTTAAATCTGAAGAAAAATAGAGACTGCTTGCAGTCTACCTATAACCAGGCCATTCAAACGTATCCCTTATAGGTCGATTCATTTTCAGCATACTCGCATATCCGTTGAAATGTTTCATTGTTTTCCGGCTTAAAAACAGTAAAAATTCCCAAGAGGCCAAGGAGACGGCCATACGCATACAGCTATTTCGAGAAAGGTTGTCGGAAAAAGTGCACGCGACAAACCCGAAAGGTATTGTGGGTGCTTTTGAGTGCACTGGTCCTCAAAGAAATTTGAAAGAATGGCACGGGAGGCCACGGACATATGTTTGCGAGTGCTAAAGGAAAGCAACAAAAGTAGGTTCGACAGCGACAGTCGTTAGGAGCAGTGTAATGATCATATCCCATATTACCTTTCATATCCCATATTACCTTTCGTGTGTACATTTTTTCCGACAACCTTTCTTGAAATCATGCGAAATAGCTGTATGCTTCAAATTAATCCACCCTAAAAGCAAAGGACGTAAACAAGTGCCGACGACATTTGGAACTTTGAAGAGTTCAACTCAAAAGACTCCATAAGAAATTGGAATTGGAATCAATGTGGTCTTTTCTCTCTTGTTTGCAGCTTCTACGAGACACGTTCATTTTCAAGATTGTTCCCATGCTGAACCCAGATGGAGTCATTGTTGGAAACTATCGCTGTTCATTGGCTGGCAGAGATCTGAACAGGAACTATAAGACGGTTTTGAAAGATTCTTTTCCTCCAATATGGCACGTGAGGAGCATGGTTCGAAAGTGAGTATGTTCTTCGTCTGTAGTGAACTTTACTTGAATGCTTGGGACTTTCAGTACAGTCTAAAATCTACGTAATTGTGCATTTTTTTGGCAGGTTGTTAGAGGAACGAGACATAACTTTGTACTGTGATCTTCATGGGCATAGTCGTAAACAGAATGTGTTTATATATGGCTGTGAAAATAGGTTTGATCCCCAAAAGACTCAGGGAGAGAATTTTTCCTGTAATGATTTCGAAAAATGCGCCAACCAAGGTAAATTTTGTTGCAGGTGTGATATACTTATGTAAAATCAGCCTTGTTTTGTTGTTGTTGCTTTGTTTGTCCTTTTCTGCTCGTCTTGTAGTTGTAACCTGAATTTACTTTTTTTCTTTCACCGTAGTTCTCATTCAAAAGCTGCAAATTTAAGGTCCAAAAAGCAAGGTAGGTGTATCGTTTTGGGGATAAAATGAACAGAGTTGGTTTCCTTTAGTTAGTCTTGTATGTAATTTTGGCTGCTCTATGGGGGATACCTGATATGATAGCGTATTTTTGATTGTGCTGTTCTTGGTTGTCCTGTGCAGGAAGGAACTGGGAGAATTGTGATGTGGAACTTGGGAATTTTGAACAGCTTCACTATGGAGGTAATTCTGCGTGTCGTTTTTTTTAATGTTTTGCATGCTAGTCCACGCTGCGGCGAGACGTTTCTACAGTGAGTAGTGTCTGTGTGAGCTGTCTGCTATTACTCGACGTACAGCTTTTCAAACTACAGTCGAAGCTCTCTTTACGACCATTCTCGTAAGCGTCCAGCTCTAGTTACGACCACCTTTGTGAAACCCCGTTTGACCCGTGACTGAAACTTTGTAATGAAAAGCTTTCGTAAGAGACCGCTTTTGTAAGCGATCGCAACCACTTTTTGGAATCACCCAACTGGACTTTTCGTTTGTTTTAAAGCTCTCGTAAGCAACCACTCAGAGTCTTATTCATATAAATCTCAACTTTAATGAAACTGAATACTATGCTAATGGTTCGTTGAAAAACATTTTGCACAGTGCAGTATTGTATTTTGTAAACGTCCAAGTTCATCTTAGCCTGCGTGCCAACGACCACTCAGTGTCTACATCAGGTACACGTATCTGAGAATCAAACCATACCGGAGTCACCTGCGTGTCTTAAAATTTTTTCTGATTTTGTGGCCATGCCTTTAGTTTGGTTCGTTTGTTTTTCCTAGGCAACCTTCTGTGGCTCGTCATTGGGAAAACGTGCAGGGTATCACTTTAACACAGTCGACTTTGAGTCAATGGGATATCATTTGTGTGACACTCTGTTAGACTACTGTGATCCTGATGATTCGAAGGTTTGTCGTAGCTTTGATTTCCAGCACAACGGGATTTAAATAAAAGAAGCAATGTGAATATCTTATCACCCACTACCCTCAAGGCTTTTCAGGAATAATTTTCAACACTGGTTGGGGGACGTTCTTCTAAACTGCTTATGGTACAGTTTACAATTACTGAAAGAAAGAGTATTGATGCCCCCTATGTGAGTGTGAATTTGAGATTGACCACCACACCGGGGTCTTCGTCCCCTTCTCATAACAATATCCATACAATGTCAAGAGATTAGGTTATGAGAATTAATTAAATGATCACCAAAGAGAAAATGCTTTGATCTTTTATCAAACTCTCTCAACTTATTCTTTAAAGAAATGTATAGAGATCAGTTTGGAGAATTCGCTTGTGGATATTGGGGCTTAAAGGGTTAAGATCCAATGACCGCAACGAGAACGTCAAAAAAGAAATAATAAAAGCGAAAAACAATAGGTTTAATAAGCAAAATAAACAACTTTGCACGTGCATCACACTTTTTTGTACATTTCTTTACCGTTTTACGCCATGAAAATGTCTAATTTCGCGTTTTAAAGAGAACGCAAACAAGCAACGACGAAATTTTATTTCTCTTTCTGAACTTGCATATGGTCCCCTTGAATTCAACTTCAGGAGGGTTCGCCTGCATTTGACGAAGTAAGTCGGTAGGAATAGTCGCGGTGAAGACCGAAAGAACGCAAATTCCCTTTTCAAGCGACTTTCTCGTTGCCCTCGCGTCCGTGGATCTTACTTACGAACCGTGTGTGGGTCCTTTATCGTCCTACGCATAATTTATTATATAAGCAAAGGGTTTAGAGACGTGGCCTTCTTATCCAAGAAGACTAGGAAATCTAACCGTTTACAGAAGTCATTAGAAAGGCAGCAACTTTCTCCTCAGCTGTTTAAAAACCCTGAGTGTTGGTTCGGCTGATGTTTGAACCGGCGGCCTCCCGCTTGGCAGACCGGCGCTTATTAATTGATTTTCATTATATTGGCAACTGTGAGGCTGAAATTGGGTCGGTGTTGTCTCGAATTCCACCATAGAACTGTTCACGGGACGCGTTCTCTTCTTTTGTTGCATATTAGGATGTTACTTACTGTAGAAAAAGTGGCTCAAAATTCGTCCCCCAAAACAGTCCCACAGTGCAGTTCGACGCAATTCTTACCCAGTCTTTCGCGTAATCCCACAACGATTAATTTTCTTTTCAGTACATAACCATCTTAAGAGAGCTGGAATTAAAAATGAAGGCAGATATTTTAGAACACATGAAACGCAAAGGAACTGCTGCACATAACTTGACGGAATCCGACATAGATCTGGACCTTAATTACCCATCGGATATAGAATCGAGGTACGTGAAAAGTATAAACCCTTTAAGTTTAGTTATGGTAAAAGCCATTGAAAAGCCGTTTAAAAGTTATTAGCAGAAGGCTTAAGATAGAATACCCTGGGAAGCACTGGAGGCCTCAGGATATAATCTTTTTGTTTCCTTGTACGATCTTTGAAATAATCTTTTTTACGTTTTAGCACTGGTGGTTCAGACAGTTCCGTGTCGGACGGTCTTCCCATGCATCTAATTTACGCTCCTGAGGGACTGAAATTGGTAAGTATTTATCTCGGTAATGTTGTTTCAATTGCGTTTCGTAATCTTATTACTTTTGCATGCCAATCGCAAAAACACAGACGTTCATTGCACCACTTAGAATTCCGAACGTATACATATAGCCAGTGCGTCGCCTTAAAAGCGCGCGAAAATGCCGGCCAGATGTCATCTGGTTTTGTTGGTAAAGCGGTGCCATTTTTTGCTAGCCAATCACAAAAGTAACCTTTCACACCCAAAGAAATGATTACTTTTTTCGCATTATCACTTTTGAAACAGTTTAAGCGAAGGAGGCCATCTTAATTAGTCTTTTATTTTTTTTAGGAACCAAGGAAGAAAAAATTAAAGACAAGAAAAGAACGTAACAAGCGACGTGCGAAAGCCATGAAAGTCAAGGACGTGTTGTTAGCTGATGTGGCCAAAAGATCTGCTGTAAGTGTTGTTACAGTCAACTTCCTCTTAAATAGAGAGCTTAAGCAACGACGACGGCGACAGCAACGAGAACGGCAAAAAAGCAATAGGTTTAGATTGGCAAAACAACACGTGCATCAAGCTTTTTTGTACATTTTTTTTGCCGTCGCTGCAGGACTACAATGTGAAAGCGCCTACGAAGACAAAGACTTTCTCTTTCTTTTCCTGAACTTTGATACAGTCCTTTAGAATTCAACTCAAGAAAAACTTGCCAACATTTGGCGAGTTAAACGAGTTGGAATGAGCGCGATAAAGTTTGAAGTAGGGCGAATTCAAGGTATTTCTTTTTTTAAGTGACGTTTTCGTAGACGTCACCGTCGTTGTTGCTTAAGCTCCCTAATGACACCTCTATAAAACAGACACCTCGCTAAAGCGGATACCTAGAAGTGGTCCCGGCTTACCTTCCTCAGTTACTCCTTGGCTGACTATCTAAACGACGCCACAGACATCTCTCTAAGACCGTCACATAGTGCCGGTCCCGAAGGTGTCTGTCTTAGAAAAAGCTGCCTGTATATATATTGCTTAGCTTGTCGCAAGCTTTGAATACAGAGACAAAAAAATAAATCACCGACGAGAATGTAACACCCTACTTTGTGGTTGTTGACATTTTCCCGCTGTACTTTTAACAATGTTTATTGATTCTTTTTTGCCTTTTTTACATATAAATGAAGGGGAAAAAACATCACGGAATTACACGTAATATACACATTTCAAAAGACAAAAAATTCTCAGAAGGCGAGGAAGTCTCAAGAAGCCATGAAGGCTTATAGGTGAGACTTCCTCTTGACATTGATTGTTTATACGTGACTTGTTCCTTGTTTCTATTTTACCAGCAACACTATCCACCTAATGAAGTCAAGTTAATGTATCAAAGACATCATCCGAAGGTGAGCGTCTAAGTTGTGTTGAGATATCCAGCTGAAACCCCGTAAACTGATATCCAGACAAAACGGTTATAAAAATAGTCAACTTTATAGAGGTAGAACGATTACTGGTAACCCAGTCGTTTTAATTGTAGATCTCAAGTAAGAACAGAAGAAATATTTGAAAATAAACTTATCAAGGTGAACAATCCAAACTGGCCGGAGGCAAACCAATTAGCTATTTTACAAGCGTGACCGAGCAGTTGAACTCCGGACTACCGAGAACAAATCCGGCGCCTCCGGATTGCAATTCTAGTGCTCTAACTGCTCGGCCACGCTGCGTCCTCCAGTGAGATAACGAGATCCTCAAGAAATTAAAAATTATATAATTATAAAATCTTGTCTTCGTAACGTTATTAAATCTCGAAATTAGAGGTGACAGACTTCCTTCAGCTGTTCCTTGTCAGCAGTTGGTGATTAACTAATTTTGTGGTCAGTATTTCAGCACAGCGATCCTATGGTGGACAGAGTCATCGAATGTAAACTTGTCTCCAATTTTCTGTACTCGAATTGGAAGCGATTATTCAGTTTACGCGTTGTCGCAGAAAGACGAAAGTTTGCCAGTTGCACTCAATGGTAGAAAACCGATTCATTACTCTCCCCGACGACCAACCGTTGACGGAGAAGTCTTGAGACCCTGGGTGTGAGATTGTGCCGACACAGTACAGTGGAACCGCGTTAATACGGTCACCAATGGGCAACAAAAAAATTGGCCATATTAACGAGGTTTTTTTTGTTTTTAACGAGAAAATGTATGGCGGCTTTTGCCAGGCGGCCAAACAAAAAGTGACCGTAATGACGAGGTGACCGTATTAACGAGGTGGTCGTAAGGCGGGGTTTCACTGTAGCTCAGTGGTTAGACCGTTTGAACTAGAACTCGGAGGGTCGTGAGTGCGATTCTCACCCGGAGCTTTCTAGTGTTAGAAATCTCCTTCTTCCAATTAAATCGATTTCTTTTAATCTTCTCCAGCGGTCTTCTCAACCCAGTCCAGCGCGCATGAAGATGGACAATCCACAGGTTCGAAAGCATGAACACAAGGATTTAAACAGCAGATCATCCACGCCTGCCTCACAACCCAGCGTGCTGAGAATGGATGGAAATTCTTGTAGGGTAGGTCAGTAATGTAGTTCCAAGAACGCTCTTTACTAAGGATGTCTGTCAATTTCCAAGGTGATGATACTTTCCCCTCCTCCTCCATTTAAAACCCGACGGACATTTTTTTCTTTACCTTTTCTGTAAGTCACCTAAAAATAGTGTTCCGCTTGTCCCACAAGGGGAACGGGCTATCCCAGGAGCTGGCTATCCAGAGGTAATTTATTTTAGCACGACCTTCCGAACGATTGCGACGTACAAGTTTGCATTCCGCCAGTTATTTTCTTCTGTTGTCAACTTTTTTACCACGTGTTTATTACAGTCAAGTGGAAAGATTAGGGTGCATCCGGCGTGGCGACGAAATCAATTTCCTTTGAACTCATTTGACGTTGTTATTATTGCCAACTTCCGCCAAAGGGACCGAAGACACAGATTTATAGACAGAAACAGACAAAGAATTTGAGAGGAGGGGGAATGTAGGATAGTATGAATGTCCCATCAGTTGGCCAACACGTTCTCTCCGATGTAGGGTGTGGGGAACCCTAGGTAATCTTAGCCTTCTCCAAAGCAGCGACAATATGATGATCAGAGTTTTTAAGGGTGAATCATCTCAAGGAAAACAAAGCAGTGTAGCCGCTTTTAATATTTTCACAGCATGATTACCTGGAAGCTGTGACCAGCGCTTACATGATGAGTGGAGTGCTAGTGACCGAGTCTAAAGGTAAAGAAGCCATTTTTGTTGGCCATCGTCATTTTATTGAAGCCACCCACTACTAGCCTGTGTACAGCCCCCAATCCCTCAACTCCTCGCGGAAAGACTCTCGCTCCCCAGGCGGAGAGAGTGGCTGTTCACAGGCTACCCACCACCAAAGTTAGTTTGACCTTTATCAGTTAGCGAGCTATTTCCACTTGAAGTTTCCCCATAGACGCGCATCAACTTTTTGGTACTTACGCATTCATTTATAAGGGCACCTCTCTATTTTGGACAGCTGTCGCGGTCCCAGATATACCAAGCTTCATACAGCTCGTACCGTCATAACACGGACACCTCTGTGATACGGACCTTGGCTCCGTCCCTTTTGCGTCTGTGTTTATTAGGTTTGACTGTATTCCACTCACAATCTCACTTAATGTTTTCTTTTTTCTTCAGATGTTCCACATTTTCGCTACACGGATGGTAAAACATACTTAAAGGAAACGCTGTCCCCTGAACGAAATGACAAGTAAGCGATTTCATTTTGTAATATGAGGAGTTAATCATCAAAGCAGGTTTACTATTCTACATTTATGAAGTGTTTGCCATGGAACCGCAAAAATTGCTTAAGCTACGTTCGGGTAAAGTGCTGCAAAGTTTGATCGCGAGCAAGATAAATTTCTATAGACGCAAGGAAAGTACTTAGTAGTTGAGTTTGTGTTGTTAATGCTATTCTTTTCACTGCTCCGAATAAAAATGGTAAGTTTTATTTTCACATTTTACTTCCCAAGTTACGCTATTTTTCGTAGAAAAAAGGAAACCTAACATTTTCGGATTCAAAAATGCGATGGAGAGAGGAATCAAAAACTGTCTCACTTTCGTAATACGTCAAATTGCATCAAAAATTTTTCGGGGAAATAATATTCAAGCCCTTGTGATTTCGAAAAGGCTTTAGTTCTCCTAGGATGACCGAACAGATACAAATTTTATAGCGCCGCTCAGAATGCACCTCTAGAGATCTAACAGTACTCTGGATAGCCTAAAAAGTGTTTTCAATTTCTTTGGGAGGAAACCGTCGTTGGGTGCCCCCGCTGCTTAGCAGTCGTTCCCGTAAAAGGGAAGCGTGAAATCCGACGCAAGAGCAAAAAGGGGAGGGTAGGGTGGTTCAAGCAAACTAGTGCAGAATAAATTCACAGAATAAGAGGCGAGTTACATAGTCTGCTACACAGCCGTTTTAAGTGTCGTCACGCAACGCTCCTCCCCACAGGATGCGTTGCGTGACGACACTAAAAACGGCTGTGTAGCATACTACAAGTTACAAGAAGGGAGCAAAGACACCATACCCAGAGTAGAGTACCGTTAGGAAAATGCACTCGCCAACCATGACCTCTTGTACCCTATATGTTGTTTTATAACACATTGTATGGAGCTTTGTGGTTTGTGCTTCATGTAAATCCTGTTTTGTTAGTATAAGTGGTTGGTCTGTGGCCAGTCATGTGCCTCACCCTCAAGGATTTGAAATTAGTGAAGAAGAGGGACATTTCACAGTGTCTTACTTGGCGAAGCAGCTGGAAAAAACGACTGGTACGTGAAATGAAAGAAAACACGATTATAGCGAAATAGTGTTTTTTCGTTTGTTTGTCTTTCCCTTTACATCATGTGTCATGTGTCTACAGAATTCAATGTGTCTATTTCAAGTAAACCTGATTTGATCAAGTTTTTTTGCCTGGTTTCGTTAAATCCCCTCCAATCATGTGTGTAAGCATCGGTCCACTGTTTGACAGTTTCATTAAAGCAAACGAAACCAAATCTGAATTGAGCATTTTTGTAGTTTTCTTATAGAAGTTTCAAAATTGATAATAATAAATAATGATAATTTGCGTCATTCATGGTCATTAGTTTTCCTTAACAATGGCCGTTTTTATACTAAGGACGCATTATCCATGTGGACGAACTTGGGTAAACGTTTTGTAGTTCGTCTCGATATGCGTCTAAAGTATAAAGACGGGCACAAGACGCATGTTTCCAGACGAGCTACCTTTCCTAGTGCGTCGTTCAAGACGTATTACAAAGGATATTTCGTCCAGACGTATAATGCGTCTTGTGCCCGTTTTTATACTTGGGATGCATAACCAGACGAACTACAAAATGTTTGCCCAATTTCGTACAGACGGATAATGCGACTGTAGTATAAAGAAGGCCATAGACGCATTATCCGTGCGTGTGGACGGATAACGCGTCCTCTAGTATAAAAGCGACCAATGTGTTAGCATTATTAGGTCGGATGTCTTTGATTTATGGTGAAAGCATAAACCGTAGTAACGTATTTCTCTTAATTTACTCATTTTATTTACATCGAAAGTAGTTACAGACGGCTATTGTTCCAAGCGTCGTGTGTGTGGAGTCCAGTGTCACAATAAGCCCCTCAACTGTGTGCGCGGCAAGCGGTCGGGGGGATTGGGGACTGAAATGGGCTTGTGACAAGGCGGAAGGAACGCGAATTAACCTCTTTCCCCTTCGCTTTCGACAGATTAACCATCTTCTTAATGCGTGGACGTCAAAGTCAAGATACACGACAACCGGTGGAAGGGAACTTATTTCTGCGATTTTGTTTTGTAGAATGCACCTCTCCAGTACCGCGACTGAGTCGGAACGAAAACAGAATCAGTTCAGCCTTGGATCTGGCGCGAAAAATCACTATGTACAACTCGCGCTACAAGACAGCCGGTATAATAGCACAGGAGACTGAGTTTCAGCCATCGCCATCACTCAGACCCAGGACTCCCGTTCAACCTTATCCTTTCTTTCCATGGCAACCGAAGGGAGACTGCTTGTCCAGCACCAAGGTATAAGTTAAAAAAATTCAAGGCAACTCACGTCATTTCGAAAAGTAAAGTACACAATGCATTTTTGCGCCATGCACAGTTCCAAAGTACTACCTTGTTTCCGACTTGATGTGACCACACAAATGAAGGCCAGTATAAACAGCACTTTCCTGTGCGTATGTTTATTATACTCTTCAAGATGACTCCAACGTTTGAATGTGTAGATGAAATCGTAAATTGTGACCACTCAAATGAAAGCAACAGAGAAGTGCTTTCCTTTGGAGTCCTAAAGTGTGAAGGATACTAAGTAGTACGTTCCTATGGTAATGTTTGTAAGCGGAGCACCATAGGTGAGAAAATTTGGTTATTCATGCATCGGAGAAATTTTGGTAGTCGCGTGACCGTACGTGCTCCGTCCTCACCACGGGATAACCAATGTGAAATGACCTTTTTTAATTTGAGTGGAATCTTCGACCCGTGCGGTTTTAATAACTTGATGACAGACGTCTGTGTTACGGTCATCTTGGCCAACCGGACTTTTAGAGAGCTAAAAAAACAACAACGAAGCTGAGTCTATTTTTCGACTAAATTTTAATGTCTATGCTGACGTGGATAACAGAGAAAGAGCTAGAGCGAGAGATAAAAAACAAAAGAGACAAATTTAGAATCACAACGTGAAATTTTTAAAAGCGGTGTTGCCAGAAGAAAAATGAGAAAATAAATGTTAGAGGCCAGTAAGGTTAAAATGAGCGGCAGTGAAAAAGAAAGTGAACAGAAACACAAACAGTAATTTTTGGGGGGGAGAACATACGACGTTTCCTCCGTGAAAGATGTAACTAGAAAGTTTCACGTTGTAGTTGTGCAACAAAAACGGCAAAGAATGTACAAAAAGTGTGCTGCACGTGCAAAGTTGTTTTTTGCTAATTAAACCTAGTGTTGTGGTAGATGTTTTGTCGTTGTTGTTGTTGGTTTTTCTTTGCCGTTCTCAATGCCGTCGCCGTTTAGCATTACACGTTTTTATTTTTGCTTGAGTAAATTATACGTTTTGTAACGAGGGGCTTCGCTTTTAGCCCCGGCTAAATTTATATATTATGCTCTATAAGGTGGTTCTAGCCAGGGGGGGGGGGGGCTGGCAGCGAGGTCTGGAACCGAGTTTACATGATCGCCCCAGTTAAGAAATTTGGCCGAGTGAGACTGAGTACCAATTTTCCTTCAAAACAAATATGGCGGAGTATGCGGACATGGAAAGATGATGAGTTTTCGCTCGGTTTTACGTTTTACGGCGTCCAAACATCGAGAAAAGGTTTTCATGAACTTTTCTCATGAAATTTTTGGACATCAGGAGGCGTGATGTATGAACAGTTCATGAGTGACTTCGCTCATCGTGATTCGGCACCTTGGCAAGTTCAGTTATTTATAAGCTTCGTGAATTTTCGAGCGACCAGCCTCAGGGCAGCCTGCTCCATCTCTTATATATTTTTTCACGTACGGTGGTATTAAGAACTCTGTGCCTTATCCTAAACATATGCTTCGAGCTCATTATATTAGTGTGAGTCTTGCAACAGTTATATGGGAATGTTCATTAAACCAATTTTGTACTTCGCTGTTCGTAAGTTTGTTTGTACACCGGGAGCCACAACAAATATTTGTGGGTGTAAATACAGAATACAGGGCTAATTTAGTAAAAGCCAGGTGAAATCTTCCAATCACTTTGCTTCACATATACTGGGTCTGTCAGTATAAGCTATTTTTAATATCAAAAGGCTGCAGGGAAGGGCTTATTGAATCTTCAAAACCTTCACTGGAATATCTTTTGAGTGATAATCAATAAATAGCTCCAACAGCAGTACTGTATTTAGCAGTTTTATATTAGATAGTGACTTCGGTTTTGAGTAATTCCTTGAAATCGTTTGTACAAAAATTACCCCATAGTTTTGAATTATACTTGAATCTGAGTGTGGGGACAAGAGGTTAATCCAGTTGCTAATAAGAGTGAGTATATCAGAGAGGGATATGCTCAGTATACATTGAGAAAATCCCTCCAAGGACTGAAGTACAAGAAACAGAAAAAAGAAAATTGAATGTTTTACAAAGTTTATAAAGAGAATCAGAAGGACCTTGAAAAATGTACAACTTCAATTGTTTGTGTAAGTTATGAATCTGATTTACAAGTACAATAAACAAGGTAAAATTGACTTTTTATCAACCATCAAAAGAAGTTATTGTCCCTTGAGCTCAATCCCCTCAGCAGTTCTTTCTACATACTACCCTTGGCTTATTTGGCCTAGATGGGTATGTGCTGCTGATTTAGGGTGGTGACCATATATTCACCCTTTAGAGTTTTGAACAGGGTGTCTGTTTGGGCTGTGAAGGTTGTTGAAGAGCAGTCCAAAGTCACAATTTGGGTACCAACATTTTTTTGCGCAAGTTTTTTCCACATTTCTAAGTTTAAAATCTAACTTAACTCTGTATGCAAAATGAAGTGAATCAGGATTACAAAATAAGGTCTCTTGACTTAAAAAGGGTAGGGAAATGAACAATGCTACTACCCATACTCTCTTTTAGTGCAAGCCCAGGAAGTGGATCTCACATTTTAATACCCTTTTACCGCTTGTTATAACAACAAAGTCAGTGAAAGTTTATGGTACATGTATCTGGAAAATGTTTTTGCCTGCCTTAACACAAGTTTCTAACTGTTATTGTTGACTACAAGTAATATCATCTTAATAATCATTTTACATTTTTTCCAAGACATCCTTTGGTGTTTTGCATATCCACTGGTACAAGGTAATTTTTAAGTTGAGAGGGTTTGATTTCATTAACTACATTTTTATACAGACACAAACTAACCTGGCAGGTTGATGTCCAAAAGTGTAAAAAATTACATGCAACTGTATGGCAAAAACTAATCACCGTGGCCAAAGGAAAGGCAAAAATAGAAATGTCATCATTTTCCTGACTTTATACATTCCCTTGGAAGCATATTTAGCCAGATGTAGTCCTTGTCAAAACATGCAAACTTGAAGATTTATTTTCTGAACTTAGCTAATCTTTTTTAAACCATAATCTTGTTCCAAGGGGTGGTGTAGTTTGTAAAATTTATAATTTTTCCCTCTTTTTTTGCAACAAAACACACTTGAATTAGGTCTTAAACTGAAGGCAGTGTAGTAACTGCTGTCATGAAAAGAGAATTCCAAACACACAAGATAATTACCCTTTCATCTACCTAAGATTCATTTGTTAGAAACTACCCGCCACGGTAAAGTTTAAATTAAATCGCACGAAGAAAAGAACTTAAGCATATCAACATGTGCAAAATCAAGAGAGAATGATCTCTTGGCAAAATTTATTTAGCTTCTCGTACATAAAGAAATACATGAACTACGAGATTTGACCATGCCACTCAATCATCCAACGCAACTCTGCCATAATAAGTTCACAATCAAGAATGTAGAACTGAGAATCTCAATCATCATTTCTCGTCGTCTTAAAGGTGTAGTGAAGCCGTAAACAACTCTCAGCTGAACTCTGACAACTCTTCTACTCAACCACATACCAGCACCGCACTTTTTTTAATACCACGAAGAATTAATTTTGGGCCTTTCCATTGAAAATATAAACTCTTCTACATACGTATTGGAGGGTTGGCCCTTCTTTTACTCTTGCAATTCGTGGGTCGTCTAAACAGAAACGAATCATCAAAAGGTCGGGCATCGAGAAACATGTTCACTGGTCTCGTTCTTACCGTAGTAAACCGGGCGACATTTAATGACAAACGCGAGACCAGAAGAAAGGAAAAGGTAAGCTCCACATTACCGAGGAACAAAACGAAGAAACCAATGACCAACGGGACCAAAAGCAACTTCACTTCACACTGCCGAATCGCTGCGAAAAAGCTTCTAAGACGAACTTGTTGTTTTCCCAACCCGTTCCGCGCATGCTCGCTACAGTTTTCGGATGATTGACAGATTTCTTAACTGGGGCGATCACGGAAAGCCGAAAAGCGGCAAGATCAAAGGCCGTTGCCAGCCCCCCCTGGTTCTAGCTTTTGAGTCCATGGATGAGTGACCATTCAATGTTCCGTGCAGTGCCGGTTATTATGCTTAACAAGCCTCTCCTAACATTGTTGTGTGTGAATAAAATCCTAAGTGGTGACTGAGTGTACTTATTCTCTTCTGCTGGTCTTTTTTTTGTAGGCACGTTTGTATGAACCCTCGAAGCCTGCGAAGGAAGCGGAAGTGCGAAAATCCTTGTCTCAGATGTCACTCGAAGAAAAGAAAACAAAAAAAGATCAAGTTTTAAAAATCTGTCAAAGAAGAAAGCTGTATCCGTTGTTGTAGATGAGGGAACAAGTTTGCAAAAATCTAACAACGTGGGACACGAAAAACGAAGGTATTATTTGCTAACTCAAGCGCTAGCCTCAGGGAAACATTCTTAGAACATTTGTTGTGAGAGTGTTCTCGATCGAGCGTTTTCGAAATTTCTAGCTTTACACGTTGTGGTCCCCGTAAAATGTTTGAACTTACAGAAGCAGTTTGCACGTTCAACCTTAAGCCCAGTTGACCTCAAATCTAATGAAGTTAAAATGTTCAATCAATGTTTTGCTGTCAGACGGGGCCAGGGTCTGGAATTTTCTACTGGCTGCTATAAGCACCACACTGGCTACATTGGGAGGAACGAAAAGGAAAATAGAATATCAGAACTTCTAAACTGTTCAATATCCAAACCTCTAATTGCATATAACCAGCCCTGTGGTACCATTCTAAAGTACTGCAAAAGATTCCGAGGACAGACAAAGGACGTTCGCATTTTAATCTTTAATATATTACCTTAAGTTCAACAGCTTGGGCCCAAAACCACCTCTCAGGCTTTGAAGAATAGTAAACTGTCCATGACACAGTTGAATGCACTGGACAGTGCGCACGCTCAACCACAGCCATTGGTAGGACCCAGGCCCATGAAGAAATACACGGGCAATGGTCACGCGCAAGTTAACAGAAACCCTACTGGCTTGGTTAGTTATTAATGTTTTTCGCTTAATACTTGGTCCCTGTATGCTGTGGGCATGCCTTCATGCACGTAACAGAAAGCTTAAAGAAGCAAGGACAATACCATATAGAAGAATTAACCTATCGCAAGAGACTATAAAGGGGACAGAGAGGGCATCCCCCATATACATCCTATTCCATAGGTAATTCGTCTCGAGTTATTTTTAACGCTACAGATCTCAAGGGGGATTAGACAACAGCCAATCACATAGCGCGAATGTGTTCCGCGTGGATGACCCACGCTGAGAGCCACGCGTCCGTCACGAAAACGACTATAGAGAGATTTCTGCGAAAGCTGTGTCAGCGAAACCGAAATTAAAAAAGAATCGCCCTTCCTCTCTTGTATTGAGCTAACAGTAGAGCAGGGAAATCCTTAACACACTGAATATTCTCTCAGGATCATTTATAATTTACAGTTTGAAGAGAGCAATTTCTGGTTTGATGTTTATTTTTTTTCAGTCTTTATAGCGATTATTCCTACCCACTTACTTTGTCAATTGAAGGCGAACCCTCCTAAAGCTGAATTTCAAGGGACCATATTCAAGCTCAGAAAGAGAAATAAAATTTCATCGTTGCTTATTTACGTCCTCCATAAAACGCGAAATTAGGCATGTTCACGTCGTAGTCGTGCAAAAACGGGAAAGAAATGAACAAAAAAGTGTGTTGCACGTGCGAAGTTGTTGTTTTGCTAATTAAACCTATTGTTTTTTTGACGCTCTAGCTGTCGTCCGCGTCGTTGGATCTTAAACTCCCTAAATTGTACAAACGAACGGTTTCAATAGACCGGCGAAATTTCTCATTTTATTAAAGCATTGAGGTTACGACAACTTCGAGTTAAACTGATTTCACGGGTTGTCAAAGAGTCCAGCGATTCCTTTTTCCCAGGTGAGCGCCGACTCATTTCGCTTCAATATTCAGGAATGCTCTCGATCTTTTTACGCTTTCATTGCCTCTCGCCCGACATGTTTTGCACGGCGTTTGGTCATGCGAAACCTCCACGAAACATCCACGCCTCGCGCGAGGTAACTTTATCCCGATTCTAAAAATAACTCGAGACGAATTACCTATGGAATAGGGTGTATATTGGGGATGCCCTCTCTGTCCCCTTTATAGTCTCTTGCCTATCAAGAATATAAACGTGGAACGTGATTGAAGCCTACCAGTGCGGTATAGCTGCTTGAATCTTTTTAAAGCAAAATATATCTTCATTTTCCTGATATAATTTAAGTCAATTTATCTTCACCACCTTTGGCTGTTTTTCCCTTGTTTTAAGAACAAAAACTACCGTACGTCAACCAGAACGTCGAAAAAAGCAATACGTTTAATAACCAAAACGACATCTGAAAAAGTGACACTTTCTTGGTTCATTTCTTTACCGTCACTTAAAACGACGACGTAAAAATGCCTTATGAGGCGTTGTATAGAGAACGTGACTAAACGGCGACGACTAACTTATTTTGACTTGATAATGACGTTCAGCTAACGTCGAAACGTCGTCGCTTTTTAGCAATTTTTTAATCTTAAAATGATTTTAAGAAATGTTTTATCGCAATTTTTTATAGTTAAATGAATTTTTGTTTAGGGCTGTTTAGATCCTTGTACCAGGAAGATCGTAGAAGGCGGAACAACTTTTTGTTGAGTTTACACGCAGAAATTTCAGTCTTGTGGTCCCTAAGTAGAGAAGGATTTAGAAGGAATTAAAAATAGCGTGTAACAAAAAACAGAAATGCAATTTGGGCCCTTCTGCTCTCTTTACTGACCTTAATTACCACCTTTCAGCAGCTTTATCACAATAATCAGTTCGTGGTAACGCCAAACGAAATGATCGGCCTCCATTGCCGTGATTAGCCAGTGAACGACCCACCGCCATTTTTGTCTGATTTGTCCCTTGTACCTGGATCTTCGTAGCATGGTGCTAGGATCGTTCAGCAAAGGAAGATCCTAGCGCTTGGGACAAGTAGAACCCATTGCATGTAAACCGAATACAGAAAACATATGGTCCTAGGATGATCCGCCTTCAAGGGTCTTCCTTGTGCTAGGATCTTTCTCCCAGCATGAAAACAGGCCCTTTCTCTTTTTGAACTTGGGTATGGTTCGTAGAGATTCAACTCCGGGAGAGTTCGACTTTCATTTGTCAAAGTGAGTGAGTTGGAATAATCGCGATCTCGTTTCAAAGAACGCGAAATCACTTTCGACGTTCCGTCGTGGTGTCCTAAACGCTCTGGCCCTGGTTGCTCGAAGCATGGTTAGTGCTAACCAGCGTTAAATACCATGGAAACCTATACATTTTGATACCTCTTAACCAACGGTTAGCGCTAACCAGGCTTCGAGCAACCGGCCCCTGTTGTTTTTGGGAGTGAATGGGTTTAAGGAAGATGTGCACAGAGATGTGGATAACATACAAGAGCGAGAATTATTTTTTTAGAAATGGTTAGACGTACACTTAAAAGATATATTTTGTTTCTTTTTGTTGCAGACCCCGAGCGCAATTGATAAAATCAACCCTCCTTTAGCAAAGTTCAATACAAACGTTAGAGAAACAACTCGTTTTACCAGTAGCAATCTGTCTGTTGTCAGTGGTCGCCAATCTCCCGTATATGTAGCTGTCCCAGTCGACAGACCGCCGGTAAAAGTTAAACCCAAGATGCACGCCTCTGAGCAGGATACTATAGATATATCAACAATCAATGAACTGAGGAGCAAACTGATTGATGTCTCCAATTCAGGGTGAGTCCAGCTAAATCGTCTGACTCTCCCCAGGCTTCAGTGCGCAAGGCGACTAAAACGAGTGCTCCTGAGGTCAAACGCAAAGATACTTATTGACCAAGAGTAAATCGTCTTGCATCATTCTCTTTCATAAACATAAACTTGTTGATAAAACACTCCTTTTTCTTTTTTTCTTTTAAGAGAAATCTCTCCCAGGTCATTTTTCGGAACTAAATGGCGAGAAACAATTTTTGCAAGATTTAAAGAACGAAAATAATAATAATAATACAATGCTGTTTTTTTTCTGTTTTTGCTTTTTTTTTTCAGAACGTTGGTGACATACGCTTTACAGAACCAAGAAGAGAGGGAAGAGGTAGGTAGAAGTGGCAGCTCAAAAGTAAATTTCTCTTGAGCACCAAGTATTTTTTTTACTTCGTATCAACAGAAAAAATATTATGCTCAAACTGTAGCAAGTAAATTTAGTAATGTCGACAATCGTTTTTTCTCTTGACAGCTTGGTCCAAACAGCAGTGGAAGTGACAGAGACCATGCTCCAGGCAATGTTACGCGGTGGAAAGGGGACGAGCCTAATTGTGTTACCATGGCAACTGGTGTAATTCCCTGGGAAGACAATAGCTTACAACATGTTGGCTTTGTCACTGGAAAACATGGCCAGAAGTCTCAATCCCCTGTTACCACAACTGGTAAGTAAATAACGAAGTAGACTGTCGCACTGGAGTGTTACTTGGGAAAACAGAGAGCTTAAGGAGCAACGACGGCAACGAAAATGTCACTTAAAAAGTGATTTTGGCGCTGCTTCAAACTTCAGCGCGCTTATTCCATCACGTTCAATTCGTCAAATGATATATCGAAAATCAGGGAAGGAAAAAGAAAGTTGTTTTCTTGTGTTCACGTTCTCCAAAAAGCAAAAACTAGGCACTTTCACGCCGTAGTCGTGCAGTGACGGCGAGAAATGTACTCAAAGGCGTAGTACACGTGCAAAGTTGTTGTTTTGGTTATCTAAACCTATTGCTTTTTTGCTGTACTGTGTTGCTCTCACTGTAGTCGTTGCTTAACCTCCTTAATATACACTTGTAAGTACGGTGTATATTCTGTCTCAATAGTCCTCTAATGTAGCAACTGAGCTCCAGTTGGTGTTTGGGAGGCTGGAGGCATCGTTTCGGTTGTTTGTTCAATGTTCCCTGAAAGCCATTTATGTGAGACCATGAGAGAGCTGTTGCATTACCCTGACGAAAGGAACTATAGTAAAAAGCAATTACGGTAATTTCACGATTTCCTCATTCTGAATCTGGATGTTACTAAACGGAAACTTAGCATAGGAAAGCGGAAATGAGAACGAGACAGGAAATGGGTAGTTAGGTTAGTGATAAGGCTTTGGTTTAGTATGGTTAGGTTTTGTCCCCATATTTAACTTTCCTATCCATGATCGTTCCATTTTCCCCGTTCCCTGTTTTAGTAGCATTTTTTGTGACCCGTGGAACATGATTGAACGCATAATAGATTTTCTGAGTTTTAAAATTCCAGTCGTATTAGAATCACTGATCACCCCCTTGGTCAATTGTAGGGGCGATATGATCGTTTCTGTCGTTAAGCACCAGTGTCCTTGGATAAAGAAGCTTTTTTTTGTTTCATTTCTTTAGGAATAGTACAAATTGGAAAGGGTTTGGGAGAGGAGGAACTCATTTCTGGTAACTCTAAGAAGTCAACTACACGTCATAAAACCTCTGAAAGTCCCACTAGGAATCAGGAATCAGGTTTGCTCTTCATTGCTTGCTAGTTTCTAAAGAATTACTGAACATATTCCACTATTTTATTACTCTGTTAGAGCATCTATGCTAATTTTGAAAGCGGAGCTCTTTTGCCATTTTTTTGTGAGCGTATCTTTGCATTTCAGATTATAACAGCGCGTACTTGCCTTGCCAGGTGCTGCGCCATCGACTATTTCGCTGACTTTTCAGTTTAGTTCTGGCGTATTTCCTCAAGAAAAAAACTCTTCGCCGCCGCAAAGACCACCTGCCTTACCACCACAGCTGAAGAACTTTTTCAGACCACACGGAGCTCCACACAGATAGTAAAAGCTAGGACAAGTTTCTTACCCCCACAATCTTCGGGCAAGCTATGGTCAACTCGTCCAGCGACTAATTAGGACTCTGGAATTACATGGCACAATGGACAATGGACAGGAAATTGCGAGTGGTTTCTTGTTTCATCAAAATCTCGTGTTTTGGAGTTATTGTAACTCTTTTGGCAATTGTCATCAACTGATGCCAGTGTCCGTGCGTTCGAACAAATTGACATTAGGACCTCTTGTTGCTTTGTGAGCATTGAACCCACCCAAATCGAGGAAGAGAAATCGAGTTGAAGAGAGCTCAAATCCTTACTCTGACCCATAACACTCGGTAACTGCGGCTCTCCCGAGTAGAGGAAAGTTCAAAAATTTATGTTTGTGTCCTGCGATGACATTTTTATAGGTCAATTCAATTTTACTCCAATCCTAGGGTCATTAATTTATTTTTAGTCTTCTTTCATCAGATTATAAAACCAATTTTAACACTAATGTGCCTCATTATTGGGTTTTTAAAGAGACAGTATCACGAAAATTGGACAAAAGCATTCTAACCAACGATGCAAGACTAAAATGTTCTTCTTTTGTTGAGAAGTTCTTTACACCACGAAGATTCAAGTTTGTTCGTTCCTTCGTTCGTTCATTCATTCACTCGCTCACCCATTTATGCATTCATTGATGCTTTTTTTTTTCTACGGAGTTACTTGAAAATTACGTTCTAATGTGGGAGGTGCCGCTTGCTTAAGACAATTATGAGTACTTTCTCATGACTTAAACAACTTTATATTAGAAGAATCCTGTGATGATCCCCCTATAAGCTCTCCGAACAAAACTCTTCCGAACGGGTTGACGGAAACGACAGATGACAAAAATGAAAACATATCAAATGAAACAGATAAGTCATTAAGAATACCAAAAAGGCATATGGCCAAATTAGGGGGTTTGCAACTCTAACTGCCAACTTCACACTGTCTAGAAAGGTACATAAATTATTACTTCGTTGTTGTCATTAATTTAATTATAATTATATTTTTGTATTGTTGGTCGAAGTGGTTAAGCTTTCTCTTGACGTGAATAAAGTGAATACGCTTTGTAGAAGCTTTGATGACGAAGATGGTCGTTGCAAGCTCTCCCTTTTGCGTGCCTCGTCAAATTCTCCGCTGCAACCGTAAGAAGCCTTAGATTGATTCTAAGCTGAAAAGCTCTGAATCATCACCCGTAAATAGTTTTTGAGTCTATTTTATCTATAATAATGGAGAAATTGTCAAAGTGGACCGTTTTTTGATGAATTGCAAACAAGGTCCCTCACAATCTATGTTTTGTTAAAACGATACAATTCACTAACATTTAATTTCAAGTATGTACAATGTAAATAATAACTGAAACTCCTGTTATCATGGCCTTGATCGTGATCACAGTTCAGCGATATCCTTCTGCAAATTTTGTACGGTGTTACTGACCTAAACAGCCCAATTATTTTACAGTTGCGATAAAAAATGTCCATTATCGTAACGTACTCTAGACTCAGTAATCTACAAACCACCAGTCCAGTTTTTCCAAATAACAGTGGTTAGGAGGACTCCATTTAAGATCATCACAATCGAGTGTCGTATCCATCAGTTTTGCTGGTGCTGGGGCATTGATCATTGTAACATTCCTGACTTTCATCTAACAGTGTAAAGTCATAGTAAGGAGTATCAGCTGTCATCATCTGTTCCAGGGTTGGTATCATTTCGGAGAATGAGGGTCGTTCATTCGGGTCATCATTCCAGCAGTCCAGCATTAATTTGTATCTGTTGAGATCAAGTACTCTGTTTTATGCCATGTCTGAGTTAATCAATCGTGACGTTAACGAAATTCAAATACCATGAACTGGCGATGCACCACTGACTTTGACTTTAATGACGACTTCCGCACGTCAGTCACTGTCAACAACAATCTTAGTCTGGAGTTTACTCACACGAACGATCGTATATCACCTTCTTAGCTATTTATCATGCCATGTTTTGGCGATAGGGTTACTTAAGATTTGGTTTTTACTTGAGCAAAGCCAGAGTAGTAAGGAGGGATGAAATTATCCTTTTTAAAGAGGAGCATTTGTGGGTAACTATTGACGTTCATGACGCCATAGGAACATTAATAGAATTGCAGGATGATTTTACCTCGTCTGACCGACAGCTAATCGCAGCCGAGTCGCAAAGTCTCAGGTTTACTTGCCAGCTCTAGAGCGCCATCAGTATATTTTTTTTATTTCACAGGCTACCCATGAAGATTAAGGTAGTCGAATAGTATTAGATATTACATCTGACTTTTCCCAGATGAACTAAAAAAAAGTGGTCGAGAAAGTGGCTTTATGAACGTTTGGAGGTTTATTATGTATATATCGTCATGTTGTGTTCCTTGTTTGGTACAAATATTAACTGCAATAAGCTTACTTACATTTCATCACTGCAAGTGTTTGGTTGTTCCATGCGATACCCCGTCTTAAGGGCATTGTGCAACTGGGCATGGCTAATTCCGGGATAAGGAGTTCCCCCTAAAATGTCAAATTTACTGATCAAAGAGGAAGGGTCAAAGAAATTTTAAGCCAACTTGAAATGCATCAAGAACGGTTAGTTATAACAATAATAATAGTAATAATAATAGTAATAATAATAATAATAATAATAATAATAATAGAAATAAAACAATTAAAATGAGAAATCATTCTGATTCCAATATCAGTAAAACCATTTAATATATCTTACCCATGGTAGCCATTTCCCACAAAAGAACTCCGAAGGACCATCTAAGGAACAAGGCATGATCGAAACAAATAATCGTTGAAATGGTAAAACACTGAGCTTATAATCCAAAATGTTCGGATAGGAGGAAGAGAGAAACTCATTTAATTTCAGATTCATTTTATTCCTCTCTATTGTTTCGAATCCTAACATCAATAATTTTAGAATTTTTTCTGTTTGTAGAAAAGTCAATAGTTTTCGCCCATGCTAAGATTTCAGAAGGGTATCTGCAGCAACAAAAATGACGGTTCTCGACAAAGTAACATGCTGACCACTGGGTGTGATTTTATTAATCACCAGTTGTTTTGCGAGACAGTGACTCGGAGTCTTTCAAAAAGCTCCTGGAATGCGTAACAAAAATTTCCTAAGAGTGACCTGGTCTTGCTGAAAAGTGTCTTTGGTTAAAGGGGCTTTGTCACGAGGGTATTACCGTTTTACGTCAATTCTGTGCTGAAGTCTTTAGTTACTGCCTTTGCCCAATCATACACAAAATGCTCCTGTAGAGTTATGAAGAAGATATTAAATAAATTTTATCACGGAACAATAATCATAATAATGTTTTGGTGATTATTGTATGCATAGCATTAGAAATTGAAAAAGTTGGGCAATATCCGTGTCCATCCTTACTATCCTTAGCAACAGACGACAGGAAACAGTTTCAGTCCCTAAATATAGTCAAATGACAAAACTGAATTCAATCGATGCGAAGACAGGTTTTAGCTGAAGAGGCTAGCAACTTGTGTTACAGAGCCCCTTTAAGGACTTAGAGGAATTTAAGGAAGTTGACTCAGTATAGTAGGTTTCTGCGATGACGCTTAAACGTTTATGGTGCTTGTGCTTAACGCCGGCTTGCGTAGGAGGTAAATCTAGGCCTAAGAAATATCGCACAGTTATCATGAAACTTACACGTCGCTCTTGGAAGTAAAAGTTCCAGTTTGCAATGCTTCAGGTGCCGTCCATTTTATGGGCAGTTTCTTAACGGTTGCCACCTCATATATCTCACTTTCACCCGTGCGGCGTAGCAATCCAAAATCAGAAATCTTCACCGCTCTGTTTTCACCAAGAAGGATGTTACGGGCTGCCAGATCGCGATGAACAAATCCTTTACTGGCCAAGTATTCCTAACAGAATTACGATAAAATTTACTCTTCTCTATCTACTTGGTAGCCCCTTCCGTGAACCTTTTTTTCTACTGAAGCTGGTCATTGACTTCTTAGACAGATTTTGGCTAGGAAGTAATCATGGTTACTAAATATGACAAAAAGAAACGAGGCTCAGCCATTTTTGCATGAGCAGTTATTACCCCATCTTTTGGCAACGAATTATTTTAGACCTCGTTATTTGGGTTTGCTTGAATGATATTTTGTTATAAAAAATATTTAACTCACCATTCCCTTAGCAATCTGCCACGCAAAACACATAATATCATCTGCAGAAATAAAATAATCTTTATGGTCGTTGTCACAAGTGTCTTCGTCCTGCTCTACACAGATCCTCACTTCTGTGCTCTTAAAGGATTCAGGAAGCTGGTCGTCTTCAAAGGTCTGTGGTACTGACTGTATCCTCTTTTCATGTTCTCTTTTACCAGGTTTGGTTTCTGAAGATAATACGTTCACGGGATCCCCTTGTGACTCGTTTTTGGCATTTTCCAAACTTTCTATTTCTTCATGCTTTCCATTAGCAGCTTTGTTTCTATCCTCTTTCTCTATGATAAAGCTAATTTCATCGCTTTTCTTCGGTTCCTCAAAGGTTGTGAGCTGATAAGTGGGTCTTTCGCCCCCTGCCATAGCAATGTTCGTAGCAACTTCTAGTTGATTTTTCAAGCTCTGACCCAGTGATGTTGAGTCTTCTTCCAATATCGAAAACTGGGGTGGTATTTCAAGTTGGCTTTCAACATTGTCATCAAATGTTGTTTTCCTTGATTTCTGAGGGTTTGGTCGTTCTAGCATTTGCTTAGAGTCATTTGCCACTGGTTTTTCATTTTCGTCCTTTCCTTCTTTTATTTCCCACCCATCCGTGTCTTCCTCCGGCCCTTCTTCCTTTGCAGGGTTCAATCTTCGTCTCACAGGAGCAGGCGGCTCAAGTATTTCAAGGACATCAGTATGAGCATATTTCTTCTTTGTAAACTGCGAGTATAGTTAAGACGGAATTAGCCTTACAAATATCCTAGTGGGAATTAGTAAAGCAATTTACAAGACTTGAAGGGTTATTTTCCCACACGGTTAACTACACTATACTACAATATATATGTGCTAATGCAAGGTATGTTTCCGCAGTTTACAATCAAAATCGATGTGTGGGGATCTCGTGCGAATGCAGTTTCGATATATATCTCGGCGTGCAAAGTTATGCAAATAAGCTGACCCGTATTCCGCGAAGAATGAAACCGAAACTGCACATGGCGGCAAAATGGATTCCAAAAGTTGATATTCGAAAAAGTGAAAATGGCTAAAATCGATGAATATGAACCAGCTTTACCTGCTGTCGTTTGTTTCTAAGCCATTGCAGAAGATCTCCGTCAGGAACATACTCCATGATCAACATGATGGGCTCTGACCGAACCCAAAAGCCGAATATGCTTAGAATGTTTGGATGCGAGCCAACGTCCTTCATAAGGTCAATTTCCTGAAGAAACTGTCGTTTTTCCTCCTCTCCAGCATTTTCTAAAAAAAACAACAACAACAACAACAAAAAAACAAGAATACTCGGGTAGGAAAGATCACCCATTTCAGAGGAACAGGCAGAGCTCCCTTGGTGCCGTTCATTTTTTGCCTGAGAAAAAGTCTTTAAAAAGGCCTCTGACAAACTTTGACATCAGGCTTCTCTGGATAGCCAACGGAAATTACTCCTGCTAATCATAAACCGTTAACTACAATACTATACTAAAGTACACTGTCGAAGATGAACTTAACATCGATGCAAGTAAGCATAGAGGGTGTTATGATGCAAGTAAGCACTCGGAGGGTGTTATCTACCTCGGCCTTCGGCCTCGGTGGGCCTCCTCGATCTGCTTAATTCTTCATATCGTACTGCTAAATATAATACAGTTTCAACATTTACGTATCAAGGTACGTGTACAAGATGTTTTTTGCGTTGGCGGATCCAAACCTTCAGGAAGTGGGGAGGAGGGTGGGTCGGTCATCCAGACCCTGAGATAAGAGGTTTGGTCTTAAAATAAGGGGGGCCGGCCCTCGGGTCCCTCCCTGGATCCGCCACTGCAATAGGTCTTTTATTTTATTATTATTATTATTATTATTATTATTATTCTAATTATAAGTAACTTACCAAGAAGAACTTTAACAGCGATAACTCGTCCTCCGTTTTTGTCCAATGTTCGTTGGCTGTTCTTGTAATCTACATTTGGTTTTAGTATTTCCTTCACCACACCCTTATGAACCCTGCCAAAAGCCCCTCGACCAAGCTCCTCCATAATGGTTACCCGCTCGGGTGAGACTTCCAGTGACAGAAAATGAATAATTTCTTTCTTGGATCTAAATAAGAGATGTCAAATATCAATAACAAATATTGCTCTGAAGCAGGGCTTCTGTGGAAAAATTGCACTTTAATCGGAATGAGACTGTATGGACTAGAAAAGAAGAAATAAGCGTGACAGTTTGTTTTCCTTTTTTTCTCTCTCTCTCTTTGTCTCTTTCCGGCCTGGCTGGTTAGTACTCTAGGAGTGGCTCCGCGAAAGGAGAAGGTCAAGCGAATTCTGAGTCCTGATTGGTTACCTGAGCGGGTGAGGACTTCGAAATGATTTTCTTTTTGCCATACAGCAATCTTTTGTGGACCAAACTTTTAAGTTTGTTGTCAAAGACAAAAACATGTATTCTCAGCATTTGAACTACTTGACACACATGTATTTGATCCGAAAATGCTCCAAGGAGTTAAAAAAACACACACACAACGGTTTTCCAGGCCGACCAAAAGTATTTTATTTTCCCGGAGACCTTGGGAAGAAAGAGATACCGCAGTAAATTTTACTGGACCAAGGTAAAGATGACGTAACCCTTTTTCAATCTAACCGAAATTCGAATTTAATATTAAAAACATGCATACCGTTCTTCTTCTTTTTGTTTCTTTCGGTAGAAAATTATCCCCACGATAATTGCTGCCACCAGAGCTGCGGTAATCCCAACAGCTATTTCCAAACTTTTTGACGTGCCATTGTTAACTGTAAGGTCAGAAACAATAATGATAATTTTGTAGGAAACACTGGTTGTCGCTTTGATCTTGATTTAGAACTTATTCTTAGAGCACACATTAGGAGAATGACAATTTTGGGTTTTTAAACGTTTAAGTTATAAGTTTAAAGTGTCTTTCCAGGTATCTGCGGAAACAACTGGAATAAGAGAACATGATCTTTTAATTCTACGAAACGAAGGATATCTTGACATCTACTTTCTAGGTATAGGGAAACATTGAACTTGTGGGATAAGGGAGAAACTACCAATTCTCATAATTATACCGAAAAAGGGAACATGAAGCTCCCTATGAAGAGGCATGGACCCAATGCAAAAATGGCTTCTGGGTTAATATTCTTTTCTTGCTTGCGAATATGTCTGTTATAGATGTTGCAAGATGATAAATGTAAATGTAAATATTTAAATTAAAATTAGCCTGACTAGCTGAATTTTGTACTGTCGAACGGGGCTAATTTTAATTTAAACAAAAGAATATTAATCCAGCGGCCATTTTTGCATTGGGCCTATTACTGCGGTATAGCTGGTTTGGTGACGTCATGGTGGCCTTGTCGGTTGACAAGAACAAATTAAAGCGTGGAAGAATACTTGTGAATTGACTTTTGGGGCGGTAAGAGGCTCTTTCAAGGCCTCACTGGATTAGCTGAGTAAACAAAAAACAAACAACAGCACTGTAAAAAATGGACCCTAGCACTAAAAGACTAGAGCTGCGTGTCATCAAAGTTCCAATGAGATTAGAGGTGCATTATCGTAATATGCTTTTGGGAAAACCAGGCCCTCTAAATGTCGAGGGGAAACTAACACTATTTGCACGGGGTAACCAACGAACTTTTCTTTTATTTATACCACACCTGAGTTTGTTTTAACCCGCCAAGAAATTGACCAGTCGCTCTGAAGTTCTCCAAACCACGATGAGACTGCTATCTCATAGATCTTGTCACAGTCAAGCGTCATGATATGAAAGGTTATTGCTGGTTCGTCAACAGTGAGATCTAATAATTCGGCTGCGTTGCCCTGAGGATTTATCTCTCTGTAGCGTATGGTGTTCTTTGTTGTCGCACACACACCACGACTCCATGACAAGTTCACCGTGCAACCATTTATTTCATTTTCTTTGTTGTAAATAACAGGAGCTTTGGGCTTGCCTTTAATTATCGAAAAGAGTCATCATTAGTTATTAATTTTTTTTGCAGGTCACTAAAACTTGCCTTAACCTTTAAAGACCTCTCGTAACTTAACACCCTCCTGCGCAAACGTTTTGATTTACAAGCCAAGATTCACGCGCGGAGCGCGCACTTAATAAGAAAATCTGTTATCTCTCCATCTTAAAAATATTAGATGTCATGTAAACGTACGTCAAGCCAATAACACACTCACCCAAAAAGGGGACAAATTTGAAATGACAACCTTTAGCGTTGGATCCATCAAAGTCAGTGGATTTTTAGAGTTGTCTACTGTCACTGTTTCATTTTTTAGAATGATGTATTTGGCGGACGAACCATGCTTACACCTTAGTTAACACTGGTTTAACCAGGCTTATGGTACAGGGTCGCCTCGTAGATTATCTTTTACACCTTACAGGTTGAATATTAATTGTTTCACGTAAACATTATTTTAGGCCGTGCAAAATTTATATATCGTTTTAAAAATGGACTGCTTTTCTTTCTACCGAAGGTCTTTAAAAGTTCTTTGTCGTCGAGTAGTTGACCTAAATTTTAAATTGTTCAAATTTATGCTGACTCTCACTTTTACTCAGGTCTGAAATCTTATTCGCTGACAGGGCAATTCCAATTACATGAAGGTCCATTACCGCTCCATCAAAAGTCCCATTTACCAATGGCAACTTGAGTAAGTCTGGATCATTCCCTATTACATTTTCCGAAGAGAGATTGCGATCGCGCGCGGTTGCTAATAAGAATAAGTACTCGTTCCACTGTTCTTTTACTGGTGGTATCTCTGTACCATTAACAAAGACCTTGATCTGAGACTGTGTACAAGTTACAGCTATATGATTCCAAAAATTGATTGCGAAGCTTGTCTTTTCAAGACTGTTATATATCGATAAGATAACCCTGGAATTCTTGATTGTTGCGTAGAATAGTCTCCCACTCATAGACCAAAGTGCCATTAAAGGCCCATTTAAACCAAAGGATTTTATCCAAAAAGCAATCGTGAAGTCGCAGTTCGTTATGTTTATTATTGGCAAAGTGACGTAGGAGCCGTTTTTACTGAAATATGCGGCCTTGCTGCCAGGACACCAGCCGTCAATATAGTGAACCGGACCAATATACCTGGTAAAAAAAAAAGGACAATTGAAAAAGAGGGCCCTACGCGAAATATCTGTTTCTATTAGAGTAGTTTAGGCAATCTAAAAACGATTATTATTCATTTTAAATATTTCTCCGTTTCTGATTGGCTTAAATCCCACGTACAATTCATAATAATAAGCTATTGTCGACCAAATTTGGAAAAATTTTGCCATATTAAACCGATGACGTCAAACGTGTAGCAAAGTTGCAGATTATTGAACTGTTAACCAAAAAAAAGACCTGCGAACGAGGTTGAGTTGTTTTGGTACCAAGCAACAGCCAACTAAGGTTGACATTAGTAGTATTACTGTTGGTGAGTCTGTTGTGAACACAAAGCCAATTGTCAGGAATCTGGGTCCCTGGTTTGATTCTCAACTTAGTATTTCTACTCATAGTAGCATGCTCTGTAGCTTAACTTTCTTTCATCTACTTAACATCATTCGTATTCGCAAGCTTCTAAGCCTCGAAGAAGCTAATACCTTAGTGCATTCATTGGTCACTTCTCGCGTTGACCACTGCAATAGCCTTTTGTATGGTCTAACTCATGCCTCATATTACACCATTGTTGTACTGTATGAGCTACGCTGATTGGCTTCTCTTAAAGCAGCGCATTCATTGTAAGATTTTGTTATTTGCATTCAAGGCTATCTATGGCATAGCCCCTACAGACATTCAGAACTTAGTTTCTTTGAAATCGCAAGGCGCATATAACTTCAGATCAGGTGGGATTTTTTAGCATCGTCAACATTTAGAACTAAGGTTACACTAGACGATAGGTCCTTCCAGGTGGCTCCGCCCAGGTTATGGAATGCTCTGCCGCGCGAGCTTCGCGATATTTCGTACTTGCATACTTTTAAGAAAATCACAGTTTGAGGTTGTTCGCTATAGTGAAGAGTGATTCCATTTGCTTTTGTTTTATTCACACTCATGGTAAGTACAGTGTAATAATCTTGGATAAGTAGTACTTACTACTTACTTAGTACTCAGTAGTACTAGCGTATCCATATGCTACGATTCTCTCCCTCCTCCCGACCGCAGCAGCTGCTCGTAAGGCGTCTTTTCATTGGTCGGAGAAAGCATTAGCACATTATTGCTTGTAATTATTTCCATTGTTTTACTGTTAGGGTAGAAAACTAATCGGCTTTTAGGGTTAGAATTGCTGCCGCATGAGCTCACTCCCCGGAAAGTAGAAAAATAATATGGCCACCAAATATAGATCCTTTTGGCTTTTTAAAGTTCACTGCTACTGACAAACATTGAACTTTTATTTCGGGAAACAAACAGTTCAGTCAAAAAATGATTCTACAAAACTAAGTAAGCAAGTCTCTTTTGCGATTTAAACTTGCAAAATCTGTCAATATTTACGCAATTTTTAAACTTGTGGCTCAGTTTTCGTTTGCTTCTGCTTTGAAAGTGGAGGTATTAATAACTACTCAGAGGCAATAGAGTGTAAATATTTCTAAAGAAAAACAACAAAAACGTGCCAATTTATGACGACAAATGTACTTTACACACGAGCTAAAATATTTAAAACGCTCTGGTCGCGTGACTGATTACGTCATGTCCCTCTTTTGGTCATTAAACAAATTATAAGGTAGAACATAACTTTGCTCCAAATTGCTCCAAAGGGATTCTGGGAGATTTTTATTATGGTTATAATTTACTTTTATAATTATCATAATTATAACTATTTTCATTGTTATTGTTTTTGTTTGTTGTTAAGGTTTTATATAATAGGTGGTTTTTCTACTTACCTTACTTCTGCATCAGATCCATCTAGGAACCAATGGTGAAATTTGGGTGTTCCTAATGAAAGGTTACATCCATTGTTAGATTGAGGAAGGTTTCGTCTATTTAAAAGGTTCTTTTGTTTCTTTATTTACGTAAGCTGCAGAGGGTCACAAAACTTACATAATTTCTTTATTATTTGAAATAAAATGCAGTCTCTGGGAAATACAGAAGTTCAAATCCAGGGGCGTAGCGAGAGGGATCATGTTCATCAACCCAACCCTTATGAGTCCCAGACGTTTTTTGAAAGGAAGTTAACGCATTACCTTTACAGCCATAGAGTTCTACCCTCATCGAGATGTGTTTATTCCAAGCTGTTGGTAGAAAACGGACGTACCGTGCTCTAATGGGTGGATTTAGTTTATTAGAAACAATGGTATCCGGGTCTGTGTTGCCATCGAACACCTAAAAAATAGGAAAAAAGAACATATATTGTAAAATTGCTAGATAAAAGGAATCAAATTTAAGTGTTTACAGGAGTCATCGAAACTGAAATTGCCTTTTATAATAAGCCAATATTGTTTGTTTATGGTTAAGTCATCTATTGGCATTTAAGGTGTCCCTTTGTTTCACTGGTTAAAATTCATACGTGACTAGTCTTAGACAAACTTCAGAACAGTTAACTGGCAATGTCATTCTGATGGACAGGTTAACAGGTAAACAGCTACATAAACATATTCCATGCACCACCATGGCTTAGAGTTCGTCCAGTAAATAAATGCAGGTCTCACTTGCCACCATAAATGAAAAGCCTATTCTGCGCGGATTAAGAATATTTGGGGAAAAGACTAAGACTTCAAATATGCCTTGACAGATTAGTCAGATTATTCAATGAATACTTGAGGAGTTACTAGGGCAATCGTTAGAGAGATGAAAAATTACTATTTTTTTTTTTTAAGATAACAAGGAAGGGATGGTCTGTAAATACAGTCAAGACAGGTGCGAATGGATAAAAAGGAAACCAAAAAGCGCTTAGGACAGATAAAAAAAAGCAAAGAAATAACAAAGACTGTGTTTTCTTTAAATGCGGCTTATTTCCTCACCTTTCCTTCGCTTTTTCCTTGCTCTTTGTAAATCTGGAAGGTCATACCAGTTCCACTGTACTGTAATGTATAATTTTTGACCCACTGGCTGTTAGCATTTTCTCCCTGTGTAGCAATCTTTGCCAGAATGGTACTCTCTTGACTGCCAAGATCTATTTGGAGCCACTCCCTAACATCATTATTGAAAGCTGACCACGATCCTAAGGTTGTTGAAGTTAGTCTACCATTGATGGCTCCATGGTGGGCATCAAGTTGTGAAGACGCACTAATTTGTCCATCAGAGATCGCACCATCTCCCATACCAAGAGCGTTTTCGCATTCTATTTTACAGCAACCAACCTTCCGTTAGTATTCAGCTTTACAGGAGCCCGTAACCTTGGCTCCGATCCTGGCACACAAGACAACAATGATCGTGAATATCGTATAAATGATGACAGTGATTTGATGATGATGTTGATGATGAAGACAATGATGACGATTACGAAGATGATGACGATGATGGTGATGATGATGGTATTAAACGATGACGTTTACGGTAACCGTGATTGTTGATGACAATTATGTTGACGATGATGTTAAATGATAATGATGTTAATGCTGATAATGATAACGACGGTAGTGGTGACGATTTAGTTGATAATGATACTGCTTCCACTGATGATAATGACGATGATGATGATGATGATGATGATGATGATGACGATAAGACTGCTAATTGAGCACTCTAAAAACCACAGTGCACAAGGTTTTTGGAAGCTATTCATTACTGGGATGCATCGCGCGAGATCATGTTCTTCTTAATCTTCTAGCGCTTTACTTTACTAGCTAAATATTTTTATGCTGCGTGATAATTGGATGTTGTGCTTTGCTTGAGACAATAGGAAATTCTGCCTCGGGATTCGTGACATTCATTCCGATCGCCAAGAAAACATAATTGAGTTCAGTCTATGTGTAATACACGAAAAAAAGAAGACTAAAATAGGATACAAACCATGACATCTGACTGTGTGAATGTCCTCACTCCATGCTCCGCCTATTCCGCAGCGAGCAGACGAAGGGCCACTGACACGATAGCCACGGGCACAGTTAAACGAACAAGTCATTCCATATTGTTGAGTTGATAAGCGACAATCAGAGACAACCATGCCATCCCCAGAGGAAGGATTTTTGCACTTAGTCCCTTATGGATTTACGTACAGTAAGTAAAGGAAGAGCTTAGTAATGTACATCTTGCCACGTTGTGAGTGAAGTACCAGAAGGTTTGTCAAAAGGAGTTATGTTACGGTCTTGCATTGCCGTCTTCACAATGGTCATTATATGTTAGTGAAGAGGGGAGGAGAGGGTCTAAATACTGGGAGCGAGGTCAAGGGTATTTTACATTGGTTAGAGGGTGGCCTAAATGTTTTATTTATCTCTATTTTTGAGGGGGTGGTTAACGAAATCGGTCTTAGACTAGTTTTAGGATCTGCTAGATGTTTTATAGATTATTTCTGTTTTTGGAGGACGGGAAAACTTCTGAAAAATATGGGGTCTTTCTTAGGATCCAGATAGCTAAGAGGGATAAAAATCCAACTGAAATTTAAGTACAGTCATGGTTACGTTTTATTAAAACGTTTGGCAATTTGGCAGTAAAGAAGACTAACACGTATTCATTGCTGCCAACCCGGCGCAGTCTGCTGGATTTCATATCCATACGTTTGTTGTGTCAGTTTGTCGTAAAACGTGTTTTAACATACAATCACTGATGTTTCAACTTCCTTACCCAATACAAAAAAACACCACCACCTCACTGCTAAGGAATTAAATTTTCACCATCTGGTTATTATGATGCATATTCTCCTAAAATTGCAAAACTAATTTATAATGTTGACTTTTCTGTAAAGATGAAACCAGTGTACCTGGAAAAAACATTTCAGAGCAGGGCGATAAGGCAAAAACAAAAAAATTCACAGGCCACATTGATGGGATACGAGTGCTTTTAGCAATGCGCAACCCCGACGAAAAACCCTGATTATTTCCTAAACAAACACACTTACTTACTTACCTGCTTGTATTGTGCAAACGTAATGAAGATGATGACTACAGGTCCTTTTGTTCAGTTGTCCTTTCGAATTTATTTCTACACAATTTTCCTGATCTGTCAAATTGTCCAGTTGATTACGAACCTCATTAATGTAATTAGCTTGCGAGTCACCGACCCAAACCCAACTTGAGTTTTCTTTGGGTTTCCTGTGCAGACCAATCCACGTGCTTTTCCCCACATATGAGCCAAGTGCTTGTTGTTCAGTTTGTGAATTTACCCTTGCAAGATAAGATCGAACTGCATCACATGAAAATTCTGCCGAAAACCAATCCAAAGTGATGGGCCAGGTTCTAAAGCAAGAGCCTAGAATTTGAATCCAAGATGGAGGGCAACCTGCAAACGAAAGTCGTTATATCAAGATTCGAGATTTCCGAAATTCCTTTCTTACACCGGACACGCGAGCCTCAGCTCAGGATATGATATGTTTTTCTTTTTGCCACTGAAGACATGCACAAGAGTGAAGTATTATTTGGCAATAAAAGATTAATAGAACTCACACTCGTTAGTTTAAAAGGAATTTGATGTTTTGTTATTTTTTTAGCCCAACAACAACCCCATAATTATATTGTTTTTTTTAAATAAACTTTTAAATAGACTGCTTGGCTCCCGAAAAACTAATACTGATTCTTATTTGGAGCCGTCAAGCACAAACGCCCACTTTCCCGAGGGATCTAGAGCATTTGGGATTTCTTCGTTAGTACGTCCCTCCGATGAAAACAATTTTTATGCTAGGCTTATAATTTTGACATCCCTTTAAACAACCTCGTCCCCAGGGCTTTTCCCTCAAAAAAACCCATTTTTTGAGGGAAAAGCCCTGGGGACGAGGTTGCCCTTTAAAACCCTACTTCTCTGTTGTTTGTAGAACTTACTATTACAAATTCCCTTTTTGAAACTTTGAAGCCAGAAGAAAAAACAATTTCAATAGCTTTAGTCTTCTTCTCAGATATAAATATAAGGTGAGCTGTCCTGTCCGATGAAATTAAAGGTAAAAAATAGCACAAAATAATAGTAGAAGCCGTGGGTTTACTAAAACTATCGGAAGGCTCACTCGATCGCTTTTAATTTTGATAGTTGACTTTATCCAGACTCGTACCCAGTAATTCGTTACTTTTCATTTTCTCAGAGTCACGCGAGGAGTTATGACGGGGGAAGCGTCCTTTCCCATATATATATATTTCCCAGATATCCGTGCATGTCAAACTATCCCAAAATCCTTTGGTAACCTGAAGACACGAAGATAGAAACTGAATACGAGTCTAGGCGCTATCGGCTCTGGTAGAAATTTCTATGTCGCATTTGAATTGTTATTAAATCAGAAATTTGTTTTACCTTTGATTTCACAAACGTAATTGTATTTATATCCACAAGGCAAGTCATTCCATTTTTTAACGTATGGGCTCATTACTGCACATTCTTCTGCAGTATGGGCATGGTTTGGCTCTCCAGGCCACCAGTATTCGAAAAAAACGCGGGACCCATCAACCCAAAGCCAAGTGCCCTTAGAATCCTTCTGCAAACCAATCCACAAATGGGATGTTGTTCTTCCAGTGAGTTCTTGTATTTCAGGTTTTGAGTTCAGTACAATGAGACTTGATCCCAGTGCTTCACAGGCGGCTTTTGCTGAGTTCCCTTCCAGTGGTTCGGAAGATATCTTAAAGCAGGAACCATAAACACTGGAGACCCAGCCTGGTGGACAAGGTGCTGAAATATAGTCAGATATAAGAGAAGTTTATAAAGTTGGCATGTCTTTTGTCCGAACTATTAAAACTATGTCCATACGGTCCTCGTGCTTTCTACCGCTTGTGAAGTCATCAGTTCTAACGGTCAAGGACAACTTTGTCCGTTAGCTTGTGGAAAGTGAAGAGGTCTTTCAAACCATACCAGAATGAGCACAATTCAGTCAAGGACACCGGAGAAAAATGCCAAAAACTATGTAACGTTGACCTGAAAATTTCCATGAAAATCTTGTTCCACTACCCACCTACCTTTCCTTTCATCTAATCTTAAGATCCTAAAACCTTTCCTAAAAACCTTTCCCACCAAAATAAAGCCTACTAAATGCCCAGCAAGAGAAAAAAAAATAAGGCAAGAAAAGCGAAAAAAGAGGGGAGGAGAGAACGAGAAATTTTGCTTTCTGCGCATGCCCGAACTTCGCAAGCTGATATTTTGCATCTGGATCAGAAGGCCGAGAAGTGTAAGACCTATAACCGGCGTTGTGGTAAATTTTAGCTCTTGATAGCACCACAGTGACCAGAAAACCGCTCGACTAGCTTTAAAGCGCGTTTTTCGGCAAAATCTCCAGGGGCGAATGGGTTAATAGGAGAGAAAAATAATTGAGTCGTAGGAGAGATTCAAACAGCTGACATTCGAAAAGAAACACTTTTTTGAGGCAAAACTGCAACCATGAAAGAATTAACAAGGAGACATGTGATTAAAGAAATAAAATAGAAATAGTTAACGATAATTACAAAAACTACTGAATTAGAAATTTCTGCAATTTGATTGGCTTAGAGTAGTGGTATTTCAGCTTAATTTGAAAAACCTACATGTGAAAATTACAAAACCTTGGCAGGTAGTAGTGAAAACAAATAATAGCATGATTTGACAATTGTACGTGATATTTGGCATAAATACCTCCCACGATATTTCAAAATTGTCGCAAATTTCACTCGCCTAACAGCTCCTGAAATTACGTTTAACGAATTTTGAAATATCACTCGCGGTATTTATGACAAATATCACTACAAATCATCCTATTACTTATACTAATTAAAAAACAATTGCGGATCTCCAAAAGGACAAGTGCAAACGGGACCCTAGACCCATGCAAGGCACCGTCCTGTTGTTACTTATAATTACAAACAATGCTGTTAAATAACTTATTTCACCTTTGAAAAAAATTAATTCAAACCCTAGATGTGAGCTTTTAACAAAAAAGTGAGTCACTTCCACCTTTGACAGGGACATGTCATCACTAATTTCCACGTACAAGATCTTTCCACCTCATAGGTATTAACCAGAGTGGTGATCATAGTTTTATAAACAAACTGCCTAAAAAATTACATACTAAAGAAACTAGTAGGGGACTTAAGTGAACAGACAAAATTCGATGACTTAGTAATACGATTAAAAAAGTGATGGTTCTGCAAAGAGGAGTTTTAAGATTGAAGAACTACTTTGTCTGGTACGGCCGTGAGAAATAAACGATGTATGTTCAAGAACATTAATGTCAGTAGAGCCAAAGAGACATTTGTAGTAAAAGACTAGATCCTTAAGTTTCAATCAGCGCATTCCTTTTAGCATCAGCTCAGCTTTTGTGACTGAGATAGTCTCCTTATTAGTCATATGTAAGTCCCCCCTGACCGATGTTTGGGTGTCTAGTTAAGTTTCAAGTGTATTCGAATCTGTTTATTCGTGAATTGCTGGATTACAGCAGCCACCCTCCGACCAGCCCCCCAGCGATGACTTTGGGGCTTCCATTTTTACCAGAGCACTCCATTGTTCTGTGTTACCTTCCGAGTCGCCAATTCCATAATTAATTGTCATATCAGCGAGTCGTAGCGCTTGTTCATGTAGGAATTAGTTATTGCTAAAACTGATCTGTTTGTCTTCTTTCGTTTCTATAGAACAGCTATGTCCTTATGATAGTTGGATATAGCTAGTCATCTGAGCTTTTTGTAATCAAACAACTATTGGACGAGATTTAGCAAATTATGCTTTTTGTGTGAGGAAGAGCTAGGGTAGCTTCTTTACCGCCATTTTCACCCGAGGACTGGGGTTTAACTGCATACGAGCAAAGCATAATAAACACTTAAGCCTGGTTTTCACCAGCGCATAAACATAAACATAAGCATAAGCACAAGCACAGATATCAGCAAGTGAAAACTGGGTCGACATAAGCATAAGAAGCATAAGCGTGTGCTTATGCTTATGCTTATGTCAATTTGACTAGTGAAAACTGGGTCGACATAAGCACAAGGATAAGCTCAAGGCCGTGGACCAATCATAGATCACTTTGACCCGGACCCCATGCGAACATATCAAAAACAATATTGGGGACGCTTCGTCCGCCATCTTGTTTATCATCGGGTTGAGAAGAGCTGGTGTCGAGTTTCTAGTCAAATATGCCATTCTGCGTGTGCTTATGTCCTTATGCTTATGCTTATGGGCTAGTGAAAACCAGGCTTTGATGACTGATCCCGAGGGAAACAAAATTAACCTTTTTCCCGAGGGACCAGTCTTTAAGTGTTTTGTGATATAGCTGGAAATTCAATGACTTCGCTGTAAAGGCGGCCGTCAGTCAACATTGGTAACAATGGATTTTTACCCTCTGACGTCATAGATTCAGCTTTAGATTTTACAATGTTACCCACTCAGATATTTTTGCGGGAAACAGTTTCATTGTTAGATGTCATGTGACCTCGGAGTAACCAGTGAGATCGCGCGCTGTTGGGAAGAAATTTCCAGCTATATACAATATAACATTATCTGAAATGAGATCAGACCATTATTTGACTTACCAGGCATTTTAACATCTTCCGTGAAAAATATTTCGAATCCTCTGTTTGTTTGGTTAAATCGCCTGCCAGTGTGAAATGTTAGAACCAGATAATCATGTGAAAAACGAATTTCCTCTCCAGTTAAGTTACCGCAGTATTGGCCGATAATGTTAGTACCATTTGAAATGTTTAAATAGTCGTTCCTGCAAAGGAAATGCATTACTTTATTATTTTTCATTTTTAAGAATACTGTCAACGAAACTGGAGACTTTACCAAACAGAAGTTCCATCGAAGTTCCATTACTCAAATGTCGACGGGCAGAACCTACGTTTTTAAAAAATGCCTGCATCATAACAACAGGGTCCAATCAGACGCTAGGTGATGATTGAGAATCGCCATGAATGGTGTAAGCCGCTTACTTTTAGACTATGCAGATTAAGTTCCCTTGAGTGTAGTTGTTTTGCTATTTTTGCCACGTTGTTAGACAGTAATTCGACTTTTTCTTCTTAACATAACGTGTGCAATCTTCCACTGAGCTATTTCACTTCTACTGTCCCTTTTTCTGTCGATATCAGTGCAGTTACCGCCGGGAGTTCACTTAAATTGTACTGATATCGGCCGGCAAAAACATCTTCCAAATTTGGTCAGCGCTAGCTTATTGTGGGAGAATAAGCCGGTCGATTTTAGCCAACGGGAACTGTGCAATATATCAAAGGAATAAATGATTAAATCGCTAGTAAAGGAAATATAGGTACGCCTGTAGTATGTTTCTTAAAACAGTAAAATTAAAACGGATGTTTAGACTATCGGTGGTAGCAATCAGGCAAATTAGAACAATCCCAAAATCAATTGTCATAATAAAAAATCAAAGAAACGTACCTGCAATGTGGATCAAACGCCAGCTCAAATATTTGAAATACAAGTTTTTGCACCTTGCCTTGTGGAACTGATATATTGTAGACGCAATGCATATTTGGTGGATAACTTTGTGCGTATATTGGGGATCTTAGTATATTTCCCATCGCTGAGCCGCATAGAACTGCCAAAGAAAATTCGAAACATTTTTCTTTTATGCTGTATCGTGAACTTACTGGCGCTTAATATAGAGTTCAAGGGTAAATGAAATTATGCCAGATAGCCTGGTCAGAACATGCCTGCCCTCTTGTAGCAAACCCCTGTTTATTACTATTTCGTTTAAATTTAAACTTTGAAGCCGAATATTATTTAAAGTAAAAATACATTAACTAATTTAACATAAAATTTAATTTAACCTTGTGTAAATAATTATTTAAACTTAAAACGTCAATTCACTTCAGCTTTTCGCAATTTCATTTGAGCTCTACTGAATTCCACTAAATCTATCTGGGACGAGCTCGACGAAGAAAGCCACTATGGGTCACGTGTCTCGTCAATTAGGAGGCCATTTGTTTTAAAAAAAAAACTATTTACCGAAGTGATAAGGCTGCTTTCCACTGTAGAAAAAGACTTTGGCGGACCTACACGACTCTCAAAGGATTTTATAGACCTCGATGCATATCTTCGCTCTCCAAAGGTCTTTACAGTGCTAACTACTCCTTTAACTGGGGCACTTGGAAGAAGAATAACTAATCACAACATTTTTGGAAAACGAAAGATTCTCAATTTCTTCTTATTATTTTTTATTTTAATTTTTTTTTGCAAATGGACCATTAGCGTTCATAAATTTGAGGGCTGTTTCCAAAGAGGTCAGGAAGGTTCAAACCGTTTTATAATTTTCAATGGCTGTATAGTTGAACCTTGAATTTTCTCGGTCCATTTGAAAAAAATACTTGAGAATCTTTTGTTTTCCGAGAAACATTGTGGGGAAATTTTCCTTGTGATTAAGTATGAAGGAAGGCTCCTTAAAGTGCTACTATAATGATCAAAATTTTGTTGCCCTTTCCATTTCAACTATGGAAAAGAGAAGTAACTTATTACTTCTACTTACCTGGAAAAACTTTAAGTCAAAGTTCCTAGGGAAGACCACTTATTTTAAACATAAATATTTCAGGTTACTTTGTTTTGTCGCCATTACTCCGCTTCTAAAAAATTCTTTTAGATGTTGTTTGTTCTGTATAAAGTGCCATCTTCCGTTAAGTATTTCCTTTAGGCTAGACAAAGTTGGACGGTATTTAATTGTGTATAACAAAAAGTAGTAATTTACACTCGTATATTTGTTTCTCTGTTGAAAAGTTGTTTCCCTGTCGTCAAATATAATCTCAGAGAGACGCTTTTTCAAACTGTACTTTTTGCCGGGTAGCCTTTTTTGTCAGGCGCGATCCAGTGATTTTGGATGGTTTTCTCCAAAATGGTTTGACGAGAGGAACTGAATAGTTCTAACAGAGCCACTGTGCTTTCCTGAAGAAGCGATTTTACAAGCTGCTGAATAGTTCTGAAACACTTGCTGCCGTAAGGATCAGTTTACTGTTTTTCAATAGTTCTGACTTTGAGCGAGGGGTTGATGGTCATTTCTATCATCAGTCTCGTTAATCTTGTCATGACGGACGTAGTTCACTTGTCAGCCTTCTTGAGTGCAATGTTTCTGCCATGGGACAATTCTGCAAGTTTTTTTTTTAGGTCTGGGGCACAAGTTTTGCTTGCACGAATTTTGTCTCATACATATCTTGTTTTACAACTCATTAAACCACATGTCAGAGAATCCGGATTCCGTAATCCGTAATCCGGGAAATTTTGCCTGACCAGTTTTGTCCGATCACACAGACTTAATCTGGGAGTATAACAAGTTAGAGTTAAGGAACTAACTTTATATTAAAAAAAAAAAGCTGGACAGTGAAAAGTCTGAAGAAATTCATGGCCGTGTTTTTGAGAAGTTGAAAATTTCGATCGAACCGGACTGACAAGTCAAAGAGCACCATCACAGGAGGTGGAAAAAATCTTCTGGGACCCCTGATTTTTCCCGCTGTTCATGTCTAGACCAGAGTTGTAGGAAAATTTGTTCTTGAAAAATATGTTGAAATAATAATACCCTTAATAATTCGAGTTTTAGCCTTTATAGCCGCTTTCTTTCTCTTTAAGACTCAGAGGAATGTCTTTGACATTTTTACTTACCGATTCGTGGTTGTGCATTAAAATAAAACTGGCATTTCTTTCCATCTTTGGAAAAGTAGTGTGACAAGAAAAAACTGATAACAGCGTAATCTCCAGTTACCACAACTGAATTCCAACCGACACTGTCACCACAATATTTGCCAACTTGAACTTTGTTGCTATCCTTTATCTCCACATAATCAAACCTGTAAGGGAAATCTAGATAAGTTTACTTGCCGTATTATTTAGTATCTCCTCAACGTTTGAAGCCCTTATGAGAGGGCCACGGATAAATAAATTCAGATTATTCTCGCTTGTTACCAAAGTAAACTAATAAGAATTAAGTCAGCGCCATTTGAAAATGAAAATTTGAAATTTGGCTTTTCAGACAACCCTATACGCCGCACAAGAGAGGGGTTGATGACAACCTCACAGGAAATCACCAGACGTTTCCCCAGATTTCCAAACGCCCTCGCGCCAGAAGTCCTTCCTTTCAGTAGCTGTTCATATGATGACGGCCAGGTAAGATGACCTCAAGGGTCCCAGCCAGCGCAATACCATCATTATGTAATATGTCCTGTACTTGTAGAGCTCCTTACAGGCCATATATAGCCATTAAAAGCTTTATCATTGCAAAATTCTAACTTAACAGAAACCCAAAGAAGGGTTCCAGCCCTCTTCCCCGCCCCCCACCTCGCCACGCCCTTTCCTGCAGGTTGTACCACGGTGGAGGTATGGATTGCAAGTAGAGAGGATGTAATGAAGTCCGCTAGTGCTCAGCTTCTAATACAGGTTTACAATCCCAATCAAATGTAGAATGCAGAGTATTCCAGTTTTCTTTCGTATATGTGTTGCGCGGGGAATCAGAGAAAGAAAGAAAGAGGCGTCAGTGTAATCTTTGACACGCCACGGTCCGACCTGAACAAAATAAACCCCCCTGGTTATACACGGCCATTACAGTTTTGACACTTTAATAAAGGTATCATCATCATCATCATACTTCTCTGAAGAAGATCTTAATGAGCTTATTTTGAAAATCAAGCGTCTCTTCACCGAAAGGGGAGAGGCGAGACACACCCAACACCTTAATACACCTTGCTCTACATATCCCTTTCAGTTAGTAGCCCAAAGACAGTACCAGTATCATGATGTACTAAATGGGTTTTAGATGAGTTACTCATAGCCCATCAACTGACTGGAAATCCACTTCCATTGAGACAGGAGCCTTGCAGTTTCTATGGCAATAAAGATATAGAAATAACGTGGGGTCGTTCTAGAGCGACTGAAGTTCGCCCGAAGAGTGAAGGAAATTGCCTAGATCTCGTAGTTACGGACGAGAAGATGAAAGAGATCCACATAAAAGAGATGGCGTGCCCATCGAGTTGGAAGATTAGGGCAGATACAGAGAAGCGCAAAACTATGAAGTACACAACCCAGAGAACCGTACTTGGAGAGAGACATCCTGATTTAAAGAAAGATTAACCAAACTAACGGTATAGTGGATGTGCCTGAAGGATACAGCAAGGGACGTACAGAGCAACCTACCGCCATGCTCGGAAAAACTGCTGCAAGAAGACTTTGAACTAACATGCTGCGGTGGAATGAATTACAACTCTATTCATTTCATTTCATTTATTTGTTTTTATCCACTTTTAGCTAAAACAATGGTGAAATGAGTTTGGCATTAGCCCTTCCCTTTATCCTAGGATGCTCAATCATGTACAAACAACACACCGTGTCAAAATAGAAAGAACGAAAGGAAATAATAAATGTAAAAATCACCTACCCACAAACCCAGTCTGCTTTGAGGTCAAATAATTTAAAGCTGACATTCATCACATGTCCTCGTGGAATCGACATATTCCAGTTGCAGGGATATCTGTCTGGATATCCCGCTGGACTTGTCAATGTATTGTTTACCACTGAACCGCATCCTGGGATCAAATGCACAATTTATTACCATTTTACGTTTGTTTTTTCCAAAGCTGTTGTCTATGTCACTAATAATCACAAGTATGAAATAAGCATAATGATTTTTAGATAATTCCGCATATGTCTTTTGGTCCTCTGCAGTACGGAAATTTAATTCGAGTCATGTTGTTCCCGACAACTTACAGTCATACTCTTCATTCAGAAAATCTTTAATCTCGATTCATACAACATGCAATATGTAGACACCAGTTTCACAATTGATGCAGATGAATCTCCTAGTCTTTGACAAACTTGGAAATTCTTCGAATTTCTATGCGGATTTCTTAACAGATCGTACTGCAACATCCGGCTCTCAGTGGGAACTGTTTCGGTAAAATATGGAAATATTGAATTCCCCGGAGGGGGTATTCCTGGGAATTCTGGGTGGGGGTGGGGTGTGTCGCTCGGTTCTCCAAATCCTAGCCCTTTTTCACCCATTTTCAGAGCTGGGCCTGGTTCCTCGAAAGATGGTTAAGTTTAACCCCGGATTAAGCCAAATTTTAAGCAAGGTTTTCTTGTATAAGAACGTGTAACTGGAGCTTACAAAATACGGTTGTGCCTTTAATTCGAAAAAAAGAAATGACAACACAAATTTTACTCTTGGCAATGCATAGGAAAGTAAATACAAAAAGTGGAACAAAATTTTAATCCCGGATTAGTGCTAATCGGCCTTTCAGGAACTGGGCCCTGACCTCTAAAACTCATACCCGTTTTCAGACCTGACCTCTGAGAAAAAAATTGTTTCATCATTACTTAAATTAGAACAACAACAAAACAGATGTCTAAAAATCCACTTTGAATCATCACATAAAAACGTTGACACACCCCCGTAGTTTCCTCAAAAGCCATACCCGATTCCCGACCAAAATGGGCAAATCTATGCCCTTTTTCAGACCGAAACGGCGCAAAAACCCTACCCTTTGGGGCGGCACATACCTACATGGCTTATATATGGGAGTATCGCCGGGTTGAATACAAAGAAAATTCTTTTCTGATGGTCATTTTTTGGTTTGCCCTGATGTTCTTCGATTATATTTTAATCACTTCCGAAACTTCAATTTAAAACGAAGTATTAAAATCTTCTTCAATGCTTTGTACTATACATAGGGTCAGGTGGGGTTGATGTTAAGCGGTAAAATGGCCAGAAAGTTTAGTTACTAGGTAAAATAAGGAAACTGTTAACCTTTAATCCTACAAAAAAACGTCATCGTATGTATTTTGTAATTCTGTGAGATCTTAGATCGCTTGCTATTACTTCTTCGTGTTCTGTCTGATAGTTGATTGTTTTACACAGTACATTATCATGCATTGTCTCTAATGTTCTACTCAATAAAATAATTGAAAATAAAATATGTGCCTACCTGAATTTAACTGAGCTATTATTCTGCTACCGAACATCAGCAACAATACAGAAGGAAGCCCCATCTATTGTCCTAGAATGAACAGTGATGAGAAAAACATCTTATCGCCATATCATGAGGAGGGAAAAGAAAAGCTGACCCGACCTTAATTGTGTTCGAAACCATGGCCTCCCAGAATGACTGTTGGGCACTCTAAACCCCATCTATCAAGGCACTTACGATGCAAATAGCCATTTAAATTGTACTGAGGTCTGATTGACTCAAGTCGTTGCATTTTTAGGTGCCTCGATAACAGCATTTGTAGTCCGTACGATTTGGACCTAGCTAAGTAACAATACAGGACGATAGACAATACTAGTGAAAAGCTATAACAAGAAGAAGAATGGAAGCTGTTGAATTTTTATTTAAAATTATAATGCGAGTTATTAACGAAACAAATGAGTGATATCTTTGATCCTTGCAGCCATATAAAATCAATCTAAGCAGTTAAAAAGGAAATAGAAATAAAAGGACAAGACACGTATGTACTGGCCGAAAGAAAACAATCCCAACGTAACATTTTAAAAACTCTTTTTTGTTTTACCATTATAACATGGGCGAGGCCATTCACTTATTCAGGGTCTCTGCTGGCGAGATTATAATGAGGCAACAGCAGCAGCAATACAGTAGCACGGCCACTGGGCTTACGGATGTCTCAGGGGCACCCAACGGCAATTTTCGGGAAAATATCTGTTCGGAGGGCGATTTGAGATCTAGAATTTTCGGAACATTTGTTGTAAAATTTCTTGCTTGCCTGCCTCTCCGAGGATTTTCGAACATATACAAAATGGTATAATTACCCATTTTAAACGTATTTTGACCCTAAAAAAGGCCACCTAGAATTTTCGGGAGCCTTTTCCTGGCTGAAATTTTCGAGAAGGTAAGTTTTTATTCCCATAATTTTCGGATCACTAGACTTTCAGCCAGGAAATCCGAACATATGAAAAGTTTTTAGGGGATAAAAATATGCCTATATCTACCGTTTGAATACTAAAATACGTTCAACAATGCTATATTAAGTGGTTTTGAACTATATTCTCGTTGGGTGCCCCTGATGTCTCCGATCTATACTCCCTAAACACACTACTACACCGTGCCTCAAAAGACTGCATGGAATAACGAGTATTAGTATATGACACAAGCAAAAGAGGGTAAGGCAACAAAAAGATTTTCCTTCGCTTGACACAAACGAATGCTTTTCACAGGCGCGGATTTGCTAACTCGAAGATGATTAGCCTAGTAGTATTCATCACCTTCACATCGGTGAATAATTCTTAATACTGTGAACGAACCCAAACAACCTTACATTACGTAACTCAGAGGAAACAAATGATGTTTTTTTTCGCGCCAGTTATTAATAGTAAAATTTGGTTGAAAAGGACCACTATATACCCTATTTTTCCATTCCTTGGCACATTTTTATAAGGGTGCTCCACCGTAACAGAAAAAAAGCAGCAAATGACAAATGAAAAAGAAAAAAATCAGTGACAAGTGATTACCTGACAGAGAAAATGTTTACCTTTTGTTACTTCATATTAGCAAGAGAAGAGTAAATTCACAGTCCTAGAGGCACACTTTTCAGGTCTGAATCGATGAAACGTTTATCGAACAATTACAACAACTACGACCTTGCGCCAGTGCCATCCGTGTATATGTCGGCCTTTTATCTTCTTCACACTTTTACAGTTCTGCGTATTTTCTATAAAGTTTTGAAAATGCCCTCAGGTAAACCGCTACTTACACTCTTCACTTGGAAGTGCTGGATTATATACGAAAATAAGACAGTGTTTCGCTAGACTTTGTCAGAATGCGCAAACTGCTTCAGCCTAATCTATAACCCATAGAGCTTTTTGCCTGTTTCCCGGTGAGTTGCGTATGCAAAATAAAAAGAGGAATATAACTTCTGGAGACTATGTCATGTATTTTTTCTAAGCTAAGTACCGGTAGCTAAGAAAAAAATAAGTAAATAAACACTCCACTCTCATTTATAAGACATACTGATTCCGTCTTGGCTGCTAAATACCTTAAAGATGGCAGTACTTTTGTTTTTTTATCCTTAGTCAATTCAGTTTTTCTTTCATCAGCTGTCGAGGCTTGTTGTAGGAGAAAAAAATAGGTTGTTCTTTAAAAAGCTGCCAACAGCTGTAGCAGACTAACCTTGAACAAACTGACGAGGCTCCTTATTGCTGAGCCTTCTTGTAACAATTTCACCCCATGAATATCAGCATGGTTCATCAAATATTTCCGTCAAAGTGGGCGCAAAAAGTTGGTATTTTTGGCTCAATGCATAACAAGTAATTTAACTAAGACATTTAACCCTCTCATTGCCAGAATGAATGTTAGAGTCCCTTAAGTAGTTCATTCAAATAAAACCACTCTTCCTGTGCTTTGAAATGGTGCTATTTGTTGTCAAAATTTTATAAAACAAAATTTATTAATTTTGTCGAATTTTGCCCCTGGCCACACTTGGCACTGAAAGGGTTAACGGAGTATCTGGATGTTAACCTCACTGATATGACCTTTTGATCCAAAAAACTACAATTTTAAAACGCTAAACATGAAAATGTTTAGCTACATAAACCTTAAAAAGTTTATGAAAAGAGCCAATAAATAATCATAAACAATAACACACAGTAAAACATGGCCAAATGATAAAATGCATAACTAACAAAAACTGAGTTCGATTGTTTATCAACCCATGCATGTGGTCAAATTCAACCTAAAAGTAATATGTCACACAAAGACTTTTGACCTCGCAATAATTTATTTAGAAGAAATCTGAAGGAAGAAAGAGACCGCTATTAAAGGCAATTAGATAATGCACCTCGACATCTGTTGAGATATGGATTATTAAAGTAATATTATGTGTTTCTTGTCAGTGCTATATATATGCTTAACCTTGATTTACCATAGTGAAGAACATTGTTATGTATTAAGGTTGGTCAGATTCAACGTAAGTCATAACTTGGTTTTAATTATTAAACCTTTCCTAAATTTTGGTTATATAACCAACCCACAACGTTCTTGACGAAGTTCGGATTCATTTGCATAATCCACGGGGTTCCTGGAAAAGCAGGATCGAGGATCCATACGTGTTTTGTTTCTTATTGTCAATTTATCGCCAACACGTCATGCATCATCTTGTTATCAAATAACGTATGAATTGGTTCATCACTGCCGTGCGTAAAGCAAGTTATGTAAGCACGCGGGAGGTTTAGAGAGCACAAGAAAAACGTAATATTTGCTCGAGGCGTAGCCGAGAGAAACTCTAGCTTCTTGGGTGGCAGAGGAAATCAAACACACAACTGCTAGATAAAATTACCAATGATCTCACGACTGACTGCACTAAAATCACAGGGAAGAGTGCCCCAGGCTGCTGGTTCTGTCTGGTGCTCTACTATGTAAGGATCTTTCTTCGTTTTCGCAATTCTGCTGCATGTATCTATTCTCGCTAGTTAGTTCTTGGTTTTAAGGGCGAAACTGTGATCGGCTAAAAATGCCCTAAGTCAGAGAAATCGTTTAGCGACTCGGGTTAACGTTCAAAGAGGTTTCTTTCAGGTGGAGAGAAGCGAAGACTTAAAATACGTCTGCTTTCGCAGACTCACAGCGATTGGTAATTCAAAATTCGCATTGAACTTGAGGAGCTTTTCGCGAATAACTTTGCTTGTGAGTATCGATTAAAATACCTGCAAACTGCAGAATGATTTAATTCCCCATAAAAGTGAAGAGGTTCCGCTGCTGTTTTCCACCTGGAAGATATTTCAAGTCTGCTAGATCTTAGATATATATTACTTTGTTCTGTTTGTTTGTCTTAAATTCGCCATGGACTGCCATCTTGCGTGTTATGGGAAGAAAGCCTTTAGCCAATCAAAATCCATAAATAATGAAAATTTTTTGTATTTGTATTTGATTTCTACTCCATCCTATAGTAATACAACAGTTGTACAATATTAATTAGTACAAGGTTGTTTAAACTACGTGTACATAAGAAAAACAAAAAAGAAAAAAATTAGAATGGAGAAGGGCACATTATAGTAAAACTAATTATGGCTCTTAAACAAGATTGACTTTATTCCATTATAGCTTTGTTATTCATTAAAACACAAACTAGCTGGCTTCGAAAGACGCGGCCATCATCATCACTGGCCGCTGACCGAAAAATTCAAAATTTAGAAGGAGCCAATCAGCGATCCCTCCTGACGCCGCCATATTGGACGAGGAGACCCTGGAGACGAAATTGCCTTAATGCCCCATCCGCAATCCTCGACCCTGCCTTTCCAGGAAACCCTTGTTTTAAGTTCCGCTAAAAGACATTAATAATAAAAAAGGGCCAACGTGCGAACACGTTGGCTCTAGGCGTATGCTAGAAATCAATCCACCTTTACCAGTAAATCTGATTCAATTTGTTTACTCCAAATCTTTAGTGTCGTAGTTAGCCCAAGCTCACGCTAAAAGAGCATCTTACAGCGCCACCTCCCCGTCAGCAAACGTATGGCTGAGTGAGATCTGGGGTCAAGCAGAAACCAATGTGGTGGTAAATCTGAAGCCTGTACGTTCATGTTTACTGTTGGTCTTTAATCCATCTGTATGGTGGCCTAGAACTGCCATAAGTAATTTTCTTGATAATTCAAGAAAATGCAACTTTTGTACGCGATTAATTTTGAAATTACTGCATATTTTTTTTTATAAAGAAAACATTAAAGACGTTTTCTTTATTTTTCAAACAAAATTTATTTTTAAAACGCTTGAATGCGTTTGAGTTTTGGAAGGACAACAAATTATTTTCAAAAATAGAATATTAAAGAAGTATTCGTTTTCACAATAGAAACACTTCATTTTTATTTTCGTTTTTATTTTCATTTGTTTGTTTGTTTGTCTGTACGTTTTTCTTTTTGTTTTCTTTTTTCCTAAGGAGAATATATTTTTTTATGGATCTGGAACTTTCAAAAATATTTAAGACCCAGTTTTTTTTTCATCCTTGCAAGCCGAGAACTGCCGTAACCCAAAATGCTTTTCGCACGTGGTAGTCCACAATCCTCTCCGCATCTGATATCGCTTGTGGCGCCAAACTCTGTGGTTAAACATGGTGGCTGGGCGCGCTAGAGACTGGCATAGCTTTCAAAAGAAAATGACGAAGAGATCGAAAAGAGTTGCAGGGAAAGAGAGGAAAGCAAAGGGAAAGGTGCAGCAGCACTACCTGACGACACAATCACAGTTCAGAGGCTTAACACAGAAGTCACAGGGAAGGTGCACGAGAAGTACTCCAGCATTGGGGCCTGTCTCTTCGTCTCTTATGAATTCGAAGAAGACACGATCGAGAATATAAAGAGTGCTTGCATGAAGCACTTCGGGATTCCTGAAGATGGCATCTTATGCTGCAATATGCTGGCAGGCGAACAGGGGCCTTCATATAGAGGTTCATATAGAGGTGGGGTGACGAAGGCGAACCCGAAACCAAACGCTCAAGCCCCGTTGCAAGTTCAAGCCTAGCAATGACAACGACCGACTCGAAGGCCTACTCCCGGCGTGAAAATTATTGTCTCTACCAGTCACCCCTGTGGCATACAACCAGAAAAATTATATTCTGAAAGCACTGAGATTCATCCCAAAGAGCCTCCTTGTCGTGGACATGTTAAAACTTCAGCTGGCAACCATATTAAGCGTGACGTGACAACAGCTATTACTTAAAACTGAAGAGTAACTTATTGCTTCATGAAACTTTGTCACAATCCAATTAAGGTTTTGGAGTGTTTTTTTTTATTTAAGTTGCTTTTGGTAATTGAAGGCAGGCAAAGATTTTGTACTCGAGGCTGTGTTATGTAATTCTTTTCAAATATGCGATTACAAAAAAACACAATACCGTTTAGTATAGAGACAGAAGATAACGTCATGTTTTGGTTTTTAAATACCTCAAAGATGGCGTGGGTATAATCTGATCCTGAGCCAAATCTTTTTTTTGTTTTAGCTGTCGAGGCTAGTGGAAAGAGAAAGAAAATTCTCAAGGAAGCTGCCAACAGCTGTACTATACTGAGGATGAATAAATTGACGTAGATTGTCATCGCGGTGCCTTCTTGTAACAATTTCCACTGTATGAATCTATCAGCATGGTCCACCATATGTCCGTTAATTATGTAAAAGGGGTTTGGATAGCGTACATCGATAACATCTAAGGTTTGAAGTTTTTGGCTCAGTCCATGACAAGTTAATTAAGGCACCTAAAAGATGTCTTACGCTAGGAAAGGGGCAAATAACCACGATGAAATGCCGGCCGCATCACCAAGAAATAATGAATTTGAAAATTTTATCGAGTCACTGGTGGCCAATTTTAATCTAAAAAGAGTATCATAATTTTTGTAACTCGTGGAAATCCATTATTTTCTGTTCATGTTGCCCAAATTCACATTTTAGCATATTATTTATAATCGTGCCAGCTACAAATATAAACTTTATAATGAATTCGTTTTAAGACAGCAGAGTGTTTTTTTTCTTGTGTACACTTTTGCGAGGTAGAGTGGTTTTTCGTTATCAGTAATTAGTCATCAGTTTTAAGTTGCTAAATTAGATTTTTAATTCGTTGCCAGTCACCTATTCTTGGAAAATTGTTGTGAAGTTGTTGTGAATCGACTGGCAGTAATAACATGGAATAAAATCTTCTAATGACAGTAAGACAGTTAGAGCCAGTATTGAATAAAAAAATCAATTTGGCGTTTTACTATAAAATTTGTAACAAAAAACAACAACAACAAATACTGATAATTAATATCGGTGTCAAAATCTTGTTTCATTCTTGGACGCACTTTTCAATTTTACTAGTCTAATGAACTTACTTTTTCAAGAAATTGCTGTCAACTGCAATTATATTCAAACAATGAAAATAAACTTATGCCGCAAAAAGGTAACATTGCGACATATCCCAAAACGTCTCTTCTGCGATCTCGATTAGTACCTTATTTGTACTTAAATTCGCGATTTTGCCGGCGAGACAGTATTTGGCGGGGTTTTATTTTCGGAAGATACAAAATGGAGCTTACCAGTAATTATAAAACCGGAAGACAATTGTGTTTGTAGATACATATCGTTGCTATTACAGGTCAATGTTATTTGACTTTTCATATGGGTATTAAATTTCGCGAGGATTTATTTTCGCGGATTTCTATTTCCGCGATTTTTTTTACAATCGCGGAGAACGCGAAATTAAAGACCCACGAAATTAAGTACCATTATTATTCATTCAAATATTTCCCCAATTCTGATCGGCTAAAAGGACACGCATAATTCACCATAACGAGCTACTGATGACCAAATTTAGAAGAATTTTGCGATTAATCAACCGATGACGCCAAAAGTGCAGCTTCCTTGCAGGTTAATGCACTGCTAACCGAGAAGACCTGGGTTGAGGTTGAGTTGTTTTGTTTGTGAAAACAAAAATGGCGGACATTTCACTCGTTTCAAGAGTAAGAAGTAGGCGAACTAGTAGCTAAAAACATGGCAAGAACAGCAAGGAGACAACTCGAAGGGCGACACCTGCTATTTGAGGTATTTGTGGAGCTGAACAACCCTAAACGTGCACTATCGAGGATGAACTTAACATCGATGGAGGTAAGCTTGTTTTAGCCATGTTTTTACACTAGGAATTATTTTGAATGAATTATAACACAATTATTGAATTCGGCTTTCGTATCATATGAAGAATTATGGAGATCGAGGAGGGTGTTATCCACCTCGGCCTACGGCTTCGACGGATAACACCCTCCTCGATCTCCATAATTCTTCATAAGATACTCAGCCTCATTCATTTATTGTTATTAAAATAACGTACATTTTCCATTGCATCTATCATTGGGTTCGTGCCAAGAAGATACATTTTTCGATGTTTTTGTATGCCATCTCTTTTACATTTCCTTTATTCTTATGCTCAAAGAGGACCATTTACCGCGCCACAGTCAGACCAGACCTACGTACTACAGTGGAACCTCGATAAAACGATTAATGGCCAAGGACAGGTGAATTATGTTCGCTCGTCGCTGTAACAGGAGAAGTTTCGTCATATCGAAATTCTTTTCCATGTATTTTTCTGTTACCTCCCGCTGATATATATTATACTGTTTTTATATTAAAATTGTTTTTATTATTATTAGAGCGGTTTTCACTTGACTGTCGTAAAACCAAAACCAAAGTAAATACACTAGCCAACCAAAGGGCGTAGTAAAACCAAAACCAAAACCAAAACCAATCCCTTTCGACAGTCAAGTGAAAACCGCTCTATTTATATTAAAAACAGCAAACCCTTCCAACGTGCAAACGCGACGGTTGTATACCTATGCTGTAAATCAATCCACCCTAGGTAGTACAACTAAATCAATTTGTTTTCTCCAAATCCACTGTATCTAACAAAGGTAGCCCGAGCCCACGCTCAAACAGCGTCTTGATTTCAGGGCGGAAAAACGTTCTGCGCAAGCTTCTGCGCATCCTTTATCGCAGGCTCAAGGCGAGCTTTTCTGTGTGTTGACAGCTTGTGTTGACTGTGTTCGACAGTTTGTTTGTTTGTCACTGAGAAAGTTCTGACTAAGACTGAATGACATGCACAAGGTGTGAACGTTTGCTCCTCAAAAAGCCTTTTTACTTTTGTGTGGTTTTTGTTTTTCGTCACTTGAAAATTACTTTGGACTCGGAACAACCAATGTTAAAGGAAAAACGGATCATTCCTTCAGTCTGAGGTGGAATAAAGAGTTTTGAACATTTCCAAAGAGGCGAGTATTTTTTTGATTGTTCATTCGATTTATTTGCGAGTTGATTTCGCCTTCTTTCGCCGGGCTGAATTAAAACCCACTTTTTTTTTTAAAATTAGAAAATACTTTTTCACATGCCCAGATTTATTCCCTTTGTAGAACCAGCTTTATCCTTCTCTTCAGTCAAAGAACCATTTAGTGCGCCGTAAAACTTTCTCGGAAATACCGGTAGAAGGCCAGTAAACTTACTCTAGAAGAAAAGAATCATTTTTCTGTTGCTCAAATACTCTAAGTAGTCAGAGTTTTCGTCACTTTTAATTACATAGTTTTGTTTTCCACTGCACTGTGAAAGTTTCTGTTCTTTGTAAGAAATAACTTTCTGTACGCAAATTTTCCATTTCACTCGCTGTGAAGTACTGAGGACAACTGCCGGCAGTGACTTCAAAACAATTGAATCTGCCCGTAACACTGAATTGCTGGAGCTGGATTTGTCTGAAGCGAGCAAAACAAATACCCTTATGTGCAGTTTTCTGAATTTTGTAACGATTGGCTGGGTTTAATTTGCTTGAATGAAGACCCTCACATGGACCAGTTATTCACTGAGTTATTAAAGCGTGGAGAAGCTACATGGTGAATCATGGTTTAGCTGCGAAGCTCACAGCAACTGATCTTTTGCTTTTAAGATCTTTAGGTAGGTTGTTTTCGTATAAAAAATTCATTTCTTCATTGTCAGCAAGAAGTTTTTGCAATAATGTAATTTTAACTTTGTTTGAAGGAAATCCTACTTACGTGTAGGTTTTTGACAGATGTTATGCATTTTCAACTTGACAACACAAAGCGTAATTTATATTTATCTCTTAGTACGCGAAACGATCAAGTTTAAAAATAAACTATAGTTGCTTTAAAACCGATTTTTGGGAAGATTTCACTAGATAAAGATTGACCTTTTTTCTGCCCGCATATCAACGCAATAACTTCTACATTGAGGATTTTGTCTATATTTTAGTTATCTGCGAAACTACGAGTGTCCGATCGAGCGAGGGTTTTAAAATATCAGCTCGAGTGCGACAAGTTCAGTGCCTTCAAACACATTGTGGGCAAGCGTTAATTTTTTTGGGCAAATCACTGTCCAAAGATATGTTGTTTTTGTGTCCACAGTGGAGCTCCCGACCTTATATATCCAGGAACTTCCTTATATGAACACATTTTGTGAATGCATCTTGAAAAAAATCGGACCTACGCATGCACATTTCCAGTACAACGCAAGGAAATTGATGTCGTTAAAGTCCGTTTTACTATGAGGTATTCTTCGAGAAAATTAAGAAACCACAAGGTTATAACCACAGCTTGCAACTTTTGAAGACAAATTGCCAGTTCTTTCCAGGTTATGAGTGGAAACATCTTATTTTTAGGCAATAAAATATTTGAAATCCCACCATTTTTTCAAACCCGGCCAGGGGATCTGGGCAAAAAAGTTTACGCATGCTCAATACGTTTTTCCGCCCTGAACGTCTTGATAAGTACGGCTCTTCACCACGCCTTCCCCGTCAGCAAAATTGTGATTGAGAGAAGCCTGGGGTAAAGAGAAAATCCAAGAAACCAATATGGCGGCCGATGGCGGCAAATCTGAAGCTTGAACGTTGATGATGACCGTTTTGGGGGAAAGTACTACATACTAGCACACAAAAATAACACAGCACTGATGTCTAGAGGTTTTTATCAACGCCTGGATCCGTTTAGTTATTTCTACCACTGGATATTTTCCTCTCAACACAGGCATGGTGGATCTTCTTAAATCGACTCTCTGGAAGCAATATACAACTGTTGGATCGAGGTGATGGTAAGTAAGCCAAACGTTATAATTCAACCTTATAATTAAGAATATAATTAACGTCAAAATTTCCGTTTACCCAAGACATTTATCATTTATGCGTATATGTTTCGACTCTTTTCATTGTATTACGCAACTGACGTGTGAAATAGACTGAAATAGTCCATTTCACAGTTACGGTTGCAAACGAGGCTAGAGACGTAAGATTTTACCCTTTATTGACGCAACCCTTCCTGCTTTATCAAAATACTTAAATCATGTTGTTCTTATGCTAACTAGTATTTATTAGCATGATTTGCGTAAGAAAAGGAAAGAGGTTTAATGTATCAAAGTAAAGGTCAACCTCAGCCTCACGTGCACTCAGAGGCTAGGGTACTATAAAGCTGGTCTAACATGTGGCACGCATATATCTAGGCTATTATTTAGAAACCAACCTAATGGAATTTGTTGTCATTTGAGTGAAAATGCGTCAAAAGGCAAATTTCTTTAGGCCCGATAAGCTCCAAGATCACACTAACAAAGGAAAGGAAAGGAGAAAAAGAAGAAGCAAGGAGGAAGAAAGGAGGGGAAGAAAAACAAAAAAAAACCAATAGTTGCATTCTTATAGTTTTTATATAAAGCTGTTGGATGGAAAAGGTCCATTTGCCAGTAACGCTTTCAAAAACTGGGCTAGATATAAATATTTATATAAGCTTACAAGGTTTGTATGGGGCTGGATGGAGATGATACCTAATTAACTTGGGAATTTTATTAGAGTATGCTTAAATCTGAACCTTAGCTTTATGTGGTTCAATTTGCTGTGGACTGGATATAGAGGCGGGATATGGTGGAGGTGGCTTGTTTCTTACTCTGGAGAGCAGTCCAACTGCCTGAATTGTCAGTTTAATTTTGAAATCTTTCAGTTAATTGACTGATGATTATTGATTATAATTAAGCTATGGTATAGCTTATTGATAATTCATTGCGGTGAACGTAATCTTTCCATACAAATCGAATGTGCCATTACAACAGGGAAGTCTCTATGATTTCAAGATGGCTGAATAACACATCATCCAGGTTTAAGTGAAGTCAATATTGATGTTTTTGATTTGATAAAACTGTGGGGTTAGTAGTAAGTGTACCATAGCCTCTTAACACTCTTTACACACAGATATTTTGGTAGACATGTTTAAAAAATCTGGAATATCAGTCTCATCATTCTCGATTATCATCCTTGTCAGACTTTTAAATGCAGATTGTCCTATTCATCTTGTATCCATACTATTTAAGAAAGCACCTATTTGAGAGTGGTGCTTGTTTGATATTATTGCCTAGGGGTTGGGTGCTCATTCAGAGTATTAGGCCCTTTTCAGAGCATGTATTGAACTTGTACCCAGGAAATCTTTCCTTAACTTATTCTGCGTTTTGTTGAAAGCTTTAGAAGTTAGACCACTCCCTGTTTTTAAGAATTTAATAGGAGACCCTTGCCTTAATTTCATGAATGGGAGATTTGGTGAGCAGTACCTTAGAGTTGGCATATGTGAGTTCATAGTAGCCAGGGGCCATTCTTTACCCCTGGCCCTTTGTGGACATGATTACGAAAGGAAACATACATTAAGCATAGATGTTGGCCTAACATTTTTTGGATTTGATTCAATCAGAGAGATCAACTCATAATTCATGTGATGATAAAATTTATAATTTAATGCAGATGTACTGTCCAGGGTGCTTTTGACTTTGTTGTTAATTGCTGTTAATAACTGTTTTGTACATGGAAAAAGTAAAAAGACATATTGATAACCTTTCTATTTAATCATCAATGTGATAATGATATAATGGTCTTCAACACCCTGCTTTTTTCAGCAAAGCACACTATCATGAAAAAGATGAACTTCCTAAAAATATCTATTTATAACTAGGTTGGTTAAGTTAACTAGATGGAGCCATTATCTGTTTACTACAAAAAATCCTCTATTAAGCCCCTCCCCCCCAGAAGGGGGGGGGGGTGGGCTTATTTATTTCAAGCACATTTGAGGGGGGAGACTAATAGAGACAGGGGGCTTATTTGAGAAGGGGGGATGTTTATTTTAGCAGAAATGATAATATCAGTTCCCCATAAAGAACCAGAATGCCAAGTGTAGAAGCTCATTCCACAAGTACGATGGCTGGAGATCATGCAGCCGAGGATCAAAATCTAATCTGAACTTCCAACACGTGAATAAACCATCCTGGATCAGTCCATTTGAAGTGTTACTGTTATGATTGCTTAATACAGTATATCAATTATTACTGAAGAATGATAGGAGGAGGGGGGCTTATTGCTTTCTTCTCCTGAAAAGGTAGGGCTTATTTAAGACGGGGGCTTAACAGGGAATTTATGGTATTATCTGTCTCTAAATTACATTTATAGCAATAGTTTTGCTGTGAATGCAATACACAACATGCAGTCTTTGTAGTCAGATAATATTGACAAACTGTAGAATAATTACGAAAAATGACTAAGCCATTCACTGTTAATAAAGGCCTGTACTTATAGGAAACAAATACTGCCTCATTAGTTATATTACAGTTAAGGTTAGTATCAGAGTATAATGGGCCATTTCACTTAACATCCACCCCCTCACCTTCCCACTATTGAAGCTGTTTTTTTCCTGAGCCTTTCAGAGAATCATTCCCGGGATTACTCCCCTCATAAGTTAATGTTTATACTTTCACTAAATCCCTTGGAAATATTAGTTTTTGATCTGTACCCCTTCCAAATTGTGGCAATCACATCACCTGAAAACTTTCAATTTTGTCAGACATTTGTGTAGCCTTTGGGTGATTTAGTGAAATTGCAGTGACGGGCTTACAGACCATATTTTTCGTCGTTCTCATATTTTGCAGGTATGCTTGTGCGGCTCATTGTAATGTGCACAAGAACGAGCACTCAGAAGCTGATGAAGGAAAACAATCAAAACGTCCTAAACCGGTACGTTTTTGCTATTAAAAAGAACAGCTCTTAACACAAATCTATGGCCACCTGTGTCTCTTAAATAGACGCAGCCATGCTTGTTAAAAACTCAAGTCAATGCAAAATTGCTAGTTATTACCTATTGGAAGGAAACCTTTCTTTTAAATGATGTTCTTCCGAAAAAAAGATCCTTCGCAATTTATTCTAAAGCCCTGTGAAAGCGGTAGCAACATAGTTGGATGTTACATGTTGCGTCCGTTTGCACACCCTGTTGCATGTTGTTGGGAGTTGTTGCACAAAGTTTCAAATCGGTCAAACTTTTGAGCCAACAACTCCCAACATTTCTTTTGTTCCGTGATCGCCGAAACGTAGCGCAACAATGTTAGATCCGTTTGCACAGCTCTTCCAACAGCAGTGACTTTACGCAACGGGACTGTTGAAAGAAGAGTACGGCAAAACGTTTGTGTGTGACAAACGTGACAGGGCTATTACTTGCATGTTTTGTTTTGATCTTCACTTTTAAAACATTAATGATTTCTGGTCTTTTACAAAAAGATTTGTTTAAAGCAAGGTGAAGTTTGGCGGAAAGTTTTTTGAAACAATAATATTATGGTCATGTTTGTCAATACAAGGCTTGCCGTCTTCTTTCCTCTCCCGTCCTGTTGCGTAAGTTCACTATTTTAGGGCCACGCACACTCATTACACATGGTCTCCTTGGTAACAGTCGAGTGACATTATTACAAAAGCATCAACACATACTGGTTATCTAAATCAGAATTCACCGGCTAAGTGTAGTACTAAAAGTAAGGTCTTTGTGAATATCTTAGACTTGAGTGGAACTTTCTTTCATGACATGAGGATATAAAAAATTGATGCTCATGTAGAAATTATCCTTTGCTCCTCTTCCCCGCTCCTGGCGTGGCGGTGGAAGTTCTCAGACTCTCTGTGGTGTAGTTTGGGAAGAATTCATTTCCAGACCTACTACAATGGTCGAACTTGATTTACAATTACATATGTTAAAGGATGTTTTTTCTTAAATCTCTTAACCCCTCCCTCCTAAGGAGGGGACTAAAGTTGGTTATTTAATTAATATAATAATGGCTTTAAGTTTGTTGCCTTTGTTATCAGTATACAGACGGAAGCTTCGCTTTTAGGCTTGAATAAAACTATATAATATTGAACTGAAGCACCTGTTATCGTTAACTTGATCGTCACTACAGTCTACGCCCCTAAACAGCATCCATAATGTCAGAAGCTTAGGTACATTTAACTAAAAAAAGTGTCCTTTATTCCTAATTAACTTTAGACTGAGTAATCTGCACACTAGCCCTACGTTAACAGAGTGACAAGTCAGGTCGATTCACTTTGGAGTCATCACAAGCGAGTGTCCACAGTTTCGCTAGTGCTGGGGCATTGATCACTGTAACATTCCTGGCTCTCATCTAACAGAGTAAAATCATAATATGGGGTATCAGCTGTCATCATTTGTTCAAGAGTGGTTATCATTTCGGTGAATGAGGGTCGTTCATTCGGATCATCCCTCCAGCAGTCCAGCATTAACTTGTATCTGTCGAGAAAAAAATATTATGGCTTATGCTTTGGTCAAGTTTGCCAATTATGACGCTAGCCAAAATTGTCGTCAAGCTACTACACGTAACTCTTTTTGAACTCTGATGATCACTGTTCTCGAATGGGCAATCACTGTTAACAACAATCTTTTCCATAAGACACTCACCTGAATGATCACATTTCACCTGGTTACGAGACGAATAATGGGTTCAAGCTATTTACAATACGTTGTTTTGCCGAGAGAGATTACCTAAGATTTGGTTTTTACTTCGGCAAAACGAAATTTCCCTTGTGAGTAGTATAGCAGAGATGGAATTACCCGTTTTAAAGAGGAAAATAATAGCGGGCTGTTCTTTACGTTCATGATGTCAAAGAAACGTGAATGAGTTGAGCCTGGTTCTTTTCTGCCTCCGATCTACTTGCGTTGGCGTTATATTCGCCAATTGCATTGATTTTTTTGTCGCAATCAAGTCGCATGAGTACCTTCCAGAGAGTCATGATTGTCATGATAAAGTCAATCGAAGTATATTTTACTATACCCCTGGCGTTTTACCGATGAAGTGAAAGAAGTAGTAGAGAACGTGGCTTTGTTATGAACGTTTAAAAGATGATCATGCCTATAGCGTAACGATGTTGTTTTTAAAAGATGTTAACTTTGTTTCTTGTTTGGTACAAGTATTAAATGCGAGTCATTTACAATAAGTTTACTTACATTTCATCACTGCAAGTGTTTGGTTGTTCCATGCGATACCCCTTCTTAAGGAGACTGTACAACTGGGCATGGTTGATCCTGGGATAAGGAGTTCCCCCTAAAATGTTCAATTTAAATATCAGTGGGGAAGGTTTAGAGAACTTTTAAGCTAACATTACGTCTGTCAAGAACTGTTAGTTGTTGTGGCGCGTGACCATTGACTCACAACGTTGATAGTGATCTTGTACCCAGATCTCTCGTCGACGAAGCCGAGGGCGAGATCAGGTCAAGTAAAAAAAGTTAAAAATATAAAAGCTTTGACTATACTCTGTGCTGTTGTAAAGCACGCCGGAAGTAGCTAGAGCACGAAAGAATAGTTGGGGAAACCGAGACCTAGTGGAGTGTTTCTCCCTACTTACGTTCTCTTGCCGTTTCCTGCGTGCTTTTCAACAAAACGTAGCACAGTGTCAAGGCTTCTTTGTTTCATGATAAAGAATCCGTTAAATTCCCCATGCATTACTTTTTAATTTCAAAACAAACTTTCGGCAGATGATGTGACACCTTCACCTGTTTGTTTTATACTCTCATAAAGCATGTATTTGCAACCAAGCAGAGTGCGCGTTATATCTGGACTTTGTTATAAAGCAGTGCGCCTGACCGGCGAGCACGCGACGTACGGATTTGACCAGATCTCTCCTTCGGCTACGTCGACGGGAGATCTGGATACGAAATTACGTTGTTAATAAAACAAACAAAGAAATGCAATGGACAATCATTCTAACTCTAACATCAGTCAAAGTATTTAATATGTCTTACCCATGGTAGCCATTTCCCACAAAACAACTCCGAAGGACCACCTAAGGAACAAGGTACGGTGTGATGAAAACATATAATCGGTGAAACAGTTTAAAAATTATAATATAAAAAAATCGGGTGAGACGAAGAGAGAAATCACTCTTGATTGCCTTCGAATCCTTACATCAATAATTGCATTTTTTCCAAATGTAGCCGGAAAGGTCAATAGTTTTATTGCATGCTATCATTTCAGGGTATCTTGGTATGAACAAATTAACAGCCTGCTGACCACTTGCTGTGATTCTATTCATCACGAGGTTCTTAGCGAAGCATGCAATGACACAGAGTTTTACTCAGTGGAAGGTGGCCCCTTACATGGTAGTCATGGGAGGACGGAGAGAAATACAGTATATAAGCCATTTGCACGGTGACGTCTTTTTACTTCTAAGACGAGAATTCATTTCGTTTTTTCTTTGGTATTTAAATTTGGTAAACCCAATGAAGTGTAAAAAACAAATAGCCATAATTTGCACAAGAAAGCAAAGCCCTGAAGGATTCTGTTAGTAGTTGTAAAATGACGCCATCGTGCAAGTGGCCTATTGTGTAACTGGGAACAAAGGGTTTAACCACAGGCTCTAAAATCGTCAGCTAGGACGTATGCAATCTTCAGGGCGGAAAAACGTTCTGCGCAAGCTTCTGCGCATCCCTTACCGCAGGCTCAAGGCGGGCTTTTCTGTGTGCTGACTGTGCTTGTTTGTTGCTGGAGCTCTGAGTGAAATGCACGAGGTGCGATCGTTACCTCCTTGTAAAGCATTTTTATTTGACATGTTTGCTTTTTTTTCGTCGCTTGAAAATTACTTTGGATTCAGAACAACCAATGTTAAAGGAAAAACGGATCATTCCGTCAGTCTGAGGTGGAATAAAAGGTTTTGAACATTTCGTAAGAGGCGAGTATTTTTCTGATTGTGCATCCGATTAATTTATGAGTTGATTTCGCCGGGTTGAATTAAAACCCGCTTGTATTCTCAGTGTGTATTCTGTTGAGTTACGGTTACTGTTTTTGACATGCCCAGATTTATTACCTTTGCAGAACCAGCTTTATCTTTGTCTTCAGTCAAAGAACCATATTGCTGTAATAACGCATCAGAGTGAACAAAGTTGTGCGCTTAGGGAAAGTTCATTTAATATGACAAGGGGGGGGGATGAAGATATTGAAACTCGAAGCTTGAAATTTTAGCAGCCCCCCTCACTAGCGGTTCAATTTTTTAGGAGCCCCCTCCTTGGTAGTTGAAAAAATTTCAGAGCCCCCCCCTCCTCCTTCAATTCCTTTGCTCCCCTGAAAAAAGATCGCTAGACTGTATTACATATATTTACCGTTATTGTCTTCAATGGTTTATACTATAAACTTGAGATACAGTTGTGATACAATTTTCTAAAGCATTTTTAGGATGAACAAGAGTGTAATAATTACTGAGACTACATTTGTTATATCTGTAAACCACGTGATATAGCTGAGTTGCACAGGTCATTAAATTGTTGAGTTGAAAACCATCCGACCTGTATGATGATGTCATGTGTTGGTTTTGAAGTATACAAATTTTCGGAGCCCCCCCCTAGCGCAACAATTTTTTCAGAGCCCCCCCTTCAGGTGTCTAAAAATTTTAGGAGCACCCCCTCAATATCTTCATCCCCCCTTGTCATATTAAATGAACTTTCCCTTATTAAACTTTCTCGGAAACAGAAGGCCAGCAAGCTTACTCAAGATCATTTTTCTGTTGCTCAAAGCTTGCTCAAGTAATAATAGACAGGTTTTTTTTCATTTTTCATTACATAGTTTTGTTTTCCAGTGCACTGTGAAGGTTTCTGTTCTTTATAAGAATAACTTTCAATTTCTGTACGCAAATTGTCCTTTTCACTCGCTGTGAAGTAGAGAACTGCCGGCAGGGACTTCAAAACTATTGACTCTTTTTCTGTAAACAATTGCTGCAGCTTGATTTGACTGAGGCGAGCAAAACAAACCCTTATGTGCAATTTTCTTTATTTTCTAATGATCGGCTGAGTTTAATTTATGTTATGCGTGTTCAACTTGACAACACAAAGCAAAATTTATATATCTGCACGAAACGAGCAAGTTTAAATTACTATAGTTGCTTTGAAACCGATTTTTGGGAAGATTTTACAAGATAAACATTGACCTTTTTTCTGCCCACATATCAACGCAATAACTTCTACATTGAGGATTTTGTTTATATTTTAGTGATCTGCGAAACTACGAGTGTCCGATCGAGCAAGGGTTTTAAAATATCAGCTCGAGTGCGACAAAGTTCAGCGACTTCAAACACATTGTGGGCAAGCGTTAATTTTTTTGGGCAAATCACTGTCCAAAGATATGTTGTTTTTGTGTCCACAGAGGAACTCTGGACCTTATATATCCAGGAACTTCCTTATATGAACACATTTTGTGAATGCATCTCGAAAAAAATCGGACCTACGCATGCACATTTTCAGTACAACGCAAAGAAATTAAAGTCGTTAAAGTCCGTTTTACTACGAGTTATTCTTCGAGAAAATTAAGTAACTACAAGCTTATGACCACAGCTTGCAACTTTTGAAGACAAATTGCCTGTTCTTTCCAGGTTATGAGTGGAAACATTTTATCTTTAGGCAATAAAATATTTGAAATCCCGCCATTTTTTCAAGCCCGGCCAGAGGATCTGGGCAAAAAAGTTCACGCATGCTCATTACGTTTTTCCGCCCTGAATATGCAATCTTCTTTTGGTTAGAGTAAATTGGAACCCAGACCCCTGCCTTTTAAAAGAAAGGGATGATAAGTGATAATGGTACGTGTTAGCCATTAATGTTTTAGAACATCTATTAGAAGAGCTTTTATTAAGGAAAATGTCTAAAAGCTGCCTATGGTGAACAACGCATAGGAAGGAAATGACCCAGTAGTAGGTTTCTCTGTCTTGGTATGTGGCTCTTTCTTATACCTGTGTTGTAGGTGATAACAGGCCTAAAAAACCTTGCAAAGTTTAATTTTAACTTACACATCACTCTTGGAAGTAAAAATTCCAGTCTGCAATGAATCAGGTGCTGTCCATTTTATGGGTAGTTCCTTAACGGTTGCCACCTCGTATATCTCACTTTCACCTGTGCGGCGTAGCATACCAAAATCAGAAATCTTTACAGCTTTGTTTTCACCAAGTAAGATGTTACGGGCTGCCAGATCACGATGAACAAATCCTTTACTGGCCAAGTATTCCTAAAGGAAGTTTGAGAAAAACTTAGCCTTTTCTAGCTACTTATTAGCGCTTTGCCTGAAGCCATTTCTTTATTGTAGCTGTTTATTTACTTCTTAGACAGATTTTGCTTGTTACCATTGTTACCAGTTCTGACATAACATAACAAGGTAAGGCCATTTTTTGAGTAGTTTTTAACCCCTTTTTGTGGGCAACAGATTATTTTAACTGTGAAAGGTGTGAACCCAGGAGTCATTTCATAAGTAGTTTCAACCTTGATCGTTGGGGTGAACGAAGTCTTTAAAAGGCTTTTTTTTGACAGTGACTGGATGACGTTTCGACAACCTGTGTGGGAGTCATCTTCAGAGTTAAAGTGAGTTGGATTACGTCAGTTCAGATTATTGGCCTGTTTGGTCAATTAAGTCGCGATGTCATTGGTCGTCTGCCAATTAAGCCGTAATTCTATTGGCTATGAAGACTCTGTGAAGACTATGGTGCGTTTCGATCCGTGTATTGTCAGAGTTTAACAGTCGTTTATTGTTAGTCAAATTGTCGGTCGTCCAGTCATTCTCTTGTAACTTGTATGGTGCCGGTAACTGTTGATTGCGATTCAGTGGGATTTGCTCTAAGTTTGTAAACCAGCGTTCTAAAATGGGTCGTTGATAGTAGTATGTAGATTACGTAATACAAGCTGATTTGATGTTTCGTCTGTAAATGGTGTTTAGCAATGTGATGACATAACCATTTCTTGTGGCTCGTTTGTGTTCAGTCGGTCGCGTGCTAAGGTTTCTGTCGGTCTTACCAATGTAAGTAGCCTGGCAGTTGTAGCTTTTTATCTTGTGAACTGCTCCCTGTCTGTCCTCCAGTTTTTCTTTTGTCTTTGACGATGGTAATTCGTCGTCGTAAAGTGGTTATCGGTTTGTGTGCAACGCGTATGATGTGAGGTTGTACTATACGTGCGATAGTTTCAGAGGTGCCCCTATTTCACGTTATAGTCGCTGTCGAATATATATTAAACTTAAGGCGAAAAACAAAATCTTTATTTTCAGATGTATTGTTAGTGTTTGTTCGTATGATTCCTATCCCATAGCAAAGACTTGACCTACCATTCCTCTAGCAATCTGCCACGCAAAACTCATCAGATCATCTGCAGAAAAAACGAGATCTTTATTGTCGATGTCACAAGTGCCTTCGTCGTGCTCTGTAGAGGCTTTCACTGTGGCCCTTTTATGGAATTCAGGAAACTGGTCGTCTTTAAAGATCGGTGGTAATGACGGTACCCTCTTTTCGTTTTCTTCTTTACCAGGTTTGGTTTCTGGAGATGATACGTATACTTTCATGGCATCACCTTTGGACTTGCTTTTCTCGTTTTCCGAACTTTCTATTTCCTTTTGCTTTCCATTAGCGTCGCTCTTCCTATCCTCTGTTTCTATAGACAGGGTTATTCCATCGCTTCCCTTCGGTTCGTCATAGGACATGAGCTGATGAGTGAGTCCTTCGCCTCCTACCATAACAAGGCTTGCAGCAACTTCTGGGAGATTTCTCGAGCTCTGCCCCAGCGATGCTGTCTCTTCTTTTTCCAAAGTTGAACACGGAGGTAGTATTTCAAGTAGGCGCTCAACATTGGTGTCAACATCGGTTTCCTTGGATTTGTGTGAATTTTCTAGTTCTTGCAGTTGTTTGGAGCCATTTTCCCCTTGTTTTTCATTTTTGACCTTTCCTTCTTTTATCTCTCGACCATCCATGTTTTTCTTCTGACTTTCTAAGACATCGGTATGGTCATTATTCTGCTTCGTAAGCTGCAAGTAGTTCAAACATGATTTGGTCTACAAATTAATATTCTATATAGTATAGACTGGTGAAGCAATTTTATCCGAGCCAAAAGATCATTTTCTACACCGACGAAAGCCCAATAACCATACGACATAGCTACAGCTTAAGATATGTCTTTCTTTAGAAATAATATTTTCTGATTTCAGACCAAATAAATTACCGGTTTTCAAGAAAACGATATCAACCTTAGGATGTAGAATGTAAAAGCAAATTCATACATTTCCCTTGTTACAGTTAAAAGAGTGTTTCTTTCTCCACTGCAGTGGTTTTGGCTCTCCTTAGGTGTTTTAAATATACAAAAGTCTTTCATTATAGACTGCGACAAGCTCTGCAAGGTGATAGAAATGTTGTGGGAAATGGCGTTGCAGCTAGTTGCTTCATTTACAATGGCTATGATCTTTGCTGTCACCCTAAATTTTGCCGAAAATTCAGGTTAAAACAAATTAGAGGAAAACCTTTGAGTAGGGCATATACGTCCGCCCCTTTCGTCCGAGTGTCTACAGTAGGATACTATGTTGAAACTTAACCGGATGTAGGTATAGGTGGTTTTCACGTTACGTCATCGCCGCCATACTGGTGGACGGTAAACAAAAGATCGCTCATTAGCTCGCTTTAATTGTCCACCAGCATTTGTTCATTTCACCATTGTTATTTGTGTCTCCCGAGAATGCATGAAAACCACCTATAGGTATAGGTATAGGTAAATCATTAATATTCACATACCTTCCTGCATACTAATTCGGTGTAGGTATAGGTAAATCATTAATATTCACATACCGTCCTGCATACTAATTGGGTATAGGTTTACTAATGAGCGTCTTTCTACTACTATATGCACAATAGGCTTGCCTAGACTGGCCCGGTAATTAACTTGAGGCCGGTTTGCCGGAAGGTCTATCTAAAAAAAAGGAATAAAAGGAGCGATCACCTAGCAACGCAAGAAACGGCTTATGTCTTTTATTTAGCGCTAAAAATCGGATATATAAACAAAATACACACACATACAGAAAGTAGAGCTGAAGACTCTTTATTTCAATTCTGTCTGACTATTACAAAACTGTTTCCTCCGTTCTTTCTCGAGGAAAAGAAAAACTACTAAAGTCTCAGCGTTTCACGTACGGTTAGTCAGTTAATTATGCGAGTTCGCAAGCCCAAAGTTGAATACAAATTAGCTCTACAGTAAGAACCCAAGCGAGCACCTTGACGTATTTTTATAAAAACACAAAACAATTAATACCTTAACAACGATCAATTGAAACACGCGACTATATAATCAATCGCAATAAAACCAGACGCAACTTTATGATCCTTGCTTGCCTTCTTTGACTATTTTAATAGAATCTTTAATCTAATATTTTTGCAATTATTTTAATAAAGGATCATAAAGTTGATCATAAAGCTGTGTCTTAAGAAACGTGGCTCGTTTTATTGCGATTTATTAGTCGCGTGTTTCAATTGATCCTTGTTAATTTATTAATTGTTTTGTGTTTTTATAAAAACACGCCAAGGTGCTCCCTTGGGTTCTTACTGTAGAGCTGATTTGTATTCAACTTTGGGCTTGCGAACTCGCATAATTAACTGACTAACGGTACGTGAAACGCTGAGACTTTACCTATACCAAATTAGTATGCAGAAACGTATGTGAATATTAATGATTTACCTATACCTATACGTACACCTATATCTATACCTAAATTTCAACATGGTACACTATACTGTCTACTCTCCCTTGTATTTATCATTTTTTAACCCAAAGAGTCGTTGTCATGTTTCTGGTTGTATTATCAATGCTTCATAAATTAATTAGTTAACAGGAATTGAAGACATGTTCAAAAAATTTGAATTTACTTTACATTTTGAGAAATGCTCCAAGCTATACATTTATAGGAAATGAAACGGGGCAACAAATAAGCTGATATAAATTTTTATTAGTGAGAAAATGGCAAAAAATCGATACATACAGTAACAAGCTTTATTTGCTGCCTTTTGTTTCTAAGCCACTTCAGAAGGTCTCCGTGAGGAACATACTCCATGATCAACATAATGGGCTCTGACCGAGTCCAAAAACCGAACAAGGTAAGAATGTTTCGATGCGATCCAACGTCCTTCATTAGGTCAATTTCCTGAAGAAACTGTCGTTTTTCCTCCTCTCCAGCATTTTCTAAACAGAAACGGGAGTTAATGAACAAAAGGATATCAGTTAAAATCAGTCAAGAAAAACAATATCTAGAGGGTTTGTGAGCTGCTTACCCACGCAAAGGAAGTGACATGGCATATTGATTAAGCTCAAGTCTGAGGCAGAAGAGACCGCAGAGGAACAGGAAGACTCCGGTCCTGCATGGAGGTACAATCTTGCACAAAATAAATGGAAAACCTAGACTTCCCCCCCCCCCCCAAATCAAGGATGCGAAAATGGCGCGTTTTTGCCCTTCGCGCGGCTTCATCCTTGATTTTTTTGGGGGGGGATGGGGGTTTGCTGTTCCATTTTATTTTGTCCAAGATTGTAGTCTGCTACACAGCCGTGATTAGGTTTTGTCACGTGACGATCCTCCCCTCCTTGGACTAGTATGGAGCACCAGTTGAATAGATTTTTAACTTGAGAACAACAATACGCAAAAAATACAGCGGAAGCTCTCCTCAACGGCCTCTTTGGCGACAGAAGAAGAAAATCCTTCAATAAGAACGACCGAGACCAGGTTTTATGAGTCCGCCAGATTGTCGGAAGAGAAACCTTTGATCCCACATGGAAGTGAACTTCGATCGACTATACTAAAGTTACACAAACTTCATTTACGTTAACAACGTGCTAATCGAACATGATTTGTAAACATTCATCGAAAATGGCTTAGTAGCTCACCAAGAAGGACTTTAACAGCAACAATTCGTCCCTTATTGCCCTTCAATGTTCGTAGGCTGTTCTTGGAATGTACATTTGGATTTCTTTTACTGGTATCGGGATATATATTTGCGTTTGTTACCTCCTTCATCACACCTTTATGAACCTTGCCAAAAGCCCCTCGACCAAGTTCCTCCATGAAGGTTACTCGCTCGTGCGGGACTTCCAGTAAAATAAAATGAACAATTTCTTTCTTGGATCTAAATAGGAAACATCCAATATTAGTAAAAAATTGTGTTTTGTACATGATCGATTTATGAAGAAACTGCGTCGGAAGAACGGTTTTTCTTACTGCGTAAGCGGAGGAGCAGGGTGGTCCCTAGCCCCCCCGCCCCCCCGATAAAAGTCTGCAATCGCCATTACGGATGTATTTGACATTAACTGGGACATCGGCAACTGCAAAGCGCACATTTCGTGCCCTCACTAGACGATTTGTTACCTAAAAAGTATCATAAATCAGGACCGCCTAAACAAATGCCTGCTGATGCATTGTCACAAATCGCAATCTTCACAACGAACAACGCGCTCAGCTAACCAGCGCTCTCCCAACTGAGCTAACAAGGCGGTGGTCAAATTTGGGCAGTGGCAGCCATGGACACCTGTTTCGCCCTTATTGGGTTCTTTGAACAGGGAAACCCGTGTACAAAAGACCCTTTGATGAGCACGTGCGCCCCACCCCCACTTTTCGAAAGGCTTCGTTGCCTCTGTTGCTTGGACGCATTACGGAAAATTCCTTTTTATGGAGACCAATAGAAGTGACTCGATTTCCTTGAGTACAATTTGACTTAGAGTTGAAACGGGGGTCCAGTGCGCATGTCTGTCTTCGTTCTAGCCCGAGCACGCTACGTACCTGTCGTCTGTATTTAAAGCGAAAACCAGAAAAACAAACAAACGAAAGAAACACACTGCACCTTCCTGTTAAGGTTACGGCCTGTAGCACATATTGTAATGTATAATTTAAAGGCCAGTTTATACGTAACGGTTTGTCTGCCCGGTTTTCTAACGAAAACATATGGTGAACAGAAAAGTTGACCCGATTTTGTATTTAGATCTTTCGTCAATCGGAAAATACACCGCGCAAAAAAAAAGACAACAAATCGATTTTCGAGTCCGAGAAAAACTATTATATTTCCTCGGAGGACTACTTTTCGAAGAAATTGTCGGATATGACGCGAGTGTCAGTGTTAGTGTCCAACTTTGTAAACAAGCGTTGAGTAAACCCTCTTGACTTTTCAGTGCCATTAAAGCATACCGTTCTTCCCTTTTTTGCCTCCTTCGGTAGATCCCTACGAGAATTGCTGCCGCAAGAGTAGCAGTGATTCCAAGAACTATTCCCAACGCTTTTATAGCGTCATCGTTAGCTAGAAAGACAGAAATAAATCAATGTAAAAGATATGGAATGCATGCAATTTACATGTACGTCATCCATAAGAGGATAGGTGTTATTGTCTCGGTTACGGGAGTTTGTTTTTGTATTTTTTTGCATTCTGAACTTTTGGCATATATCACTTTTAAAATCTATTTTGTTTTCCCCATCTCGCCTGCGGAAGTGGCCAAAAAGGTCTGTTGTAAAAAAGACGGCTTCATTTGACTTGATTTTTCAAGTTTAAAATGATTTTTCATATCAAGTAACTATGCCTTTGCCTTGGAATTTCGTGCTGTTTTATCAGTTCGGGTAATGAAGCTTCTTTCACGGAATTTTTGTGACTTCATTAGGTAGAATCTCCCTATATTTAAAAAAATATTGACGGACATTATGAAGAGGATAATGCACAGTTAGTTAGGCCTTCTTCTGAATAATAATGACCGTGCGCGTAGGGTAAGGTAGAAAATTTTCTCGTTTGCATGAACGTGACTTATATTATACGTCGCTCATTATTGTGGCAATGACCTGCTCATCCATTTACCCTGATCAAGATAATAGAGAGATGAATTAATTATAAGTACATCTAGGACGATTTTTCTTGCGGCCGGCATTTTCTGGTTTGTTTCTTATTTAATGGCATCATCCATGACTTTACGGCTCTGAACGGGTATAAAGCCTTACTTGTCCTGGGGGAAGTAGCCTTCCACGTAGACGGTGTTTTGACTAGTCACGCAACGACGGGTGACGAGGCCCTAAGCAGCTTGGGTTAAGGCAATCTATAATTATTTTGTTCCCTTGCAGTACTTACAGTAGACGTCTTGTGTTTGCTGCTCTATCTTAGATGAGTTAGTTCGAACTTGCCAAGGAGTAGACCAGTCGCTCTGGAGTTCTCCAATCCACGAAGACACTTCAATCTGATAGATTTTGTCGCAGTCAAGTGTCAATAGACGATATGATTTCGCTGAAGTATGTTCTTGTAGCCGGCGTTCTGCTCTGTAGCCCTGTGGATTTATCACCCTAAAGCGTATGGTGTTCTTCGTAGTGGCACACACGTCACGACTCCATGTGAGGTTTACTGTGCAACCATTTAACTTGCTTTCCTTCTTGTTAATAACTGGAGTTTTCGGCGTGCCTTAGGTTCACAAAAATATATCGTCATCAGTTAGTTATTTACTTGTGTGTAGGCTACAAGGGATTCGGTTTAATTCTTTTGTTTCTGATCAATTAAGATGACAGCACCAAAATATGGGGATTCTTTCGCGACTGCATGGTTGTCACTCCAGCTGCTTTAATCAGCCCCGTCTAGACATCTCGTCTAACAAGACGCTCACGTTCTTGACCACCTTAAAATTACTTCCGTTTTTTAAGTGTAATCCGCATGCATTTATAGAACACTAGGACAATCAAATGACTTTTGGAGGGCATATAGTTTATTTGTAGCCCGAGTAGCATCATTTGCGCCCGAGTGGAGCTACGTTTACGCTGCCGTCGCGTCGTCCGCCGATCGTAAAAGTCCCTTATAAGAGCACGACAACGAGGCATTACGATTTCGGCAGCGTCAAGTTGTATCAAGAACGAAAACGTCTCACTTCCAGTCGACGTGCGTCACTCAAAAACTCATTTGGTTAAACTCGCTAAACAGATTACCTTTGCTCAAGTCAGAAATCTGATTTGCAGACAAGGCAGTTTCGATTACATGAAGGTCCATCAGTGCCCCGACAAAAGGTTTATTTACCAATGGCAACTTGAACAGGACTGGATGATTTCCTATCACATTTTCCGTCTCAAGATGGTCTGACGTTAAGAAGAAGAACTCGTTCCATTGTTCCTTTGTTAAAATTTCTGTTCCATTTACAAACACCTTGATCTTAGACTCCTCACAGATTATGGCAACATGATTCCAGTCACTGATTGCGAAGTTTGCTTTTGCTATAGTGTTATGTATCGACAAGATGACACTGGAATTCTTTATTGCCGCGTAAAATAGTTTTCTGCTCACAGACCAAATCGCCATTAAAGGTCCCTCTGTATCACCGGATTTAATCCAAAAAGCAATTGTAAAGTCGCAGTTTGTAATGTTTACTTTGGGCACAGTAACAAAGGAGCCTTTTTGACTGAAATACGCCGCTTTACTTCCAAGGCACCAACCTTCAGTGTAGTTGACCGCACCAAAAAATCTACGAAATGAAAATTATAGTAATTAATGTTTAAACACAGGCGGACCACCCAAACTGTTCGAGGCATCTTGATGTCACGCGCGACATGTGATCCCATACATTTACTGTATTTCATAAAGCCCGCGCTCGGCTTCATTCAAGTGATCGGTAGAAATGCTTCGCAAAACACAGAATTTTACACCTTTTGATCCCAGATGTTGATATAATGGGATCACATGTCGCACGTGACATCACGATGCCTCGAACAATTCCGATGTTTTGCCTGTGGTTTAAATCCATATGAAATATTAAGCTTAAAAAAGAAGCATACCACAAGAAATCTTTCGAAGTTTTTGGAAGCTACGAGAAAATATGGAGGGAGTCTCCGTTCATGCACAAAGTGACTTGTGAATATCTGTCAAATGCATGGAGAACATTATCATGGATAAATCTTCTATGATGAAAGGCGTTGACGATAACGATGATGGTGACTATGAGTATTATTATTATTATTATCATCATCATCATTATCATCATCATCATCATCATCATTGTCATAACGTGTCTTCAGTAGGTTATTTATATGTTATACTAACCTTACATCTAAATCAGAACCGTCTAGGAACCAGTGGCCATATTTTGGTGTCCCTAAGGAAAGATCATTTGTTAGATTGACTCATGAAAGATTTTATTTTTAAAATTGAATCTCAATATTAACTCAGTTCTTCTAATGCTAAAGAGAATTTTCTTTTGTACATTCCTTCTTTTGGTAATTTATCGTGTATCATGTTATACTTTGTCACTTTTATTCGTTTGTTACCATAATATCCATATTCAGGGTAAAACTGTAAAAAACTGTTCGGAAATAGATTGAACTCTCTCCTTTAATAGTTTCATATCTCGTAACCAAAATAAGCAACCGTGCGTTGCCAAGTTTTGTCAAAAGGTATCTGAGATAAATGTAAACTGCTTAGGGAGGTTGGGGATGGGCGTCCACTTCATACATCCAAGTCTGAGATTTAAACTTAATTAGGAAATGTTTTAAAAATAAAGTTATCTGTTTATTAATTACCTTTACATCCATAGAGTTCCACCCTCATAGAGATGTGTTTATGCCAAGCGGTTGGTAGGAAACGGATGTACCGTGCTGTTATGTGTGGATTTAGTTTATGAGAAACAATGGTATCCGGGTCTGTGTTGCCATCGAACACCTGAAAAATCCAGGTAGTACGCACATGGGTTAAATTCAGTCAATAAATTCATTTCTTGCTGCATTCCTCAAAGGGAGCGGGTTGCCAGACATATTTTTACTCTGACCAAATGTGCACACGAGAAAAATATATACGTATTTAAAGGTTGGTGGAGAAATGCCGGCTAAACTGCTTTTTTTAACTTTGGCGATCGCGAAGAAGAGGCCTCTCACCTTTTCTTTTCCTTGTCCTAGCTGTTTGTAAACATTGAACTTATTTCCATTGTCGCTGTACTGTAATGTGTAATGTGTGACCCACGTGCTGTTAGTATTTTCCCCTTGAGTAGCAATTTTTGCTACAAGGCTACGCTCTTGACTGCCCAGATCTATTTGCAACCATTGCTTAACATTATTGGTATAAGGTGACCACGATCGTACTTTATTTGAAGTTCTTATAGCCTTTAGTCTACCGTTGATGGCTGCATGCTCGGCATCCAGTTGCGAAGAAGCAATGACTTGCCCGTTGTAGATCTCTCCGTCTCCCATACCGAGAGCTTCTTCACATTCTATTGAATATAAACAAACAACAACGGCTCTCGGACAGCACTCTTCTTTGACTGGATAATCTGGCTATGACATTAACCGATGCAGCTGGGTTTGATGAATGTAAAAGGTAATGATGATAAAGATGATGTGGTCCTAATGATTGTAGCAATACTTATCACTATGATGTTGTTGTTGTTTTTTTTATGATGATGATGATGATAATGATGATGGTAATGACGGTGATCATAACGATAATTGTGGTAATGGTGGTGGCAGTGTTGGCTGCAGGTGTGGTGATGATTATTTTAAAACTGAAGATTATTTATATAAAGATGACAATTAAAAAAATGCTGCATAAACTTGGTATAAGGCGTCCCATTTACTAATTGGAAGAATACCTTGATCTGGAAGCTCTAATCTGCAAAACTCAATAGCTTTCGGGTTGGATTGACAGCAATCCAAAAAATTGTAAACAATGGCTTATTTTTAACGCTACAATTGAGGGGAGAAGGAAAACTTAAACAATCGAGATACAAACCATCACAAACGATGGTGTTGGCATCTTCACTCCATGATCCACCAATCCCGCAACGAGCAGATGATGGACCGCTGATTTGATTTCCACGGGCGCAGTAAAAAGAGCAAATCTTTCCATGTGGGTGAGTTGGTAAAAGACAATCGGAAGGTGAAACAACTACATCATCCCGCAGTGAAGGTTTTCTGCACTTAGTTCCTTTTGAAAATATATATAGACAGAGTGTGAAAGATAAGCAAAGTAAAATTCATTTCGTGCTTTTTACCGGGGGCTTATTTATTTTTGCTGGAAAAAGTACTTTACAATGAATCTAAAATTACTTGATGATTGTGGAAACGCCGTGATTAGTATATGAGTGGGTCGCTCCGGTTGGGGTTAATGGACCTTGCTATCGAGTATTAATTTTTCTGTCTTCTTTTTATTCCATTTCTTTCAAGAGAGTGGTACCTTTTTTAAGATTCTTGACTGGCACCTTTATACAATATACACAAGCATAATCTGGAACAGAAATTCTAACTCTTCCAGAAACACATGATATTTTCTTACTTACCTGCCGATATTGTGCAAAGGTAACGATGGTGATGACTACAGTCTCTATTTTTCAGATGTCCCTTCGAATTTATCTCTACACAATCTCCCTCGCCCGTTAAACTTTCCAATTGACTGCGTAATTCATGACCGTAACTACCTTGTGAACCACTGACCAAACCAACCCCACTTGAATTGTGACTGGGATTCTTGTGCAGACCAGTCCACGCGCTTTGTGTTAGAAATGAGCCAAGGGCATTTTGTTCAGCACGTGAAGTCACCATAGAAAGACTAGATTCAATTGCCTTACAGGCCGATTCTGCCGCGAACCAATCCAGTGCGTAAGAAAAGGCTCTGTAACAGCAGCCGAGGATTTGAATCCAGTCCTGGGGGCAACCTGCGAAACACAAGTAGAGACCTTTAGATTCTATTTCCTCAATACTCAGTAATGCGCGCGTGTGAACCAGCGTCATTTTGGCGGGAAACGTGATAGTTGTCGTCATTCTACTACGAGTTAGTGTGTTAGCGGTCACAAGTGAGTTATAAAGTGTTATAGGTGTTATTATTTTGTAGCTGGGAGTTTAACCTCATTCAATAAAGATAAAGCTAATTTTTTTTGGTGAAAAAGATGTAGAATGAAGCTATCCACGGTGTCTATTATTTGAGAATACGCGAAAAAAACTTTAAATGAAATCTCGTACTCGTAGTCGTTCTCACCCTAGAATCTAAAGGTCTCTAATATTTCTGAAATGAACGAATATTATCATAAGCAGAGGAATCAAAAGTTGTTGTCGCTGACTGCTGGTATTTTTGTCGCTGGAATATAAAAGATTTTCGTTTTATTATAATACAAGAAGTCTACCTTTATTGCCTTTATGGGAAATATCCAGATTTATTGCGAACTTAAATAAACAATTTACAATTTACTTTACTTTTTGATTGTACTTATTATTATAGAAAGTTGTGTTACCGTTGATTTCACAAACGTAATAATGAGATATCCAACACCCTTGGTCATTCCATGTTCCTATGTGGGGGTTCATTACAACACAATCTTCGTTGCCTCCGTAATTGTTTGGCTCTCTACTCAACCAGTAGCTATAAAAAGCGCCAGACCCATCCACCCATTGCCAGCTTGAATGGTTCATAAGATCCCGCTTTAAGCCAATCCACGTTTGGCCCTTTGTTCTTTTGATCAGCTCTCCTATTTCATCGAACGAGTTCAGTATAACTAGGCTTGATCCCTGGTCGTTACAGGCGGACTTCGCTGAGTTCCAGTCCAGTTTGTTGGAAGATATTTTGTAGCAAGAACCATGAAGGCTGAGTATCCATCCTACTGGACATAGTGCTGAAAGATACGGTCAAAGTAAAACTAATTCAATACGGGGTCTGAGAAAACGGTCGATTTACCCCACCAATGGTTTCCCCGAGAAGTGAAGTCTGAAGAACGGCTAGAAATTCCACACTGATGATGTGTCATTTCGCAGAACTGGGTAGTGCTTCTGATCGGCTGAGGCAAATTTCGTTTTCGACAACCTATGAGAAGCACTACCCAGCTCTGGGTAGTGACACGTGATCAGTATCTGCAGGCGTCATTCAGCCGGAAAACCAGTTGTGGGGTCACGAAATGTCGGCTAGTTTAGGCTATTCAACACTTACCGGTCCTTTTTTTTTCGAGAGCAATCTCAAAATAACACTAAATGTTTTCAGTCTTTTCCTTGACCATTATACTTGCAGACAAGGAAAACTGGAAACTCCGAACATATTCTCCACTCTGATCTCCGTTCATTTCCATATGATATAAGAACAAAGAAGTTTCCTTCCGTGATCATATATATTATCATAACCTTTCTCTTGACTGTGTATTGAATTATAGATGTTGTTGTTATAGATGTTTGTATTCACTTACCAGGCGCGTTAACATCTTCCCCAAAAATGATTTCGAATCCTCTTTTGTTAGGATCAAATATCTCATCTGAGTGAAATGTCAACACCAGGTAGTCTCGTGAAACAAAAATAACTTTTCCCGTTAGGTCACCGCAGTATTGGCCAATAAAATTATCACCATCTGAAATGTTCAAGTAGTCGAATCTGCGAAGGAAATATTCAGCATTTACGGGTTGGCAATAAACAAATTCCTTTTATATGCTTCTGTTCAGAATACATATGTGTATGGTGATAACACTTTCGTTGGTTTTTTCAACACAAAGATGACGACTGTTTCGTGAACTTAGCGTTTTCAGCGGAAAGATTGGTATCCTTGTCACCAAAAATAGCTTGCAATTTTATTATAAATGATACCCTAGCATCTGTTACCGGTATATACTGTGTGACAAAGCAAATGATTATTCCATTCCCCGTCTCTTTTCTTTCTCAAGGTATTTCATTCATTCATTCTTTTGACCTTTTTGGAATGCATCGTCGCTAAAAGCTTCGATATGTAAACATTCCTGGAAAGAACCCAAAAATCCATTAGGTCCCACCTTTCATGGTTTATACTTTTCAAGCGACAACCTTTTTTTTCAGTCAGGTATAGACAAACATGTTCTATGCTGAAGATAGTCAAGTTTATGTTTCTATCAACCTTAAACACCCGAATTATGATGTTCTTGTTACCCTTCGGCTATGCGTATTGCTCCGCGAGCTAATCTGGTGATGAGATCAATTAATCGGAAACATGCGAAACTATCTTTCGTATAATGGACTTAAAATTTCATCTCTTGATGAGATACTCTTTTGTATGGCATACCTAATGGGATACTTAAGTTCAGAGAAAAAAAACTTGCACTAGCTTTCAGTTGAGAAGAGGATTGAATTGAAGATTTTCCTTGAAGACAAGACTGCAGACTGAAGCCTCACGTTCACTACTCTGTCGGCCAAGAGCTAGAACTGACAACTATGGTAATAGAGCTTTTGGCTACCGCAGGCCTTTACAGATTACATGGAAAACGGGCTTAATCAACAAATAGTACTCTCACCTGCATTCTTGATCAAACGCCAGTTCAAATATTTGAAATGTAAGTTTTTGCACCTTGCCATGTGGAACTGAAATATTATAGACGCAGTGCATATTTGGTGGATAACTTTGTACGTATACAGGGGATCTCAGTGTATTGTCCATCGCTGAACCACATAGGTCTGCCAAAGAAAATAAGAGATAATCGAAAAGTATACGTTTATTTCTTTTCTATCTGTAAGTGTGTACATTTTTAATAATTTGCTCATATATTATTACAAATATAGCAACCTTTATTTTTGTAAGAAAAAAGGAGCAAAACAAAACAAACAACAACAACTTGAATTGCTTTTTTACGTTGAAGTCGAAAAAGGAAGGTGCCAGTTTCTGCAAAAGTCTCTTTGAACTTCCGGTTGAAAGTTTCAACGTCCGTTATGCCTTGTGTCCTCATGCCTTTTCTGGCCTTCATCTTGGTTTGACTCGCTACTTGATTTTGGCTCTCTACGATGCCTCCCATGAGGTCACCTGGAAAGCGACCTTTTTTCATATTTTCATCGAGTATCTGGAATTGAAGTCTACATTTATTACTATGTACAACAGAACCGTCCGACCTTTCTTAGAACTTTTAAAAACTGATACTGGAGCTGACCAAAGTTTGCCAAACCCATTGGCAAACAAAGTTTAAGCTAGTAATAACCAAAAGGTTAGGAGGGCGATAACGATCGCAGATCCAAACGCTCAGTTGCTCCAACGCTGTGCTTTGCCTACGTTTCAGTTGACAGATGGTCAAAACATGCGCGGATCAGATTACGAGGAGTAGCAGGTCGAAACGCGCGTGATCAAATTGCGTTTTGTGCATTCCATCCATTCTTAGTGGAAGTCCAAACGAATGCTGGCTACATACATGTGACGCTTGCGTAATAACAACCTGGAGATTAGGATTGCGGGCTCCTCTTGTCGACCGCAATAGTACAAAGCATCAAATGTTGTCATAGCGAATTTGGATACAAAGTGCAGAAAAACAGTTTTAAAAAGTAACACTCATAGAGAAAAGTAGTTGGCATGGGAATACCTTCCATTATTGTTTCCTGATAAATTTCAGGTTCTAAATTGCCATTAACTTCGGTGGGCTTGTGTTGGGTCGTTTTAAAATTTTAAGTGACCAACGACTCCCGCCTTCCAAGTCTAAAAAGATGATTTAAACAGACATCAAATGTGGCCAAAATAAATGTGTCTAATCTGAAACAAGAAAATTTGCAGAAAGACCCAAAGGATCACTAGTTTTCAAAACCTCCACTAGGAGGAAATTTTCACCTGTCAAATTTAAAGCCCTCAGCAACTATTTATTTTGAGAATTATTTTCCCCGAGCAAACAGATATATTAGGCTTGGGTCGATCCTTGACTCCACTCACCACTTCGAGGTAATTCATTGAAATGCAATCTGAATCCACGCTTTTCTTTCTTAACGTCTTCCCGAGTGGAATTTAATCACTGTGTAATTCCCCGGCAACCATCACTGCCAAATTGTTCGTCAAATTACCGCAATATCTGCCAATCAGAACGTTGCTTTGATGGTAAATGCTCAAATAGTCCTCCCTACAAGAAAATAAAAATCTAGGCCCGATGAAACAGTA